AAATGAATCCAACGATACAGTTACACTCTTGACTGACATTTTTGAAATCATTGGACAAGCAGCCAAAACAAGTTGTGGACAAATTGGAAAGTTTGAAAATGAAATGGTGACTATTCATTTCAATGCCACAAATGATCAAAATCAACATGAAATGAAAGGTCTACAATTATGTCATGTCCTCCTATCCAAGTTAAATGGATACAAGGAAAGAAAATTAAGGAAACATCAATTATTGGAAAAGTATAAGGAATCCTCTCTCATAGAACGATTCAACTTTAGAATAGTTGCCAATAGTCAATATAATTTGTGTGGAAATTTGGGAACGAAACAAGTGATGACATTTTCAATTCTTGGAAGTACACCTTTCAATTTACAATCAATGATTGAAACTGCTAAGGAATTGGATGTTCCAATATTAATTTCAGATGATTTGAATGAAAAGGTTGATAATTTATTCCAAACTAGATATGTGGATACGAAAGAAATGGTCATTGATCAGTATTACACCTCCCCTGTATCTGATTCGAATTTGTTTAGTATGAGAAGAGTTTATGAATTGGGAGAATCTTCTCAAATTGCGCAAGATGAATGGATGTAAGTTATCATGGTTCTTTACTAATTAATTTTCAAATAATTTATTCGAAAGGTATGAGTTGGAAGCTAAGGAAAAGAAGAATCGTTGGAACAAGTACAATAATGCATGTGCAATGGTCTTTGAGAATAAATATGGTGACGCTGCAAACATGTTGCGGGATTACATTACAGAACTTTCGAATGCAAAACAAGATTTGGTAGCTATAAGGTTACTTGAAAATTGTGAAAGACTATGCCAGTAATAAATGTTTACATTATTGGAAACCCACTAGTTGCCCTTCATTTCCTTTTATGTGAAAATCATTTTTGTCCAAATACATAATAAGGTAAGTAAAATTGGTTTCTGATGATTTATTATTGATGAAGATGGGTTGTGTTGTGTTGTGCATTTGTTAATTGTACTCTCGTTCTCCTCACCTTCAGCTTTTCTAACGATTGTTCTGTCAATTCGGAAGCTCTCTTTCTATCAGTGTACAGTAATGCTCTTGCTAATTCTAATTTCATATTACAAATAGCATAGAGTCTATTGGCTGATCTATTGGAAACTCGATATTTGATAATGCTAGTTTTTACTACCCGTGATGAAAAGTAGAGTCTGTGAGAAGTTGAAGGAGCCATTTCGAAATGGTCGTTTGTTATTGTGTTATGTAAACGTGTTGTGTTTTTTTTCTTTTGTGAAAAGCCATTCTCATTCGTGTTGGGGCATTGTCTTTCACTTTCCAATAATTATTAATTGGATGAATGCTGCCTAAACCCATGTTTAACAACCCAATTTGTACAATTGGAGTATGCACCAAAACAGTTACTAATTTCATGGCATGAAGAAGTTGAGAGGTCCGAATATCATAATAATAAAAATAAGATCAATAAGGTACAGAGTGCACATAGTTCTACAACGAAGCGTCTGGTTATTAGTGCGTGCCATTGATTACTTGGTGTTAAAATGGTGTTAGCCTTCAGGATTAGAAGAAACCTTTCGAATAGAATTTCCAACCAACACGGAACAAACTGTCATCCTTCAAATCCGTAATGCAATAACCCACTTGCCAAAGGATTCGAATGTCTAACAATGTTGATTAATTTCACAAAAAAGAGAGCCACTGTCCCTTCTTGACACAAAGGAGAAACTCCCATTGAGTACATTATTAATTAGTCAAGAAATATATTTCAACTATCGTGAATATTTTGCAATATTACTAGAATGGATCATTAAAATTATGGACATGAATTTCATGAAAATTAATTTCATTATTATAGCCATTGAGCCCTCGGTTGCAAGTCAATCAAATAGATGCATTATGTTGATAAGTGTATGATTCATCAATTTAATATTTTCATCATGACGAATACATTTTGAAAGTGAATATGAAGATGTTATGCATGTTGAAATATTAAATGGATGTTGTATGATGCATGCATCAGAATATTCAAAGCCTTTACATCTAGTACACATCTACATCTTGATAATAGATGTAGTCTTCTTTCCTCATGTAATTTACTCCTTTAAATTCCAAATTTTGTTATTACATATTATTCAAACCTTCCAAACGAACATACAACAAATTCACCAAATTTATTCTTTGGAAAGAATTGTTGACTGCATCACGTGTTATTTTTTTTTTGGTTGTTTTTTGGAAATTTTGTAAACCGTTGTAGTTTTGGAATGGGTTTTTTGACAGGTTCAACAAAAGACCATCGATTTCATTGACCACATTTTCAATAAATTAAGAATTGCAATTAAATACAATGTAATACTGAAAATTTGGTGCTTAAGGAAGCAACGCCAGAAGTTACTGTTACGAAAAACCAAAAAACAAATTTAAAAAAAATGTCCAATCACCAAAGAGCTCTTCTTGCCCCAGAGAATCAACACATGATGATGGACGAGCATCCATCTTTTATTCTCTCCACCAATTATCAATACAATGAAGATGATAAATCCATGACTGTTGCCGATTTTCTCCGTAAACAAGTTGCTTTAAAGGTAAATTATCATCCTATTAATACTTCAACAATTAATCCCAATTCAAACAACAATTTACACAGAATGATGAAATGAAATTATTATCAGAACGTATGATACAACAACTTGTTGCCAATGGAATCAAACATCGAGAAGAGATCAAACAAGCCTTCAGAAACCAACAAAAACAATAATTCTTCTTTGATGATGTTCAATGTCGAATTGGACTCTGATGAAGAATTGTTGCGATTTGTCCATTCAAAAAAATGGAGCAATTAAACGGTTTGCCTGTTCTATCGCCATCAGTATTGACAACATCTCCACATTCTGGAGAATTGGGTGTCAGCAACAATGAATACTACAGGTAAATCATCATCGGACGAATGTCATCCCATTGCATGTATTCGATGTAGAAAGTTGCATAAAAAGGTTTGTCTCAAATTTAGTGAAGGTTTTTTACCCTTTCTTGTTGTTTAGTGTGATAAAAAGCTAGCTGGTTGTTCCAAATGTGCATCAGCAGGTGTTGAATGTATTGTAGGTTGATGATTATTATCTTCTAACTTATCTTCCATAGTATAATTCTCCTCAGAAGAGAGGCAAAGGCTCGGAAATTTATGCCAAAACACCTAAAGATAAATCAGACAAAGATATTAACACCCAGAAACCAAGTAAGAAGAAGAAGAAAACTGCTGATAGTGTAATAATAATAGTAGTATTAGTAATGTGGAAGTTGTGAACAATTCAACGACAAACGAAACAAATAATCATAGTACGAACTCTACTCCGACTAGTAGTGCATCAACAGCGACAGTAACAACAACATCACCACCATCTTTATTGTCACCTAATCATTTAGTAGAATTGTATTATACTTTCGTTTGTGGAATTCATCCAATGATAGAAAAGGATAAATTTAAATATTTTGTAAATAATTGCCTTCCACAGTTTGAGAGAAGAGCAGAGTTGCATTTGGATCCAAATATTTGGATAAAATCTGTTGAGGAAATGAGATGCCTTTATGCATTATATTTGGCAATAATGACAATGGGATCTCACCTAGTTGCTGATTTGAATTCAGTTGATTTTTATGCAAGAAAGGCTGAGCTGGAGATTGCCCTTCTTTCTCTCGATCATTCCACTGAGTTTTATTGGGCTGCTGCATGTCACTATATTTACTTGCACTATGTATCAGATGGGGACAATTACAAAGCAGGGTATTATTTGGCTAAAGTGAATTATTATTTCAATAGTCAAAAGGAAAAACCTAGTCCTAACAAATATTTTCATTTGTTAGAGTTCCACTCTTCAGTTGTTGCAAGTAGATTTAATGAAGAGGCAAACACGTTTCAAAGTTTAATGAAGGGAATGAGTAGCATGTTTTATCATTATTCCAATCGAAAGATAGAGGATACACTATTGCCTGGGACTTGGGAGTATTGTATGAATACGAAACTATGCCAACAAAACTATATTCTATTCAAGCAAGTTTCAGAGTTTATTTTCAAAAATTTGGCTCATTTCAAGCTTCATACTATGAAAACATTAACAGATTGTCATAGTGAGGGATTTTTTAAGTCTCAACGACTGCTCGCTTTATTTGTTGCTGAGGGATATACTATTTTATTTATGAAACAAATACCAGAGATTAGTTATTCTGTACTTGAAGAAGCATGTCTGAAAGTCACATTGTTGACTGAAAATGAGGTTTTCCCATTCGTTTTACTTGCAGCTATCTATATTATTGTTGAGGCAGCTCAATTTCATCTGGAGGCTTGCAAACAAATTGAAAGAGGACTTAAACCTAGGAAGGCCACTGTTTTTACATCAGCAGGAAAGGTCATTACATTTGATTATTTTTCAATATTGGAAAAGGATCTGCGAGCACTTCACGTTTTGGGTCAACGTTACAGGAGAGTTAGCGCTTCACATAGTGATCTAATGTTGGAAATATCTCAAATATTGGAAAGGAATAATAATGTAGACATGTCTCCTCCAGTTTTCTCTTCTTCAAAATTCACACCACCTCTTCAATCCATTCCACAACAGGATGAAGTTCTTGCAAGACAATTAGAAGAACAACACAATGTTAGCAAATCAGAAGATACAGAATCTTTCCTTTCCGATCAATCTCTAGGCCCTTGGGAAGAATTATTCAAAGATTGAAACCTCATCAAATAAATAATTCACACACACGATGATCATCTTCCATCATGAAATGGATTGCATTGAATTAATTGCTTACAATGAAAAAAAATATCACGACAAGCAACATGTCAGTTGTGCTTCTTCCTGAAATCCTTGGTGAAGTGTTCACTTTTTTACCCTATCGTTTATTATTTAATACAATCAGGAGAGTTTGTAAAGAATGGAATCACTTGATCACTGATGGTTCTTCCATCCGAAACAGTTCATTGAAAATTGTTTCTCTCTGTTTTATGAAAGAGGAGAGAAGACAAGCCTTCTGGGAATGTTGCAAAGCAGGCTACTTTAATAAGAGTATTGAAGAGTTGATTATCCGATTGCCAAAAGAAATGATGTGGAATCAGACAGAGAAGGAAATATTGGATTCCGATGATAATTCACTGTTACACTATTTTCAGAGTGTTAAAAGTTTGTCCTTGAGAGATTCTAAAATTTATTCTGATAATTTTGGTATGATGTTGGAGAATTGCAAATCAGCTGCAACTCTTGAGGGTATTACAGAGTTGAGTGTTGAAAATAATGGATTGAATAATCTTGATATTAATTTAATTGCTGAAAAACTTCCTAATTTAACACATATTGATATTTCATCCAATCCTATTAATGAAGGTGGCTTGGATGTATTGCTGACCAATCAAAAGTTAAAGACAATTTTTGCAGGTGTAAACGAAATTGAAGATGAAACAGATTTGGACAAGATGAAATGCACACAAATTGAAGAGTTAACTATTAGTAATACTGATTTTGGAGATAGATATTTGGAACTTTTATTTGATCATAAGAAGAATAGAGATTTATTGAAGAATATGAAGGAGTTAGATTTGATGGATACGTTGCCGTCCGATGTTGGATTGTCGTACATGAAAAACTATCCATATCCAACAAATATCACCTTCCTTAATTTGGAATATAATGAGCTGTTGCCAGAAACTCTTGCCATTATCACCCAGAGCCAAGCTCTATCCAATTTGAAGACTCTATTACTTCCAAATGGATCTATTCTTTCTGAGGGGTTTAGCTTGATTACAAAATGCCCTTTTTTCAAAAATGTCACTAAATTGGATGTTAGTAATAACACAATTGGAGATGAGGGATTTATTCACTTTGGAACAGAAAATTTCACTCTCAAAAACCTAATTCATTTCAAATGCAATACTAACACAGTTGGTTATGAAGGATATCAACATTTTTTCAAGGAACCTTCTCTTTCAGGACTACAAAAGCTTAAGATTGCAGATACCAACTTTGATGATGACTCTGTGAGTGAATTGGCGTCTGCAAATTTGGCTTCCTTGAAAGTTCTTGATTTTGTAGGAAATATTATAACTGATAAGGGATTTGAAACTCTTTCTCAACTCAAGGCACCAAAATTGGAAAAAATTTTATGTGGAGGTTCCAATGCAACTTCCTACAAGGGAGCAATTTACTTTTTGGAGAATTGCTCTCTGCCAAATCTCAAATATTTGGATATTGATTTTTATGAAGAGTACAAGGAAGAAAATAAGGAAATTCTTGATGGTCCAGAAGTTGTTGAATTAGTAAAGGCCAATTCATTAAAAGTTGCCAAGGTATTAGTGCAAAGATTTCCAAGATTGAATGGTATTAAATATGACTCATATATCAGTGTTGAGATATTGAAAGTATTCCTTGATGGATTATCAGAACTGATTTCATTGTGTATTCAGGTTAATTTTATAGATGATGATCACATTATTTTACTGACCAGCCATCCACAGGCTGCCAAATTAGAAAAGCTTTACCTTTCAGATAATAAGATTACAGATGTTGGAGCTAAACTCATTTCTGAATGCGCACAGTTCAAGAATTTACTAGAGCTTTCATGTGAAGATAATTTATTTACAGATGAAGGATGGAAGTTAATATTTTCAAGTAGAAATTTAATGTCCCTCACAAAATTATTTACAGATTTCAATGAGAATGATATAGTTGACTGTGAATTATTGAATATTGATTATATATCGGCTTCTGATAAAGATCTCTATGAAGATGCTGAAGAAGAGTAAATAGCACTAATCCTTTACTACATTAATCCTTAGCAAGTGTTCTATAGTTTCTCTAATCATCACGTTATTGTTGATGAATTCCATTCCCAAATCTTGTTTAATTTTCTTATTGGAATAATAGGATGGCTTACCAAGGTTACTGTTAATACCTTGCCTTACTCCTTTTGGTTGAAATAGAGCTAATCCCTTCACAAGAATAGTTCCAAAACCTCCTTCCAATGACAATGTTGGTAATTGCTTTAGGAAATTTCTCTCTGGGAATTCTTTCTTAATTATTTCACATATTTGTCTAATTGAGATGGTTTCATCTCCACAACAAATGAAACGTTCTCCTTTGGATGGTAAAAATCTTTGTGGATTATCCATATCTAATTCCATACACTTGACATGTGAAAGAGCAACATCTTTCACATCTACAAAGGTCATGTACATTGCAATTAGAGCTGGCATTTCACCATTTACAACTTTGGCTACAATATCATGAGTTTGGTTGACTTGTTGTGGAAGAACTGGTTTACCAATGACGCCGCTAGGATTAATGGTTGCCAATTCAATGAAATCTTGTCCATGTTTAGTTTGCATTTCTTTCATTAGCTTCCAAGCTGCCTTCTCAGAAGTTACTTTGGAATAATAATAAGGATTTCTATCAACAGTTGACAATTCATTCCAATCATCCTCGGTGTAGATCTTATCCTTCTCAGCAGTATCACAAATAGCAACAATGGATGAAGTGATAATCACTCTCTGTAATCTATTGACATCATGCGTTGCTTGTTCTTGTCTGAGCTTGATACATTCATTTAGAATATTCAAAGTTCCTTTCACAGCTGGGTCAACCAATTCCTGTTGTGCATCTTTAACATCTAATTTATATGGACTGGCCACATGATGAACGAAACGACATCCCTTAATGACATCTGCAAAACTTCCTTCTTTCATTAAATCTGCCTCAAAGATTGATAAACGCTCGTTCAATACTTGTTCAGTGAGTAGTTGAGTTGGATCTGTGCAATTCTCCTTGTGGTATTGCAGGAGTGCATCTCTCAATTCATCCTTCTTTTTCAAATCTCTTATGGTAGTATTGACATGATAGCCCTTCAATAATAACTGATAAACCAAGTGGCTAGCAACAAAGCCAGTGCCACCAGTAACGCACACCCTTATGGACATTTGATTTGTTTTTTTTTGGTTTCTTGCTGTTGTAAATCTAAACCATTTCTGTTTTTGAAGAATCTGCTGCGTGAGCACTAATGTTGGCTTGAAAATGATGGAAAATATGTGCGTTTCATCTTCGAACCAATTGAAGTGCTCACTCAATATTCAATACAATGACAATACCCTACAGACAGGGTACTCCGGATTGCCCCATGCATTTTTAAAATTAGCCAAACTCCAAGGCAGTGTTGTGGTAGTTGACTCAATTATGCCTGAAAACCTTTTCTCAAGAATTTCCACCGTGTCGTTGTATTGGATAGGAATCAATCTAAATTTACTGTGGTTCAATTTAATTGGTTTCAGGAAGAAAATATTTCATCAATGCGCAATACCATAAAATATTCTTTGAATATTTCAATTGAGTGTTGGTGATATGAAAATGCAATCCTCCAAAATTCTCAAATGCATAAAGATCGCTCTGCTGAACTATTCTCCAAATCACTCTTAGTTGTAAGGAGAATTACTTCTGGATTGATGGCATGAGTACGAAATTCCTCCTTTTTGTAATCAAACACGTGCTTTACATTACTGGAATAAGGATTTCCTAATAGTAAGATTGTTGAAGTAGCTCTATAAAAGGTGAATGGAATGTGTAAAACTCTCTCACCAGAGTAACTATCCCACAATTCCAGCTTTAACTTTGTTTCTTGGCCAATGTTGAATTGCTTAACTGCAAAATCAATTCCAATTGGAGGTAGAATGAATGGATTTAAGGAAACAGGTGAATCTTTCATGGCACACTCGTGAAATGAGGTTTTTCCTGATTTATGTTCTCCATCCAATAAAACTTTGACCATTTGGGGAGAATTCTTTGGTGGGATAGAAGAAGCAATAGCATCAACTGTGTTGCTTTCTGATGAAGAAGTTTTGAAGAATCCAAGAAAACTGTCGAATAATCCTGTTTTTGACTTTTCCTTTTTTGATTTACTTTTCGAATCTTGATACTCATTGAAAAAACCTTTCAATATTACTAATTCTTCATCTACCCAACTGTCATCAACAGAAATTATTTTAGAATCTCCAGAAATTATTGCAATTTTTGCTAATTTACATGCAAATTCATAAACTTGCCTTCTCAACAAATACTTGATGAACTTCCTTGCCCGAAAATCAGAAGATAGCAACAACTGATCCAACTCTTTAAATCCCGAACATTTTAATTTAAATTTTCTAATTAATATTTCATATTCTTTCCAAATTAATTCAATAGATTTTCCTCTCCACTTTTTACACACTCTCCCAAATATGAAAAACAATTCCACACTATTGAAAAAATGTAATACTTCTCCGATTATCATATCATTAGGCAATTCATGAAAAAGAGTGGAGTAAGAAATTGTTTTGCATGTTTCCATTTTTTTTGTAAACTTTGCAAAACTTTGAAATCTCTAACATGTCATAGGAAAGTTGAAATAGAAATATCAAAGAAATTGACATTTCATGCTACTTTACATTCTCGTAAATTGTCCAAATAACAAGAGCCATTCAATTATTCATACTTTTATCAAATTTGAGATTCATCAGATCAGTGGAAGAGCACAATATTCTAAAGAACTTTCCAGACAAGAAATACTTTGGAAAGGTAATCCATTGCTCAATGAATATTCTCTTAATAAAATCCCATGGACCTGTAAATGGTTCTGGCTTATTTGTTTCCAACTTGTGTCCAATGTTTTGCATGCCCATGGCTATGGCCATAATGGGAAAACCAATAATTGAAAGAAATGGTTGAATAAAAAAGAGGACAATGGTCAGAATGGAGCCAACCATGAATAGTGGAACAAAAAACAAGTGCAATAGCAAATTAATTTTGGAAGAGTGGCGACTTTGATAAACATTCAGAGGGTTTTGAGTCATTTTCTTGTTGTTTCGAATTGTTTCGAATAGATTAGTTTGGATTGAGTTAGTTAAAGTATTGGAAATGTCCTATTGTTCCAATAGTACTCTTCCTTGGTCAGATTCTAATTGAGTCGGTTTTTTGCGGATAATCTTCCATGACCTGTGGATTTTGATATCTCAACCAAAACTCCTTTCGAAATAGATTTTGAAATGGAAGATTTTCCTTGTGAACAATTGGCTCAATTCTTCCTTAATGTTTCAGTTGGTTTCGTTTCTATAATTCGAAAGTGAGAATTTTTGAAATAATTTAATTATAATTGATATCACACAATGTAAATTCTGTTTCTTCTTTGAATCCACTTCGTACATACACTCCATTTGAGGTTGGATTTGATGAATCGGCAGTCAGAAACATCCACTTGAATAATTGATTTCCACCTTCTTCCTTTCTTTCGAATAATTGCATTGACATGGATTGAATGAGAAATGAGGCAATACCTCTTCCTCTATATTCTTCCTCTGTGAATACATGAGTAATTCTACATGCACTTGGAATTGGAGTGGCCAAAGCAATGGCAATAGGATTCGAATTTCCTTTCATGGTAACATAGAAGGTATTTCCTTTCTGGGATGGTCTAAGCAACATATTTTCGAGAATAAATTGTTCTGATGGCACTATTGCTGGAAAACAAATCTTACAAAATCTGTGAATCATATTGGCACAGTGTTTGGTTAGATTTTCATTGGTTGTGTCCAAAAATTTGAGTTCGTAATTTGTTTCCTTAGGTGGAAGTGTTAAATGATCTCTAATGAGTGAGTAGGACATCATCTTTACCTGAATTTTGTAAGAAGGAGAAGGATTCATACCAGGATCAAAATTTGAAACGTATTCCTCACATAGAAATAAACTTTCCTCAGTTGACCAGAATCCAGTCAACTTTCTGTCAAACTTTTTAACGATTTCTTCAAATTGATCAAAGGATAATACATCACTATTGTTGGAAATTCTCAAATTCCGATAATCAACTGAACAAAACATTTTTAAAACTCCTCTTGCAACTATTTTTCTAGTTTCCAATAATTGTTTCTCATCTGGAAAACTAAACACCATCAATTGTGGTGGAAACCAAGTCACGACTCTTTCAATTTCTCCCTTCTGATGTACAACCATAAGGAATCTCCTATCTATTGTAAATCTTTCCGGATTGTCAACCATGGATTTCATCAAACCAATTTGATAATTATTACTTGCAGAATTTTCAAGAAGAAACGCAAGACAATCATTATAGAATTTCAAGGTATCTGTGTAGAATGTGATGGTGTGAGAGTTTTCATCAATGGAAGGTAAGGAATAAGTTATTGACATTTTTTTTTAAAGAGTTTTCACAAAGATTACAATAAAAAAAGGCAATTACCATCAACTTGTGTAACAATTATAGAAAATCCGTACTATTTGTTGAAATCTTATTGAATAGCAGTATTAGTAATTAAATTATTCCAATTTTTTTGTAATTTAGAACTTCCCAATTTTGCTCCAAGCTCGATTTTCTTGAAAAACCACCACCACGTGTAAACCTCCTTTTGATACTTGTCCAATTCCTGTTTGTTATTGTATAAATGGTATTCCTTAATTCTGGATTAATATGATAAGGTGTTCTTTGTGTGAAATAATTTTTCAATGGATGATTGACTTAACCAGAAAAAAGACAAAACAAATCCTCAGGAATAGGAATTGAGCCATATTTATTACAAAAGTTTACAATAGTGTTCAAAATAATTCTAAAGTTGTTTAGATTTTTCAAAAAAATAGATCAAAAAAAAACAATGGAATACATTGGGGCCAATCTCATTCTCTCCTATTCATCTGCAGAAAAGAATGCAATCATCACACACGATAAAAGATCAACTACTGCCATCATTAATCAAGATGATGAATTTATTCCATTTCTCTATCTAGGAGGAAAGACAGCTGCAGAAATTGATCATCAAGCACTTTATGAAGCATTCTCAATTACTCATCTATTGAATGTGAGTGAAACTCCTAATAATAATACTTGTTGTAATATTAAATCAAACTCCGATGATGAGAATGAAAATAATTTAATAATTGATGATGAAAATGAAAATAATGAAAAGGAGACAAATTCACCCATTCAAAGTCTTCATCTTCCGTTCCTTGATGCTCCGAATGGTAAATTGGAACACATTCTGCCACAAGCTTTCGAATTTATTGAGAAATGTTTCGAACAGAAAGGTTGTTTATTGGTGCATTGTAGAGCTGGAGTTTCTCGTTCAGCAAGTGTGGTGGCTGCCTTTATAATGTATCGATTTGGATTCAATCTAAAAAGAGTTCTATCTCTAATGAAAGAGAGGAGACCTTCGGTGGATCCAAACTTTGGTTTCATTTACAAATTGAAAGAGTTGGAGAAGCAGTATTGTGATGAGAAGGATTTAGTGGATAGTATTAATGTGGAGGAGGTGTGGAGCAAGTATTGGTATGATTATGAGATGGTGAAGGAGTGGACACAAAGTGAAATTGCTGAACTGTTTAGTATGGATGGAGATTTTGATGAGAATGTGGAAACACTAATTTCATTAAGGAATAGATCAAAATAAATAAATACCAGAAAATCCTTAAGAAAATATTTAAGATCATTAAGGAAAGACTCAACAAGCCCGTCTAGCTCAGTCGGTAGAGCGCAAGGCTCTTAACCTTGTGGTCGTGGGTTCGACCCCCACGGTGGGCGATTCAGTTTTATATTTCTAGTTATTTGTATCTAGATATTCCTTTTACCTTAAACCAATGTTGAACAGAGTTTAATTATTTACATATTTTAAAAGAAACCCCATGCTTTGAATTGTCTTGAAATTCTTTTGCATGCTTCCATAACTTGTGGTTTCAAATCTTTGGAAAGATCTTTTGGATTATCCAAGAATGCAAATGGAACAGCATTTGTAACTTTATCCACAAATTGCTTCTCTGACATTGACTCTGTGAAATGTGTTAAAACAATCATTGGATTGAAAGGAAGCCCCTTTACATCTGTTTCTTTAACAGCATTTTGGAATTTGACAAATTTTTGTAAAGAAACAGAATTCCATTCACAAGCTCTACAAACAAAAATAACTGCGTCAATTCTATTATCGAGGTCAATCTTGTTTGTCAAGTAATTTTCCACTAAATTAGTTCCGGTCTTGATTCCTTGCAAGATTAATTTTAAGGTATTCAAGTCGTCTGGATTTTCGAATGGTTTACCAGCAGAATCAAACAACAACAAGTTGGCAGACGAAACTGGAACACTTTCGTAAAGTAAGGTACCAACTTCTGCCTTTCTTCCAACATCACATGTTTCAACCATGATATTTGGATTGAAAAATTTGAGGAGAGTGTTGATGAAGGATGATTTACCTGAATGTGGATCACCAACCACAAGAATTTTGAGAGGAAGGTTTGGGAGAGTTGTTAAAGACATTTTTTGTTGAACCAAATTGAAACGTGATGTCACGTTAAGAATATCTACTCACTGGTATTTATTTTCACGTTTCGAAAACTTTTTCGATGTGTATTTCATTACATTTTTAAGGAAAGATGCATTAGTTTCAAAGAAAGTTGGGTCAATACTTTTGCTAAAGACATATTTATTCATTTAATAACTAATCTATCTACGCTTTGTAAGAACCTCTGCACTGACAACAAGGAACACAAATCCAACTACATTTTCTTTAACAATTTCTGAATTCATCCATTCAGAAAGTGACAAGTTTACACCTGTTGGCAATCCATGAATTAACTTTTGAATTTGATTCACATCATTTCCATCCATTCCCTTTTCGAATGGTTTACCAGCAGTATCAAAGATGTGATATTCATGACCATTAGAGGAACCGAGATGAACTTTTTCATAGTGAACTGTGCCAACATCTGCCTTTCGTCCAACATCACAACTTGCAACTTGGATTCGTCTATTGAAATATTTACACAATGTGTTGATTGTTGAGGATTTTCCAGAGTGTTGAGGTCCAAGCACAAGAATGTTGGTAGACTTTTTGTTAGGATTATATTTCATGTTTTCAACCTCAATTTTTTGTAACATCAAGTCAATGATTTTGTTCTTTTCTGATGGAATGTCAGTTTCCAAGTTGATATGATTTTCAAAAAAGAAAATTCTATTTTCATGGATAAGGTTAGACAGAGATTCCTTTAATTCAATTCTTGTTGAGCTGGGGATTTTTTCATGGTTTGTAATAATGACCAAAGGTTTTTGTTCTGATAAAGTTGAAATACGAATGTGGAAGAAACTTACTGAGTGATGATTTTTTTTCGAGCCATTGGTAAAGATTTCCAATATTAATAACAGCGTCTGTGTCTATGACAATAGATGGACCAAAGAAAAATTCGAACAAACCCATTTTTTTTAAGTTATTCGAATCTTGGTGGAAACGAGTGAGGTAGAAAAAGTATTGTGATTCTAACTACAAACTGCAAACGTGATGATTTCTATGCAACCTCTCACGTTTCCATTCTATTCGAATCTAATGAAAGAACAAGAAACGTGAAATCATCACGTTTGCTATTAGAATCACAAATCTCGTTTACAATAAAAACTCAAAAAAAAACGCATGCAGATCTTTCAGACCTTTCTTCAGAATTTTCGTGGTTTGTGGAGTAGAAACACAATTCAAAAGACTCAATGCAAACCCTCTTTGGAAATTTTAGAGGACTGCTTTAAGAAAAACCGTAGGTTTCTTTCATTTTAGATTCAGATACAGTTTCGAATAGAAGAAAAAGTTGTTTTTGTTTCATTTGGAAAGAAAGAAGCCATATTCAGCAATATTCCAGAAAATTACTTTCTTTTCGTTCAGAAAGAAACGGATTTCGATCTTATTCATCAAACCATTCACAAGATTGTGAAACATCGAAATGACCAAACTATTTCGATTAGAATTTTAGGTCAACCAACTCATTTGAAAGAGGAAATTCAACAATTGTTCTTGTCATTGTTTAATGTTGTGGAAGATGGTGATAATTCGAGTGACGTTGTCGTGTATTTTGTTGAAAACATTGAAACTGTATACGAAACTGTTTCGGATAGTCCAGAAAGAGTTTCTAATGCTTCTGACAATGATCCACAAGAATTATCTCATAACTTATTTGATAGGGTCACCAACGAACTAAACTCTGACATTTCCATAACTGGAAATTACAACGAGCACGCAGAACTTTTAAGAAATTGCCTCTCTCGTTTAATCAACCCAATTTCAAAGGAGAAGAAACTATTCTTATTTAGTTGGAAGAAAGGTCCTCAATCAACTGTTTTCTTTAGAGATGATGGTTATTTTAGAGAACACAAAGATGATCCATTATCGAGGGAGAATTATTGTGTTTTGTTTCTTCCAATGGATAAAGAAAGTTATTGGAGTTTGAAGAGTGAATATTTGAAATTTGTTCAATCGACTCATCCAAATGTTTCATTCTTTTATGTTGATAGCATTGGGTCTTTTGATGAGCGTCATTTGTCAATTGATTTTATTAAGTGGCTTTCAGGATAATCATCTATAAATGGAAATAATTAATACATTCTCCTTTACTAGTCATTCATCATTGTGTTGTTACTTCTAAATATTACTTTGACAGTATTTGGTGAGGAAATGGATCATTGTGTAGTTACTTCTATTATGTGAGGAAGAAAGTAGGAGAAATTAGTGGATAACACATGAAAGTGAAACCAGAGTTGACACACCATAACGTATAGTTACCATTAATGTTGTTAATTAGTGAGTACTTTATTGAAATTAATTCATTTTTACAGCTTAGAACATCTCATAAAAGAAGAACTATTTAAAAGAAAGTTCTGAGCACTACATTGCTTGCTCTCGAAAGATCACTTTCACTTGGATCATTGTTTGATTGACCAAATGTAAGGTTGCCTTCCAATAAACATTTAAAACGATCAACTTGCAAATTATCTGAATTGAAATCCCAACCAAAAGGGTCAAATAATGAAATCTTGTCTGTAAGTGGATAATTATTAACTCTATTCGATTGAATAGTTTATAATAAGTGAAACAACTTCTAGAAGCTATTAAGAATTATTTTACTTTTTTAATGAGTTTTAACAGATTTTCAATCTCTGACTCATTTTCAATAGCATCAATTGAACAATTATAATCATAATATAACCACACAACACCTCTCTCTCTAATAGATATATCCGATTGATAGAGATTTACACCTGAAGGAAACGAATCATCTGGTGAGTCCTTTTTCCAATAGGTCTTATTGAGAGTTGCCAAAACCATGATAACAGATGCTCCTCCATAATTTTTGTTCTCATCTGAGAGTGTTACCTTGAAATCAGACCATGTTGGTGGTCCATTATGATAAATGAATCGAAGGACGACATCTGGCTTTTGAATTTCTTGCAATGATTGAATATTGAGATTGAGGAATTGTTGATTGGCCTTTTCTTTGAGTTTCTTCTTGAAATTGCCAGAGATTCCTTCCTTTCTATCTGAAATTGCAACTTGAAAGGTTCTTTCTCTGATTATCTCAATAGTATATTTTTGGGAGGTTGAAGGAGTTCTTGAATTCATTATTGATAGGACTGATTGACCAATGGTGGATGGTGTCGTGAAGGAAACCTTAATGACTGATCGTTCAGGGATGAATTCCACCATGCATTCCATAGAGCTACTGGCAAAATGTTGTAGAACTGCTCTGACAGATGTCAAGTCAAGGAATTCAACATTCTCATCATAAATGTCGCATATTTTAAATTCCAAATAGGTAAGAGTCTTCTCACGTAAAACCCATTTAGAATCTTGAATTTGCACATTCTCTGAGTTAATAAGGGCCATCTTGGACCAGTTGACATCCTGACAATCAGCAGTAAATTCAACAGTTTTTTGTTGATCTCCAAACTTGAGCTGAAGCACTGCTTCCCCCACAAACTGACATTTAAAGTCAATAACAAGATTATTATCCATAACTGAGACCTTACAATTCCATTCAGAATTTCCACATCTCACAATTGCCTTAATATCCTCCGCCTTAAACTGCTTGACTTGATGTGAATTGTTAATATTAACACAGGGGATGATAACTGAGCAGTCTTTTCCAGCTATACATCTCTTATTCCAGTTTGATTTGGAAATACTATTAGCTAAAGATAGTTCTCTATGGTTAAATGTCTTGACTTCCTTTAATAGAATGGTTCCCATGTATTCTAAAGAAAATTCGTATAATCCTTCGTTTTTGATACAGAAAGATCTGTTCCATTGCTTCCTTCTTTGTAAGCTTGATTGCAATACCAAATTAGATTTCTTTTCAAATGTTTCATTATGCATATCAACACCACGAACTCGAATAATTAAATCACTTTCCTTCACGTTCAAATCTGTTTCGACAATAAAATTCACTGGATCATTGGTGTAAATTATTTGAGAATGAGGTTCTATTCTTTTTACATGAACCTCTCCGATTCCAATTGATCTGGGAGGATCTTGAATTTTCTTTAATTCCAATTCAGATTTAGTTTGAATAATTGGCAATGTTTGAGTTGTTTGATTTTGAATCAGTGATGGCTTTTCAGAGTTCATTAATCCACTCTCTACAATTTTAATCATTTCACTTTTCATTGATTTTGAAACTTGGTCAACAATATTATTCAACTGTTCCAATTGACTCATCGAAGTTGCATTCCACCAAAACGGTTTCATCTCAAACAATCGACTCAAATACATCAAAGCAGCTCCTTCCCTAGAAAGCTTAATCTGTTTAAATTCCAATCTGATTTGATCGACATTTGATCTTGAAAAAGAGACAGCCCATGGATAATTAGTGTCACCATATTTGAATTGAAGTTCTAGAGCTTCTAATAAATCATCCTTTATGTTATTCATATGGACGAATTGGACTGCCAATTCATAGTTGAATGGAGTTGCAAACTTGAATGATTGCAACATTTTTTTTCTTTTAAAACGTGATTTGTTGAATGGGCTTTTTGAGTCTTGGAATTATTATTAGAAAGCACGTTTCGTCCACTTTACTCCAACACGTTTCGTTTCATCACGTTTCGAATGGCCTTAAAAGTTGGTTGTGTTTATCACGTATTAGAGAAATATATAACAAGAAAAAACAAACAACCAAATCATCAAACAATAAGAATGTCATCCCCAACCCACTATGCTTGCCTTGAATCCAATAACAATTCAAAGTTCAGATTTGCCTATCATGAAACATTCTCATCCCAACAATCTGGAAAAGTATTCTTGATTGATTTTGAAAATTCTGTCAAGTATATGAATGATAATTGTCCTCTTGATGTCATCAATACAAAGGTTTTTACTCAATTGGTCAGTGGACTTGTTTCAGTCAAGATTTCAGACGAAACTAAAGGAGTCATTGAACTCACCATTGGAACCAAATGTTTGAAATTGGAAAAGACTGAAATTACAAGTCAAGATTTCCTTCAAGAACAGGTTTACTTGTTGGAGAAGAAGTTTGAAAGAATGCTCAAAGGTAAGTTGTCGGCAATTCGAATAATTTTGTTGATAACAACAATTTAAAAGAAAATGATAACAAGATTAAAAGCTTGAATGAAGAAATTCACTGCTTAAGAGCAATGAATGAAGAATTGGCTCGAGTTGTGAGAACCAAGAACGAAGAACAACCTGTTCAACCAGTTGCTGAAGAAGTTCCACCAGTTGTTGTCGAATAATTGAAAACTAATGTGTTGTACTTCAATACTTTACACTGTAAATAAATTTATTCAAATGTACAAATTGCAACATCACAAAGTGACCTTGATCTCTCGCTCAAAATTGGTGCTGACATTTTCACAACCTCCAAATAACTCATTGCAATTGGATGTTCATAATTGGTAATGTTAATAATCTTTTTGAATATTTGTCGAGCAGCTTTGTAATCCTTAACAGCAATTGCAACTCTACCAACACCAATCATGGATCTAATTTCAAGAGAATTCATTTGTAAACCACATTCAAAATTATCAATTGCTTTTTGGTAATGTCTGATATGTCTCAAACCTTCTCCTTTAAAATAGAGAACCTCTCTCTTCATTCTACTGTCTTCTATCAGATCATCTGCTCTGTCGAAGAATAATTCTGCCAATGACTTGTGAGTGTGCACTCTGTTCACGCTATTCATCAAGTTGATTGTCTTTCTGGTGCAGAAATTATTCTTATTAATGTCAGTGGCCACATCATTTGGATTCAGTTCGTGATGATCAGAAGAGCAAGTGCATTTCTCATGACAGGTTGAGTATAATCTGGATAACATTGCCTCACAGACAACACCAATTCCAGAATAGGCAATACAGTAAGAGGTCCTACTATCATAGGCCAATGTTGGATTATTCCTCACTTGTGTATATTCCTTGTTTTGAAGCAATTCAATGAGATCTGAAATTCTGGCTGGATCCAATCGTGTTGGGTTAATTCTGAAAATTTCCTTTCCCATCAATGCATAAGTTACTTGGATAATGAGTAAGAAACAATCCAGAGCTTCTGAGAATCTATTCAAACACAACAATGTCAATCCCTTATTCAAAATGGTCAAACAAGCTCCACTATATCTCAACAGGTAGAATCTATCGTAAACACCTCTCTTGTATCTTTCCTCAACAGGTGAAACATTGCCAAAATTTGGAGCAAGATATTGAACACTTCCATTCTTTTCATCAGCTGGAAGAGTCAAAATATTTTCACATTGTCTTGCCAATTGATGGTCATTGCTCATCTGATTAAAGATGTGATCGTCTGGATGAATGGTGCTCACTGTGAAATTATCAATTGCCAATGCAATTGCCTTATTGTATGTTTCCAAACTGGAATTGAAATCTTCCTGTAAAAAATAGCAATTTCCCAAAGCATTGTAAACTACATCAAATGATCTGTTAGTCATTGCAATACATTTCTGAAATGTTTCCATTGCCTTTTTGAATTCTCCTCTTTCATTGAATGCATTTCCTTTTATAACGTAGGCCCATCTATGTTTTGGATCTAATTGTAAAACCTTCTCTTCAACTTTGATTGCCTCTGAAAAGTTGGCGCTCACATAATGAGTCACTCCTTTATGGTAAAGAGCTGTTTGATTTCCAATAAATTATACGAAACAATGTTAATGTTAATAATAGAATGAATGAAACAAACCTTCAATGTGATTAGGTGAAATGTCTAAAATTTTATCAAAGTAATCAGCAGCTTCCTTAAACTTTCCCTTCGCATACAAATTCGAAAATCCCCTTTCGAATAATAAGGCTATAGGCATATTATCTGTACTGGCCATGTTATATATTAGTTAGTTAATAAGAAGTTATTGTTATGTAATAGTTTACAATAATGGTGTAGTGGTGTGTTGGAGTGAATATTAATTAGTTTAATATTCAATAGATATATAGTACAGAGTAAATATGATACAAGTATGTGTGTGTTCCCGAAACAATAAAAAGATAGAATGAAAAAACCAATATCGAACACTTCTGATGTTGTTGTTTAGTTTTTTTCTCTTATTGTTTGCTAATGTTTTAAACAACAGTTAAAAGTTTAAATCCGAGAGATGATGGATTTCAATGGGATTTGGATGGATAACTCTCTAAACCAAGATCTGAGGTAATGGGTTGAATGATGGATATTGTATTGATGGAGGATGGTTTAATAATGGGTTGGCTGATAGTGTTGCTAGTGCTGATGATGATGATGTACTGTTTTTGTTGTTGGATTTGGTTGAAACTGTTCAGAAAGGTCCTGAGATGGCAGTTGTGTGTTGTATTATGATGAGATGTTGAGTTATTGTTTTGTGTTGTTATGCTTGATTTTGTGATGATGGCAATTGGCATTGGAGAGATACTGAATGTTGATCAATTCCAGTTCATACACAAGAGCATAACAATTGTTGTCATGTTGTTGTTGTGGAAAGGAACGTGTGTTAGGAGGTTTCGGTAAATTGTTGAAGATTGTTATTGTGGAAAGTCTACTATTTAGAAACAAACATTTCTTGTTAAAACTGAGACAGTTGTAATCATCTCCTTCCATATGAATGGCAATCTCGCGTTTTTTAAAAAGTGGATGCACCCAACAAATATGGTAAGGAAATTCGTAAGAAAGAAAAAAAGTAGTGGAGATGCGGGGTATCGATCCCCGTACCTCTTCCATGCTAAAGAAGCGCTCTACCATGTGAGCTACATCCCCTTACATATGTGTTATTGGAAGTATATCTAGGCAGATAAAAGAGCGAGTACCAAGCCTTCAGTACTTGTGCTGGTACAATGATAGAAGGTTTTGGCAGAGTTAGAATTGAGAATAGATTGATTTACCTAATCCTTAATTACTGTTAATTCAAAAGGGAACAAATAATATTTGTAATAGTCTTCCCTCCATCAAAGTCAATGTCGTTTCTTTTGTTTTTCTGTTGTTGTGTTATCATATTGTTGAGAACAGTGTTAGCTTTTTCAAACAGTGATGGAAGAGCATTAATAACCACATCTCCTTCTACCTTGGAAACACATGAATCTCCAATGTTTTCTATTAAGGCCTTCTCCGTATAAGGGTGTTCTATCATACCATATCGTTCCAAATATAATGTTGGTATCTTGTGGAATAGAACTTCTGTTACAGTACCATATGAAGTTTTACCAACAAGAACATCAACAGCCAAAAGTAAATCTCTTGCAAAATCAATATTTTCCTTCTCAAGATCTAGGAATGAAAAATTGACAACATTTGGCATCCTATTTTCTACAGAACTTCCACACATTACAATTACTATCCAATCGTCTGGAATGTTCCATTCCAATTGCTTTTCTTGAAGAAGGGTTGGTGAAGGAAAGCTTAACCCACCAAATGAAAACATCATAATCTTGTAATTCTTATTGGAAGGCATCTTGGATTTAGAAATAACCCAATCTTTCATATACTCTTTAGTGTATTTTGTATTTTTAATAGTTGTCGTAATAGGCCAACTATTTTCTGTAGACTCGATAATTGTATCCGATCCAAATGGTAATTCGTTTGTAGAGTAAGGCAGTTGGATAAAAATGTCAGTCTTTCCATGTATAGAGTATAGAGATCTACATTGCTTTACCATGAGTTCCTTTTCTTCCTTTAACTTGGAATAGTTCACATCAAGTCCATCAATATTTCCAACAATTTCATCTGTACTCTTTGGAAGAGAAATGTGAGACATTGAATGTTCATAAATGTACTCCCAACACCAATTACTTATTCCAATAGAGAGCGGCAGGCGACTTTCCAATCCATATTTTCTGTTGAGCCTCTTTGCCATTACTGGAGCAATTTCAGGAACATCCCACACAATTAGCTCAATCTGGTAAGGTTCCAGAAATTGTTCAATCTCACAAATCATTGAATTTTCAGTTGGAATTCCATTGTGATCCTGTTCATCCCCATACAAACATTCAAAGTGTTGACTCCAATGTTTTTTCCATCGCTCAATTGTTTTACAAGGAGATGTTGATACAGAATTTTGTTCCTCAATCAATCCTACAGAAATCTTTGTTCCTAAAATTCTAATCTGTTGTTCTGGTATTTCCTGAAGTCTCTCCTTGAGGAAGAACCTATTCACTCCACTCACAATATGAAAGATAGCACTCGGGAAGTTTTTATGTAATTCATTCAATACTGGAGCAAGCCTAGCAGTATGTCCAATTCCGTGATCCGATATAAAGACAGCAATATGGGAAATATTCATCATAAAAAGAAAGTTTTAATGGTGTAACAATCTGCCAAGTAAGAGTATCAGAATTTAAATATTATTAAAATGTTGTCGATGGAGGAGTTAAATAGTTGCTGCTGTTTTTTTCAGCTTCATCAAGCTTGGCTTCCGACTAGCTATTGTAATCTCGTTGAAAAAATTTAAAAAAAAATGTTGAGACTCAGCAAGAACATTATCCGATCATCAAAGGTGAGCAATCATTATTGAAGCAAATTATTAAATCATTAATCGACTTGTTCTGTATTTTACTAAAATCTTGTATATGTAAATTTATCATCATCTAAAAATTTAGAACACCAGATTTGCTCTTTTGTCTACTCAAAGAGCCACTTACTTTACTGATGCCTTCAGTGAAAGCGATAAATTCGCCAAGGAATTGAACAAAGTACGTCATCATCTTGTTTTTATATAATAACCATCAATAGTATCCAGTTATTACCGAAGGTTTCGGTGGTGAATATGCTCAACAATTGTTCAGACACGGTTATAACACTAGCCAATTGGGATACATCAAGTTGAGTGTACGTACATTGTTCTTATTGTTAATTAATTTATTGTTGATTTTTGATGTTGTGATGATGATTATAAAAATCTTAGCTCGAAGAAACCTTGTCTTTCTTCAAGAAGGAAGGTACTCCAATCACTCAAAACAATGCCGCTCTTACTAAATTCTTGAAGGATGCTGGTGTTGCTCCAGAAGTTGCTACTGATTTGTTGACTACTGTCTATCAAAGAGGTCAAGAAGGTATCTTTGATACTATTGTTGCTCAATTCAACAAGTTATACAATGCTCATTTCCAAATTGCTTATGGTAAATTGACTTTGCCACAACCACTTTCCACCAAGTATACTACTTTCTTGCACCTTATGAAGATGGCTGCTGTCGGTACCCTTGCTCCAGTTAAGACTAAGGTCAACTTTACTTCAGACATCTTGCCTTCCGATCTCGGTGGTTGGAGAGCTGACGTCGGTGAAGACTCTATTGATAAGTCTTTCGTGACAGAGCTCGGTAAGATTATTTCTGATGAAAAGCAAAACTCTGTTTTGAGATCCCTCTAAATGTAGAACAACAACAATAATAATTAAAATGGGCTTTTGGTCTTGAAGATTTCAGCTTCTATTGCAGATTCTCAAATAAAAATTTAAAAATTCAATAATTTATTAAACATTGGAAGGTAAATTATTGAATGAAATTTGGTGTATTTCATTATCACCAAAAATTAAAGCAAAGGAATTGAGAGTGAAATCAAACTGTTTAGCTGATGAAGTTATTTCACTTAATTCCGATCTATATTTCTCATCTGTATATGCTATTGAGACATGTGACTCGTTCTCATTGTATGCAATCGTTCCCTTAGTTAATTCTCCACATTTTCTTCTGAATTGAAGAAATGACATTTGATCTTCAATGAATTTCTCAATCTTTATACTTGCAAAGAGACAAATCACCTTCTTATCTTTGATTCTATCCACATCTGATACATGAAAAGAGTCTACCGAAGCCTTGAATGGATATAATTTGTTTTCTGGATTATTTACAAAATCCTTAACTGCTTGAAGAGCAGTTTCCTTGTATTCGTTCGGAATCTTCACAACAAGAGTAGAGTGAAAATTGTGTTGTGGTTCTCCTTTAATTTTATGACCATGATTGTCCAATCGCCATTCCTTCTCCACAAGATTATAAATATTTTCGAATGATCTGGCAACATCATCTTCCATCTTTAAGCAACTGTACCCAAATTTACGTGGAGCCATTTTTTTTGTAAACAATTAGCAATTTCAAAAGTGCATTAATTTATCAAATCATCGAGCCAATCATCTAAATCACCTGCTTTCTCTTGGGTTTTTGGGTTTTCTGGAGATGTTTGTTTTGGCAGTGTTGCTGATGTTGTAGGAATGGATTGGGTAGAGATTGGAAGGGTTGGGTTAATTGGACTAGTAATTTTCGGAATTGTTGCTGAGCTAGATGAAGGGTTTGGATGCATTGAAAGTAAATCATCCAGAATGTCATCATTCTTCAAATCAATTTTAACTGGTTCAACTTTAGGTTTTGGAAGTGTGAAAGTGGTGTGCTTGACTTCATTTTCCATAATTTCATCCAGAATGTCCATTGAATCGTCTTGTTTCTTTTCTGTAGTTTGTTCTTGTTGGGTGGTTATTTGCTCGACTGGTGCTTTGGTTGGTACACTTGGTTCTTCTTGCATTGGTTCAGCATCGTTTTCACTATCAGATGAAATATCTTCCACTTGCTGTTGTTGTGTTGTCTTGGATTTCAAATATTGACTAAATGGTACAAATGATGATGATGGTACATTTTCGGTATTTTCTTCTGGTGAGCTATTGGATGGGAAAGGTTGAATGTCAATTAACTTTAATCTTCTTTCAACAGAAATACTTGGATCCTTGAGCAAAGTTGCCAATTTAGATTGATCCAAGTAGAATAATTTTGACATTATAGAGTCAGCATCTGATGAATCTAATTTTTCTTCTTCCCATTCCAATAATCCTCTAGAAGTTCCTGGTGATGCAAATGACTGTGTCAAAGTTACACTATTAGAAATCATCATCATGGTTTCCTTTTCCATTCTATTTAATTCATGTTGTAATTTTGCTTGAAATTTCCTTTCTTCTGCTTCTGGTGTTTGCACTTCATCGTCTTCCTCCGATTTAAATCTAAAAGAATTATCAACAAGAGATCTTTTACCATATTTTGCTCTCTTTAAATTTTCCTCTTGTTGCATCATTTCAAGTTCCTCCTGATCAACATCTTCATTATCATTCACAGTTTGAATGCTTCTTCTAAATCCAGTACCAGACATTTGTCCAGTGATCATGAAATGTTTATTCGATCGGGATGATGAATGTTGTTGATGTTTCTTGTTTTTAGTATGAAACTTGGAAGGCTTCTTCTTGACTTCTCCTCCCGAAGATGATGAAGCATTGGTTTTACTTTTCTTTTCGCTCATTTTTTTATTTAAATTAATAATTATTTATTTTTAATATTAAATAATTTACATTCTGAGTACTATGATGTTGTATCAGTCAATTTAGTATTATACATTGATATTTAATACTACTTTACAATTATTACTTATTCCGAAGAATATCCAATGGATAACACAATTTTCCGTTAACATTTTAACATATCAAGTAAAAACAAGTGTGTTTCATCTTTCCATCACTATGAGTCATTCAATCCTCACAACATTTTATCATTATCTTCACAATATAAGAGTTACAAGTTGTCTTTAAATTCTCTGAGACTCCCTCTCTCTGTTACAAACCTCCAACCCGAAAATACTATAAATTCTTCTTCATCAATATTTTGCGCTTCTTTGAAAAAAAAGCCTTGATTGGATCAAAGGAAGCGCACACTCAAAGATAATTGTAGGTACCCTCCTAAAGTTTTTGGAACTAAAAAGCCTTTTCGTTAATGTGATGATGTTGTTGTTGTGGTGTGAATTCATTAATTATCGTAACGGAATAGAAAGATGAAGACTAAATATGTTTTGGTGATTGGTGGTGTTATTTCAGGACTTGGTAAGGGTATCATTGCCAGTTCCGTCGGTAGATTGTTGAAGGAAGCTGGTCAAAATGTTACTAGTATCAAGATTGATCCATATATTAACATTGATGCTGGTACTATGTCTCCTTATGGTATGTTTTTCATATTTACATGATGATGTTCATTCTTATTCTTTTCTACTTGTGCTATCTTCTCATTTGCTATTTGCCTTCTTGCATCCAAACGAACACTGTCCACTCTGCTTTGTTGTCTTAACTTTCCATTGAATGAAACTGTGTGGGTCGTTGTGAAATTTTTTTTGATGCACATTTTGTTTGTATTTTGCTCTTTCCTCAATATGACCTTGTTTGGTGCTGTGATATCTTCGTCAATAATGGGCTCACTTTTCACACAATCTTTTTCACATGTACACTCTATAGAACATGGTGAAGTTTATGTTTTAGATGATGGTGGTGAAGTTGATTTGGATTTGGGTAACTATGAAAGATTCCTTAATTTGAGACTCCACTCTGATAACAATCTTACTACTGGTAAGATTTACAAGTCTGTCATTGAAAAGGAAAGAAGAGGTGACTACTTGGGAAAGACTGTTCAAGTTGTTCCACACGTTACTAACGAAATTCAAGAATGGATTCGTCGTGTTTCTCTCGTTACTACAGATGTTGCCATCTTGGAAAAGCATCCATCATCTAATCCTGATGTCTGTATTATTGAATTGGGTGGTACCATTGGTGATATTGAAGGAATGCCTTTCATTGAAGCTTTGCGTCAATTCCAACAAAAGGTTGGAAGAGAAAACTTCTGTTGCATTATGGTCAGTTTGGCTCCTGCTATTACTTCAGACAGTGAACAAAAGACTAAGCCAACCCAACAATGTGTCAGAGAATTGAGAGCTGTTGGTTTCTCACCAGATTTCATTGTTGTTAGATCCGAAGAAGTTTTGCAAAAGGCTGTCAGAGAAAAGATTTTCAACTTTTGTGGTGTTGAAAGTGTTGACCACGTTATTGGTTGTCACAATATGAGAAATCTCTTGGCTGTTCCAGAATTGCTTGCTCAACAAGGACTCGGTAAATTGATTCAAAAGAGACTTGGTTTGCAACAAAAGAGTGATTTGCAATTCGATCAATTGCCAACATGGTCCACTTTTGTTTCCAAGTTCGACCAAGTTGATACTCAAAAGACTGCTACTAGAATTGCCATTGTTGGTAAATATACTGAACAACCTGATGCTTATCTTTCCATTCAAAAAGCATTCCAACACTCAAGCTTAATGTTGGGAGAAAAGATTGAACTCGTTTATATTGAAGCCAGTAATTTGGAACCAACTGAATGTACTGCTGAAGATGAAACTTCTTCTCAATCATCAGATACTGAAGTTTACTCGACTAATTGGGATTTGCTCAAATCATGCCATGGTATTTTGGTTCCAGGTGGTTATGGTATCAGAGGTACTGAAGGTAAAATTGCTGCTGTCAAGTATGCCAGAGAAAATAATATTCCATACTTGGGTATTTGTTTGGGTATGCAATTGGCAGTTGTTGAATTTGCTAGAAACGTTCTCGGATATAGCAATGCCACTAGTGAAGAATTCAATGGTGAACAAGAAGAATCAGAAAAGAAGCACAGAAAGAAGAGAGTCGATCCAAAGAATGTCATTGTTTACATGCCAGAAATTTCCAAGACTCATTTGGGTGGTACCATGAGATTAGGTTCAAGAACTACCATCTTTGTCAATTCACCTGTTGGAGATGATAGCGAAATTGAAAACCTTGAAGGATCTCTCTTATCTAAGTCAAAGATTTTCGAATTGTACGGTAAGAAGCCAAGAACTAATGAAAGACACAGACACAGATATGAAGTCAATCCAAATTTGGTTCCAGAATTCACAAAGCAAGGACTTATCTTTGTTGGTCAAGATACCACCAGACAAAGACAAGAAATTTGTGAAATTTTGACTCATAACTACTTTGTTGCTGTCCAATACCATCCAGAATTCCAATCAAGCTTGGAAAATCCAAGTCCACCATTTGTTGGTTTGGTTAAATATTCTGCCGAACAAAAGAGAAAGGTAGAAACTCAACAATAATTGCGATGTAAATAAAATTTTGTACAAACAAACATTCAGTTTGAACTTTAATAAATTATTTTGTTGAGATTTTAAGGTGTTGGCTTAATTAGAAGCAACTACCTTTAACATTTATCTGATATCATCAAAGTATCTGTGTTCCAAAGCTTCCTTTGCAGTGATACGCTTATTTGGTTGATAGATCAACATACGCTTAAAAGGTCAATTAGATCAAAATAATTATTTAAAAAACTTACACCCAAAAGATCAATACCAGCTTCACAAAGGTTTGGAACCAAACCACCAATGAAATTACCACGCCAGTTAGGGAAGATTGCCTTCCAGTTTGGTAATGAAGTAACACCACTCCACACAGTTTCTGATGGTGTGCCCAATAATTGGAAGATCTTGTAGAGCATATCAATTTCAGAGTCTGCTGGGAATAATGCTTGTCCAGTACATAATTCAGCAAAAATACATCCAATACTCCACAAATCGATTGGTGTTGAGTATCTCTTGGCACCCAACAAAATTTCAGGAGCTCTATACCATAATGTTACGACTTCATGAGTGAGAGTTCTTGTTGGAATTTGGAATGCACGAGCCAAGCCAAAATCGGCCAACTTGATATCGCCTTCAGAACTGATTAAAATATTTTGTGGCTTCAAGTCTCTGTGAATAATTCTTTGGGAGTGGCAGAATGCAATACCTTTGAGGATTTGGAAGAGGGTAGTCTTCACATCTTGTGGAGGAATGGTTTGTTTGAGAACTTTTCTATAATAGTCAGTCTTTTTCTTTAAATCGTGATCAATAAATTCAAAAACAAGATTAAGTTGTTGGTCGCAGTGAATAACTTGATGAAGTCTCACAACATTTGGGTGGTTCAATTCTTTTAAAAGAGAAATTTCTCTGATTGAAGTGGAAGGAACACCTTCATCTTCTTGTTCGAGTCTGACTTTCTTCAGGGCTACAATTTGTCCAGTTTGTGTATCTTCGGCCTATTCATTATTATTACATAATATAGTATTATTTGAAAAAGTATGAATAAGAGTCAATTCAAAAATTGATACAAACCTTGTAGACAACTCCGTAGGTTCCTTCACCAACCTTTTCCAACTTTTTATACCTCAAAAGCTTTTGGGAGACTGGAGAGTATTGTTGCTTTTCACTCATGGAGAATTGATCCTCTGGACTTGCAGTGAATGACATGATGTTTATGATGGAATAATAATTTAATAAATATATTTAACAGGAAGGGAAATGTTAGATCGACTATAGAATGTAGACACAATATGTTACAATTTATAGACAATGGAAAGAGGAGCGCGAATATAATCAGCAAAATAGTACTATCAATCAATGATTGCGTTTATTTGCTGCTTTGGAGTGAGAGGAAGAGAGTAGTGTGTTTGATTTTTTTTTGTTGCTTTTTTTGAAATTGAATTGTACCTAAAAAATGGCGCCAAAATCAAAATAACGGAAGGCATACATGACTGAAAAGTTAAGCACTTGTCATGACACTTGACGCAAACAGGTTTGGCAGAAAGAGTCTTTGGGTGTAAATTCCGATAGATACTGTAGTGATCTTTTGATCGTAATACTGCTAGGTTGTGAAAAATATTCGAAACGTGATATTTATAATTAAGGAACTATTCCTTAATTGAGTACTTGACGTTTTGTTCAGTTTTTTTCTGGTTTTGTTTCTGTATCCAATCGTTCATATCTTTTTGTTTTTTAGCTTCAGCTTCTTCAATGATGAGTTGTCTTTCCCTACTTTCTGCTTCACTACCACCAATTGACCAAGCAATGGCACATCGTTTCTCATCTGTTGTGACTTGTTTATCATCTAAATGATTCAGAGAGGGTATTCTTGAGATGATTGTCTTTCTTTAGTTTTTCATCGAGTTGGTTATTGGATTTCCCTTCAGATAAAGAACATTCAATTTAGGGAGCTGTGACAATATATCAAGAATTTTTGGATCCTCAATATAATTATTGGAAAGATCAATCAACGTTAAATGTTTACAATGTATCAAACTCTTCAAATTTTGAGCATTTTCCAACTTGTTTTTTTGTAACTCTAAACTCTCCAACAATGGACACATTTCAATGCCATCCAAATTTTCCAATCTATTTCTCGCCATATTCAATACTTGCAATTTTTCCAAACTTGCCAAATTCTCAATCCTACTAATCCAATTATCATGCAAATAGAGACAAGTTAACTTGCTAAAATGATCCAAATTTTCAATCTTACTAATAACATTTCCATTCAACCACAGGGAAAGCAGAAGAAAATTTCCAAATTTTCAATAACCTTAAATCCCATCTCGTGCAAATATAAAACCTCATTGAGAGAGGGCTCTCCGTAGAGTCCCCTCCGAGAGCAAACCGAGGCGATTGTCTCATCGACTGATGTTGATAATATTGTTGTTGTTGATTTTGAAACATTTTTTACAGTTTGGTTCAAAAAATTGGCGCCAAATTTTTCTTTTTTCATCTCTTCAATTTCCAAGTTCATATTTTATGTTTTGTAAAGTTTATGAACAATGAGGAGTTTCGAATGGGGAATTAGTAAATTTTATAAAAAAATGTCTGTTCCTCCTCCACCTGGTGGCATTCCATCAATGCCACTCGTCAAACCTGTTGAGAAAACAACCTCACAACCAAAGAGTAGTTTACAAAAATCTTCACTATCTCTTTCCGAAGCCAAAACTCATCCTCTCGATATTCCAATTGATTGGTCCAATATTCAAAATGTATTCCTCTCCTCCAATCAAACTTCAGGAATTTTATTTGTTGAAACTCAAGAGAAAGATCATGTGGTTGTGGTGAAGGCAACCTCAACCATAGCTCAGGAAATTTATGGAGGAAAGATTGCTGAATTTTTGGGATTGAAAACACCACAAGTAAAGCTAATGGAATACAGAGCTGATTTTAAGAATCCCATTAAAAAGTATTGGGCCGATTGTAAAAAGTATTTGAAAGAATTTACTGTGAAATATGGAATGAGTGTTGAACAGAGAAAGATTGAGAAGGAGTTGTTTAGAGCTTTCTTCTTGTTGATGGAGTTCATTGAGGGAGCAACAAGTTTGGATGATATAATGAGTGACGAAAGTATTGGAAAGTCACTTTTGGAAAATGAGCAAGTTTGTGAGGATTTTGGTGGAATGATAGTGTTGGACATTATTCTGAATAATTGTGATAGATTACCACTTGATTTGATATGGAATCATGAAGGTAATTCGTCCAATATTCTATTTTCTCCCAAGCTGCAAAGATTAGTTCTAATTGACCAAGCATTTATGGCAATAATTAATGAGGGTCAGAAACAGACCTACTTTAAAAAGATAGAGTCTTTCTCAAAATGTTGTTCAGAAGAAACTCTTTCCAATAATCCATATTTAGACCAAGTTGTTGACTATATTTACAATTGCACTGGATACAAGATGAGCGATCAAGCAAAGGAAAATATTCACAAAGGAATTTTGAAATCCATCGAGAAATTAAAATCAATCAATAAGGAAACATTACAAGGATTCAAAACAGAAGTGGAAATGATGAAAACAGGATCAGATTGGGAATCAACGTATTTCAATTCTGTATTAACTATTGATATTGATTTTCTCTATGAAGCCATTCAAAAGATGACCAATATTCAATAATAAAGAGTCAAATCACCAATAAAATCAGCCCACCACACGAAAATTAACTTTGTTTCGGATTTGATTCGTTCTAACAGTATTTCACCTTCCAATTTGAGAAAACAATTTCAAAAAAAATGTCCAAACATGCAATGCTCACAAATTATGGACACAAGCTGTGCAGTTTATTCACCAAAGGATCCCAATTGCAATTCCTTTTGATCAAACGACCACAATTCAGCGACGACAATCGTGGTTTTGCAATTCAACAAAATGACGACCTGAAAGGACACCGAAAGATTACCATAGAATCAAATTTTCCAGTCGGTGGACGAATGAATAAATCATTGGAGGAGAATTATCATGTATTGGGTGGTGCTGATAGTGGTGGTGATGGTCAAGGATTGAAATTCCTTACTCAATCATTGGATGCTTTTGAAAAATGTTATCAAGTGGTCAATCGGATGAGTTTGGAAAAGAATGATGAAAGAGTTGAGGTACAAAAAGTGAGCTATCTTTTGGGAAGATCACAAGTTGGGTTGTACATGATAAGGGACTTGATGAGGGATGGATTGACGACTGAAGAGTTTGAGTCTTCACATGAGTTATATTTGGATAATCTACCAAAAATTGGAATATCTATTGATGGTAAAGATGTTTCAAAGCTTGATTCGCCATCGATGAGACATGCACTATGGTTATGGCATTTGGAAAGGTTGATTTCCTTTGGTGACAATTTCACAAGGGAGAAACTAATTGCATTGTTCTATCTCATTATTCACACAATGTGGAATAGAGAACCAACTTACTCTCTTCATTACATGAGGTTATTTACTAATGAATATTCAAAGACGAAGAAGTTGTACACTAGCATATTGGGAGATTCATTGACGAACACGTGGTCTCAAGTTTTGGGCAGAATTTTCACAGAAAATGAATTTGATAATTTCAATGATTTGGATAGTGAGCTTCCTGTAAACCTTAAAAGTATGTATCATATATTCTCTGCGTTTATTTCATTTGCAGACAGTGAAAGCATTCCTGTCGACACTTATTTAAGAGCTTTGGATAAAGAGCAAGTGAATAATCCACTCAACACATACATTCCATTTATGAAAGTAATGATGGAAGATCAATTTGAAGACATTGAAACTGTATTGAAAATAATGGAGAAATCACCAATAACTAATCATCAAGCTAATGAAAAGAGATATGGAAAGTGGTGGACTATTTTTGAGTGAAAAGCATGAAAATATTGAGAGAATTAAGGATTTTAAATTCTATCCAGTTCTTTATTGGAAAGCTTGTGCTGTCAGTGAGCCATCATCTGATCGAGATTTGTCAGATATGAGAAATTTTGTAAAGCAACTTGAATTCTTCTCTGGAATGCCATCTCATTGTAAATTGTTAAATCTCAAAATAATGGATGAATATAATCATGGAAATTATGAACGAGTTTTGGAAATATTCAACTTCTCTGAAAAGCATTTCCATTCCCAAATCAAAATGGATGATGATTACTGTTCCACTTTTTATGGATGCCAAGCTTTACATAAATTAGGAAGAAAAGAAGAAGCACTTTCAATAATTCAAAAGAAAGTAACAAGATACGGTTCAATAGAAACATCATTTCATGAGTTGTTTTCAATTGTTAATAAATAAACGAGAAAATAACCTATGATGTTGTCATTTCTCAAACATGTCAGTATGTTGGCCACATCCAAAATATCACGGGATGGATTTCAAATCACGAAAAGAGGAAATGTGGTAAATTTTAGAAATTACAAGTAAACTAATTTTTGTAACCTCTCAAAGATTAGTTTCGTTTCTGATATTAACACAACTAAAAAAAATGTTCGACAAGCCAACCCACACAATTTCACTGATCGGGCAAACAGGCAGTGGTAAATCAACACTTTTAGGTCAACTATTGTATCAGATGGGATATATTTTAGATGAACAATTAGAAGAAATTTCAAAAACTGCCGATAAATTAGGAAAACCAAATTGTAAATATTCCTTCCTGGTCAACTCAACCAGAAAGGAGAGGGAATGTGCATCAACAAGTCAATTATCATTTAGACAAGTGGAAACTAAAAATTATTTCTGTAATTTAATTGACACACCAGGTAGGAATTATTTGAATTTATTGAAACAATCAAATTTTTGGAATATTGAAAGGAAGTGAAATTTATATGAAAAAAACAATTCGTGCCTTGGCAATTTCGAATACACTAATTGCAGTAATTGATCCGAGAGAAGTCGAATTCAAAAGGAGCATCAATCGGCTTGATGGAATATTGACACAGTACATGCTTTCTCCCATAGTTACCAGTTCACAAATTATTTGTTGTGTCAATTTAATGGATCATCTAGAAATTAATTATTCAGAGCAAGTCTTTGTGAAAACAGTTAGTGAACTTTCAAAAATCTTGAAAAGAACAGGATCGTCTTCAGTAGATATCATTCCAATTTCTGCTTATTGTGGAGATAATATTGTGGAACTATCTGATAAAACACCATGGTATGAGGGTAAATGTCTGTTGGATGCTTTGAATTCATTGAAACCAACAGTAAATAATTTGGAACTAAGTTTAAGAATTCCAATTTTGGATGTTAAAAAAATAAGTGGAGTTGGAACAGTTGTTTATGGAAAAGTTGTAGCAGGGATACTAAAAATGGAATCAAAAATAGTATTGGCTAATTCTAATATTGAAAATGCAAGAATTGCATCTATTGAATCATTTGGAAAGCGATTGGAAGAAGCAAAATCTGGTCAACTGGTGGCTATCAACTTGCGTAATGTCTTACACAGCTCAATCAAATCAGGAGATGTAATATTAGAGGAAGGAAAATCTACTGGTATGGTAACTCGCTTCTTTGAAGCAAATATTTTAAACATTGACCATCCAAAAGGCATTCATCCAAATTACCAACCTACAATTCAATTACAGGCTACTCAAGCTAAATGTAAATTGGTTACTATTAAGGAAAGCTCTTGTCATAGGATTTTGAAGGAATATTTTCCCCCCTTTATTAAGAGAAACTATTTAGGAGTGGTTGAGTGTGAATTAGACAAAGCTTGTTATTTGGATACGGATGCATTTTGTAGATTTTTTATTAGAGATTTTAGGAAGGTGATAGGATTTGGCGCGATTACTCGTGTTGGAGTTGAACAAGTTGAAAGTAATAAATAATGTTTCTAATATTATTATCAAGAACTTTGCATTTACATTTGGTTTTGCTGCCCAAGTCAGAGCTTTCGGATTGAACAAGGATTTTATTGATACTCAAATCATATATGTGGATTTTGAAGCTGGAATGATGAGAATTGATGCTGAGATTTCCTTTGCTCCAATTACAGACATTCCAGTCTCTGTCATTACCAAGTCCTCTGGTCACGGAACTGACTATGTCATTGAGGAATTCTTTAACTGGAACCATGGTTCAAAAGCCATCCCCATCAACAGATATGCCATTAAAAAGCAATAAACTGTTACAATCAATACATTTGGCAAATCATGTCCACATCATTAAAATTCAATTTTTCATTGAATTTATAAATAAAATGTTTTGGAATGATATCAATATCCGAATAGAATAGAATTTCGTCATGCCACACTACATATTTTAATGAGGGAGCACAGCTTTCCATTCCATTTATGCTTTGAATCTTGACCACCTTTCGATTATTATTCGAAAACACGGCGTATTCCACTATTTTCCATAATCGAACAAAAAATTCTCTAAAATAACTTACTGGTAGAAAGAATGTAAACATCATTATAAATAATATAAGCATCAAAGATTGATTGAGGTGAAAAATCAATCTCCACAATCTTTCTCCAAACATCTATAGTTCCCATAAATGATCCAGCAATGAATATTTCGTGAGCAATAGTCATGGCCAATGAAATATTTTGGCCAGCAGAGAGTCCAATAATTTCATTATCTGAAGGTAAATCGAGAGGTTTCGGATTAGTGATGCAAAAGTGTTTTTCATAGCCAAGTTGTTTGTGATCGTTATTTCCCCAAACAAGTCCGTTACCATCCTCAAATACAGCAAGGCAATTAGCAAAACCAGAGGCAATAATCTTGACCCTTCTTCCTTTGATTTTACTATTCGAAATCTTTGTCATATCATGTGCTCTATCACCACTACAAGCCAATTGACCAAATCCTGAATTTCCACAAAAATACAGCTCTCTATTCATATCTAAAAAGTAACTGTGGCCATAACCTGTCTTTACATCCACCAATTCATCATTTCTCTGTACCAATTCAAACCTCAAATCGGCCATCGATGGCGATCCAATTGTCGTTCCAGCTTGATTCCATGTATTGTAAGTAGTGGCTCCATATAAATTTCCCAATCTAGTTTTTAATATCACATTAATTGGCGAAATCTCAAAATCCACAACAAATTCATGTTCCAAATCAACAGGTTTCCACTTTTGCTCAACATGCACATAAATCCTTCCCTTCCTCGTTAAAACAATCATTGAATCGGAAGTCATTTTCCCCATCATGTAAATATCATCAGTTATTCCCTCCTCATAATATTCCGATTTTGATAAGAAGACTTGTGTTGGTTTAGTATCATCTCTCATCAAATAATTATTAAAATCTAATTGTGATCGTTGAATGGGAGATCGTTGATCCAGATGATGATGATGATTAGCATGAACAATATTTTGCTTTTTCATTGGTTTCTTCTTGTTGGCTTTTAGTTTTTTTGTTGTTGGAGCCGTAAACAATGAGGTGATAAAGTTCATCTCGGTTGTCTATCTATTTTTTTTGTTGTTGTAATTTTAGAATGAAGTTTACAAAAATGTTGTGCTGTTGGCAATTAATTCAGTATGGAATGAGGAATAATAGTTGTAAAGTAACAAAATAATTAGTCCCAAATAGATGGTAAATAGAATGAATTGTTACGTCCCAATCGCATAGAAAATTTAATGTTCGATTTATTTGAGCTATTAAATAATCCGCCAAGCGCAAGCACAAATCCAAATGGAGACATTTCAGAAATACTATTTAATTTCTAATGTTTCACAACTATTCGAAACAAACAACAATCAAAACAAAATGTCTAAAACTCTTGTATTCTTCTTCCACGAAAGATTTGAAAGCTCTCAAGCCAATCGTTCCATGATAAAGGCCTTGTCAACTCTTGACAATATTGAAATTGTAAACATGCATCAAATATTTACTGAAAATGGTAACAAGTTTGATTCCAATTCAGATATTCAAAGACTTTTGAATGCAGACAGAATTATCTTTCAATTTCCAATCCAATGGTACTCAATGCCAGCTTTTATGAAACAATGGATTGATGAAACCTTTACTAGAATGTACTATATTCGATATGGAGAGGAAGGATTGAAAATGGAGGGAAAGAAATTTATGATATCTGTTACTGCTGGTAATTTTGAGGAGGCATACACTCCACAAGGTCAGAATTTGATTCCACTCGATGACTTGTTGAATCCATTGAAAGCTCTCGCTCACAGATGTAAATTACAATGGAGTGAACCATTCATTTCCTATCGTGCCAATAAGAAATCAGTTGAAGAATTGGAAGAAACTGCCGAACAATATCGTCAATTTGTTTCCAAATGGATGGAAAAGTATTAACTCATCTGTAAATAATCAAAGAAATGGATCAATTTCTATTATAATAAATACTTTATATTAAATGCAATATATTTCGCCAGCTAAGGTTCGCAAGGGTTGAGTACCTTGATAAACGTTAATTTAAGAAAGTTGATGGCTACGGCCATATCACGATGAATGCACCTCATCCCGTCCGATTTGAGAAGTTAAGCATCGTCGAGCCACATCAGTACTGAGGTTGGAGACAACTTGGGAACCTGTGGTGCTGTAGTCTTTTTGAAACTAACCTTATTGCAAACTTATTTTTCGGCCTTACTGAACTAAGGTTTTCGTTTTTTGGAACACTCATGAGTTGTGAAAATTTGTTTCCTCAAACATTTTTCAATTTCTATGGGCAACTTATCCAAGCTTGACATTGCGTCTGCATGCAACCCCGGCCCAATAAACGGTTCCAAGAATCTATAGATTGTTTGTTGATTCTCTTTGAATATTGTTGCATAACTGAGAATTGAAATTTTGAATAGATTATTGTCTGTCATGTGTTGAACTACTTCACGCAAGCTTTCTATCCTAAATCTAATCTTAAAACACGGTGAAAACCCACATCTTGCAACATGTCCTTGCACATCCATATAAATTTCATCATTTTTCCTGATTCTGAAAATGCGTCTAATGAAATAGTCATAAATCATGCCAGTGACTGCATTGTCCTTGAATGTTTGAGATTTTGCTTCCAAGTCTTGAATTGAAAAATTGTCAGGCATTCTATGCACTGATTTTGGAATGAGTATGAAACCAGTGTAATTACTAATTGGGCAATATTCAATGATACTAGAGTTATAGTCAATTTTTGGTACTAATGCTCCATTGTTTTCATTGTTTTGATTATTGAGGAAGGAATTCTTGAAAATTTTCATAAAATTATTCAATACAAAAGCATGGTGAGAATATCTTTGAAAGCTCAGTATCACATTTTCTCCATTAGCAAGTTCCAATTCAATAGTTGAATAATCTTCAGATTTAGTTATTAAATAAATACCAGGTTTGACTTCTTTCATTGTAAACGGTATCAAGAATGGAAAATCAATTTGTATTGATTGCACCGTATCAAGATAATCCAAAAATGAGCTCTGATATCTTATTATTTTGTAATATTCAGTGTCAATCATTTTCAAATATTTCATTAGGATTAGTTTGCAGACTGCATAGGAAGATTCCACTTTCAGAAGCCAAAATAATTGATTTCCAAATAATTTTGATTTCAGACATCTATTCTTGAGAAGGTATTCAGCTAAAACTCCATATTCATTCTCGTATTTGATACAATGAACAAGAAATGGTAAAATATCAGAAAATAAATCATCTGATGTTTCTTCTAGGCATTTGATTAATACCAGTTTCGAAAATATTCCAATATTCTCGGAGAAGAGTGATATCATCTCAATAATATTTGGTTTCTTCCATTTTCCTAATGTTTGGTTAGCTTCATAAATGATCATTGGGGTTTCGAATGAAATTCCATAAAGAAATGGAACAAAATGCGAAGGCTCATTCATATCCCACTTATTTCCTTCCAAATAAGTTTCTAAATTTGAATCACTCACATTGTTTTGAATCAAAGATAATGGATGGTTTGGTATTCTATCAAAATCATATTCAATAATTGAATCATAAGTTGGAAACTCAATGTCTAGAGAAATTTGTGAGTTTTTTGCACCTTTTGCAAAAAGCCTGACATTCCCTTGAAGTAATTTCATATTTGAATCAAAAACTGGACATTCAAAGTGATCTTTAAAAACAACTTTTCTTGGTAATCCAGTTTCAGAACACTCTGTTTCCATAACAAGTGAAAAATCGATGCAATAATCACATGATATTTCTGAAATTAGTGAATCAAATAAAACCTCTTCATTCCAATCTAAGCAACTCAAACTTTGAGGAAAGATATTTCTTGTTTTGTGAATTTCTTTCTTATTATTCCTTCCAACTATGGAATATTCAATTGTAAAGGAAAGAGGTTTTTGGTATTTAAATTCAAAATCCTTGAATGTGAGACCACAGAGTTGATTAATCCTCATTTTCATTCTCTCATTGATTTGGAAAGATGATACAGTATCATTTGTTTGATTGGTTTCTAATATTTTAATATCCGAAAGTGAATCAAGGAATGCAACATTACTTTCAAAATCCGCATTGGCAGTATTTACAGATTTTCCAATATCAATAAATCTAATTCTATCCCTTTTTAGCCCTATTCCACAAACAATCTCACTCTCATGATCTTTCAAACGGCTGTTATTCATGGATAGATAAATCAATGATGGCATATTCTCAATAATGGAAATTGCTTTCGTACAAAGACGATTTTCAGAAATATTTAATCGTTTCAAATTCTTCCATTCATATTCCTCAAATATTGAATCAATACCACAGTCTGGAACGTCAAGACTGGTCAATTGTTCCAAATCACAAATATTCTTGATTAAATGAAAATCAATGAGACCAAATGTTGAAATTTTTAGTCTTTTCAGCTTGAGAGGTTTGAATTCTGTGATAGTTTCCAAGAAATCCTTCCAAATTGATTTACTTGAAATGGTAAGGCTGACTAAATTATTGAATTCGCATTTTGCAAATTCTGAAAAGTTTTCAATATTTCCTTGTTCAAGTATAAATTCTTCTAAATTATTAGAAATTCTATTAAGGTCTTTTAAATTTACACTCAATTTTCTCAAATTACTGTATTCCAAATGTGTCAATTTGGTCATAGAATATGACCAACAGTCAAATTTAGTTCTCATTTCCAAGGAATAAAGTTGTGGCTTAATGGATAGTCCAGCAACTTCTTCTACTTCGTTAACGGATGAATCTACTAACAAATTTACCAAATTAGGCAAACTCATTTTACTATTCATCAATTTATAATATTCTTGGTTATCAATTATTGATTCCATAATATCCAAAGATTTCAATTTGTAAAAATGTGAAATACTATTAAATTTAAATCCTTCCCTATCACGACCTTGAATATCTCTAATTGTTAAATGCTCCAAATTATGCACAAGTCTTGGGGAATTTTTCATAATTTCAAGATCGCTATTCGAAAATGGTCCCCAAATATTCGAAATATTATAAAAATTAATTGAATTGTTTTTAATTGCAATGAGGAAATGATTCACTGCTGGATCAACATAGGCTCCCTGGGAGAAACACATTTTCCTACTGGCCAAGATTTTAACTTGAATTTTGTTCAGAGTTGATGCTAACCTCCATTTCGAACAAACTAAGGAAATTATTCGAATGATGAATTTTGAATGAAGGAAGGAAAATATTTCCACCAACATTTCGGATGGAATGTCGTTTAGCTTTTCATACATTTTTTTAAACGAAATGGTTTAAAATCGATCACGAATTTATTGTAATAATTCATGAGAACAAATTGAACATGCATTAATCTATTTCAAAACGTGATTAGAAATTTAGAATTAGAAAGATCCAAAAATAGTCAATAACACCCGTCAACCTGAAGATGTCAACAAGACAAATTCTGGCTCACCTTTTAATTGGAGTGCGCAAGACGAAGCAGTAAGCAACCTTAATGAATTTGAACAACGATACAATGTAGGCGTGACTTTTTATCAGATAATGACCAAGGATACTTTGACAAGTATTTGTACGTTGTGTAACTTTGGTAAGGTGCAAGATTTGAGATTGAAATTTCCTCACGGAAAATTCACTGATGAATTAATTGATTCTGTGTTGACCATGTTAGCAAGAGATGCTCACCAGAGAATGAACATTGATACTCTTCTCAAGATTTCTACTGAGCACCACTGATGTTACATGTGAATGGAAATCCACACTTATTTCCACAATTACATTAATTTTTTATGGGTTATCTTTTTATCGAGGACGCTTTACAGTAAATAAACTGTAAATGTGTTATTGTAAAGTACTTTGATTTAACTGACTCACACGATATTGTAAACCACTTCCCAAACTGTGGGAAAAATCACATGTATTGGGATGTTTCATCTCACATACTAATAACTAAACTTCACCAAACAAAACAAAAAAAATCACACAAGAACAAACAATTAGAAACAATGGGAAACGTTTTTGATAAGATTCCTATTGAAGACATTCAGTCAGGAGTTACTGGAGCCATCAATGCTATTACAACAGGTACTCACCCAAGTACTAGAGACGAAACTACGTACAATTCTGTGAAAAAGTGGATTCAAGATTGTGATGTAAAAACCTGCAAGCTATTCCACGATGCTTTTGCAATGCCAACTGATGCAAGTGGTGCTATCATTTATAAGAAAGCTGTCGTTTTCACCAAGTCAATTGATGTCAATTTGACAGATCTCTTGGTAGATTTGTTAGAATTATTCAACAGTAAGAGTTATCAAGCTCTTGCCATTTCTGCTTTGAGAACAGTTGCCAAGAATCTCAAGATGAGTATTTCCACAGGTGAAAATAACATGCATGATGACAGATCTCAATAATGGAATGATCATGTGTGTTGCCTCCACTGTTTACGAAAGTAAACTTGATGCTACAATCTTCAAAACAGGTGTCCTGTGTACTGGTACCATTATTAAGGTTGTTCCACAATCCATGTTCAGAATTGGTTTGATTAATGCCATGATGAGAACTAGTTTGGAAAGTGTCAGAAGACAAACTGTTGAAATTTTGCATGCCAAGTATATGATTGCAGAGCAGGATATCAAAGAAAACTTTACATTATATAATAAGGTATTCATTGAGACAGAGGCTATTTATAATGATTATATTAAAGAAGAATTGAAAAGACATAAAGCAAAGGAAGAAAACAAGTTAGAAGCAGAACAATAAATTAACATAGCAGTTGGAGATTAAGATGAGGTTGGTGAATCCAATAAACTGTAAGCATAGTTAATGGGTATTAGTTTATTATTATTGAGGGACTAATTAAATTGATTGACTTGTGAGATCACTTTTCACAAGATCAAAAAAAAATGGGCAATTCACAACCGGCATCAAATCTTGATGGCCAGACAACGTATGATCGTTCAACGGGTGAACAAATAGTAAATTTTAATTTATTCTCCGATGATGAATGTAAGGAGAAAACCCATGAAGAAATTGAAGCAAGTCAAGTTGATTATTTCTCTTCGGATCAGAGATTGGATGAATTAAAAACAATTTTGGGAGAAGACATTGTTAATAACCAGTTGGAATACTATAAGAATGTTACAAAGGTAACTGAAGAGTGTTTGCCAGTGATGGCAATCACCAAAGATTATCCATTTATGGACGAGTATATAGGTCATTATTTGGTGGCATGTTTAATGAGGAAGAGTGAAAGTTTTGCTAAACATTCAAAGCCATTCAAGTGTTTGGATGATGGATATTTGGATGAAATTTTAGATGTGAATACTTTAAAGAAATATCCAACCAAAATTCTGAAACAGAAATTTGAAGAGTTTCATCAGGATTTCCAGTATTGCATGTCAGTGCCAAATTCAAATGAATATAGCAGAGTGATGGAGACTGTATCTTTGGAAACTGTTTTCAAAGAACCTTATTCTGCAATCCTTTCTCAACCAAATCAAATAGAAATTATCAAGTCTAGATTTTTACCAAAGCAAACTACTTTGGAAGTCAAGAAAATTGAGCACGAGCCGATGGAACCTTATATTTATAACCCAAAAACAGATACAGAAGAGGATTTTGAAAGAAAGTTAATAGCACTTTCACAAACTGATTTTTTGAAACAAGATATTGAGCTTGTGAAGGAGTGTTATCAAAAGGAGCAAGAATCGACAAGTGCCGATTGTTTTGGGAAATACAATTCTCTTTTGAGTATTTCTGAACTCGTTCTTTGCAAGAAGGAAATTCTCACACAATCACCACAATTAACATTTCCAAATATTGAAGACTCAGCACTTTTGGATTTTAAAAAAGATGGATCTTGTTCAGGAGTTCTTTTGAAAAATCATATTGAAAAACTATTTCCAAATATGCCAAAATTTCACTATCTATACTTTTATAACAAAGATAATAATTAATATTTACAATAATTTCGTTTCCTGAAACAATTTCTTTTGAACTTATTGGGAATGATCAGTAATGACCATTCTAGCAATGGTATTAACACAATCAATGGCAGCATTCTCATTCTTGTTTATCCAATAATGCATCTTTACCTTGTTAATGACCACGTCATGGACAAAACCATTCATGCAATGATAGAATGATGGATAGGAAAATTGAATGTGAATTCTTCTACAATTTACATGCTTTTGTAAATTATTGAGCATTTTGGTGCTTATTAAATTTTCATTACTGGAATCTGGAATGAATTCAATTGATTCATCAAAGTCCTCAACTTGAAAATCTAACTCCTTATCTTGTGTGAAAATATCTGAATAATTATCTGAATCAAATCCACTGTGTCCAACAATTGAAAACTCAATAGGACCTTTCTGTGGAGGTTGGAATGTAGATTTTGCACAGATGCAAGCCCCTGAATGAGGAACTGAAATGTCGTAATGAGTACTTCCAATCAGTGTCTTGAATTTGAAACTATTCCATGCAGATATAAATTTCGATTCTGGTTCTGACATCTCCATCAGCAATGGATCACTCAAAGCCAATTGCTTACCAGTATCACCAAGAAAGTGTCCCACATATGTATTTGCAATTGTACTCACAACATTTCCATATAAATCAGTCCATCCTCCACTGCTAGTTCTCTTCGATCCCAAATGAGGAGAACAAATAGTTGTCAACCCAATTGGCTCAAAATATTTAGAGAATTCATCCTCATATTCATTCATCAACACATAGGCAGCATATCTACAATAGAGACCTCCTAACGAATGACCAATTAGGGAAAATTTAACCTTGTTGTTTCTTTCTGTAAATTTGGGTAAAATTTCCTTCCTGAAATATTCAATAATTTCTTGGGCCATTCTCTTACCACCAACTGCCACTCCATGATGTGTGTCCTTGGAGTTTGATGATGGACGCAGAGTAAATAATTGATCATCGGGAAGAATTGAATCCAAAATTGGATATTTCTTATGAAATTCTAACTGGATGTCATGTTGTAAATATTCCATATCCTCGTGCTGGCCGTTATTTCCATGCGAGAGAACAATAAAGTGATAAACCATTTTTTTTTAAATTAATTTATTTAAATTAAACTATTTTTGTAAGCAAGTTCATTTTGCGCCTTACTTTCATTCTATTTTTAAAACAAATAATAAAGAAAAAAATGTCCACAACACATGATGAAGAAATAATAGAAGGTGATGATCAATCATTGATGATCGGAAGGTTTGATATAACGACTCTGCCCCTAGAAAATCAAATTAATATATTTTGGTATTGTGATGAGAGAACTCTGATCAATGTGGCTCAAACTAATAGAGGCTATCATCATTTGATCATGGGGGATGATGATGAATCGGAGCCGGAGGTGAATTCCTATAGAAATACTATTTGGAAGGTTAGATTATTGTCTGAATTGAATAGATTGATTGATGATTATAATAAGAGTATAATTGATAATGTAATTGATACTTCCTTGGTTCATAATTTGAATGAAAATGATTTGGACAAGTATGTGAGGAATAATTTGAGAATTAAGGAGGATAGAATTAGATATAGTGAAATTTTGGCTAAATTCAAGAGATTAGATTATAAACCAGCTGTGGATTCAACTGAAGTTTCAGCAAAAGGAAGAGTTTGGAATAATAAGACTGTATACACTTGGTATTCTTTCCTTCATCGAAATTATCCAATATCAAATGATGATGATTTTGCATCTTATTGTACATTTGAAGGATATGAGATTGTAATCAATCAATATGGTTCATCTGGAGGAAATGATTGGAATATTGTGTTTGGTATAGGAGGTGAATATGAAGATTTTGGAAAATCCAATTCGATTGCAGAGTTTACAGTAGAAAACTGTGGTTTTGGATATATTGTAAATTCTAATCAGTTCAAGATTAGAGGTGATCATATATACGAAGATTGTAAATTCGCAAAAGATATTAAGGCAGTTAAAGTAGGTGACAGATTCACTCTCAAATATGATAGAGAAAGGAAGTGCATTCACTTCTTCAAGAATGGACAACACATTGTTTCTGTTGCTGATGAATATGGAGAAACTCTCAAACCAATCGTCTATTATCCAATCATTTCTATGTGTGTTGAAATGGGTGTTACTTTCTATCCTCTGCTTCAAGTCGATTATCCAGTCAATGAAAATGTATCCTTCACAAAGAGCAACTTTAAATTTACTTGTTAAATTCACACATTTTCATTTCTGTTTTTAATATTAAAAAATTATTATTTACTGAATCATTTGTTTATTGAGTTTTTGTTAATTAAAATTCAAACTTAAAGTCGTCGTTGGCTTGGAATTCTTCTGAAGCCATCAAAAATTCAGAACTTGTTTGAAGGTTGACACCACCAAAGTCAGAATTTTGATCTGGAGATTGTGATTCTTTCAATCTTTCTAAAATATCAATCAAATTTTGAAGCTGAGAAGGATCCATTGATTGAAGTGTTTCCATTGAAAGTTCTGGAACTGGAGGGGAAGCAACAGCAGCACCTGTACCATTTAAAGCTTGGTGTTGAGCTTGTTGCACGGTTGGTTGCTCGATACTATCTTGAATATTATTAAAGAGGGCTTCGAATAGTGCTGGATCCAATCCAGTACATTCGTTTGACAAAACGGAACGTTGATTTTCTTGTTGGAATAACGAATTGACCCATTGTTTACAAACCATATCGCTAATTGGCATGGATTGTTGTTGAGTGAGATCCATTGGCCAATGGAAAGTATTATGATTATCGTCGAGGAAATAGTTATTCAAAGTTGGGAAGTTATTCGAATCGAATCTTTGGAAGTGAGCTGAAGTTGGAGCTGACATGGCACTTGACAATCCACCACCTATCATATCTTGTTGTGGTTGAGGAGTTCCAGCACTTTGGGAAGAAATTGTCATTGGAGAATTTTGAGAATTTCCACAATTCTCACTTTCTCTTCTCAAGTTGAGGTAGACATTGAGTTTCATTTCTTTGGCCATCAATCTTTCAGGTGGTGATAATGTACAAGTGGCAGTAGATGTATGTGGATTAGTTGTATTATTGTTGGATGGAATAAATGAGGTACTTGTGGATGGTTGACTATTCGAAAGTTGACCAACACTCACGCAGCTATTACTTCTCTTTCTGATTGTATTCGAATTGGTTTGGTTGAGGATATATGGATGAGAGGCACTGGTGCTTCTATTTCTGGAAGAGGAATTTGGAGTTTCTGGAGAATTCTTTAAGACTAAAGGAACAACTTGAAGTTGTTTGAATGTTTGTAGTTGAGCAAGCGAGGTTTCTTCCCTTAAGTTTTGATTCTCTGAATGGTATGGTCTTTGTTTCAATCTTTGGAGTTTCGTCTTCCATCTTAGTTTGGAATATTTCGAATAATTCTTGATCACATGAAATACCATGATGAAGACTTTGATCCAGAGCAGTTAAAGCTTCTTCAGTGAATAGAATTTCTTCAGTCGAAGGAGTATCAACACTATTAGCAATTGATTGCTTTCTCTTCTTTTGTTTAGTTTCGACTCTTGGAGAATCATTATTCGAATCTTCTTCAGCAGCTGCAACTGACTTTCTTCTAGATGTTCTCTTTCTCTTCTTTGGAGTGGTTTCGCTACCTGGTTGGAAAGCCAAAACTTGAACACCAGTTGATGTACTCAAATTCAATTCGAAATAGTTTTGTTTAAATTCGTCATTGTTGATTTGTTTACGAAGTTTCTTTGGTTGACCACTGATAGGTGTTTTATCTGAAGCAATATCAGAATCGTTAGTGTAGTTAGAAATGACGGATCCTCTTCTCAAACTTGGGGAATAGGTGCTCATTTTGATATTTAGTTTAGTTTCGAATGGTGTGTCTATAAGTTGTTGTAAAGTGTACAAGGCGATGAGAGAATTTATATATTTCGGCGATAGAGTATATTACTAGTTGAACCAAGAGAAGGATTACTATTCAAATACTCTTTGACCAATTCAAGTATTTTACAAGTTGTTGTTTTTTTTTGATTCGAATAATTTGCAAGAAACCGTGTGAATTTATTCATCAGTGCCAATGAAAGGATCATCATGAAGAATGAACGACTGAGATGAAAACTGCACAAGAAGCATCTACTCGCAACTGACTTTGATCTGTGAGAGGCCACACGCTTGTGCTGCTCATTCTATTCGAAACGAAATCCACACAATAGGAAGACAAACTGTCTGTTGATTGGTCAAATGTCCTCTCTCTATACAATTATATTTCTATTGACTAGATATGTAGTGATCCATTCTTGTCCAGATTTCAAGTAACAGTTAGTTTCGTCTAAAAACTTAAAAAGCGTAATATGAAATATGACATTTTAATTGCAGCAAGTGTCAATATTTGGAAAAAAAGAAAGTTTGGAATGTACCAGATGAGTTTGAATAACACATTTCTCCATCGTACGAAACCTTTCAGATACTGGCTCTTTGAAAGTTGAAGTTTTGCTTTGTGAAATAAAAGGTTTTGTGATTTAAAATGTCAAGTGCTATGAAATTCATGTATGATTTTCTAATATGTGACATGATGACTATGTGCAGATGTTGATGTCAACAAGTAAATTACGAAGATAGAACTGTCATACAAGATTGGATCTACAAGTTTCAGATCTAGTGAAATAGTTTAGGTTAACGCAGACGAAAGGAGATAGATCAGTAATGATAGAAAAGGAATATCCTGTAACCATGGACTGTCTAATTACAAAGTGAATATACAACAGGTACTCTGTTATTAGTACATTGTGTATTCTCATGGAATTTGAATCTTTTAAAGTGGACAAAAATATACGAAAGTGTAATATTCTGAAAGGTGTGCGTGTTAGTAATCATTGTAATAACAAATTTGAGGAATCTTTCGGAATCTTTCTACAATCCACTCACTACAAATATTTCACACTACTGTACATTGTATTTTTGAGAATCTTTCGAATATGTCATTGTTCGTTAAAGAAATCGTTGCGTTAGTGGTTTTACAAATTCCAAACCGTGTCCTTTCCAAAATAATGGTGGGAACAGTTTTTCTTCACTGTTTCCATTTGTGTGGTTGTATCGAATTGATTTTCTTCATTATGTTCAACCAAATGAACCCAATGTTCAAGTTTCGAATAGAGAAGAGATAAGCACAGTTCTGTTCACTTCCCAAATAATATGACTTGACGCTTTCGCTCGTGTCTTTCCATCAAGAACCTTAAGGTTGCAAATTTGTTGACGAAATTGACGAGATTTCATTTTTCTAATTTTGTTTTGAAATTTTTTACAAAATTAAAAGTCCGTTCGTTCGATAATAATTGGACGTTCAGTGATGAGTCAGCAGTTGTTGATTGTATAGAAGATTTTTGATTCAATTACAATGTGACAGAGATATTGATTCTCATTTTGATTTTTCATGTTTCATTGTAAACAATTTCAAATAGAGATGTGTTGTAAACGAAAGGGGTTTGTGAGATAAATGAACTATTTCACAAGTTCATTTGTTTATTTCTTTTTCAAATTGGAAATGAAACTTTATGGTTAGTTTCGTTTGTATGTTTGATTCATGAAAAGAGAGATAGTTTTCTTTGAGATATTGTAGTTCATTAAATTGTTCTCTCTTCTATTTTCTTCAAGATTCGAATATTGTTAGTTCACCAATCAATAAGGTTCATTTCTTCCATAAGTTCATCAATAAAGAAAATTGTAAAAAATTGTAATCTTTTCATCCATTACACAAGTTCATTTCTTCCATTAGTTCATCATTAGCTTTTGTACAAAATTCTAAGTCTTTTCAACCATTAATTTATTCATCCGATATCAGTATCCCAATGTCACATAATTGATTATTCTTGAGTTTTTGGAAAATCTTCTCTACAAAGAAGAATTCTCCAGCAAATCGATACCTCACATGAATGATGGAATCAGTTGAAACATCCTCCTCAGTTTTTCCTCCATAAAAATACAAGCCACTTCCAGTTGCATCATGCACCAGTGAGGAGCACAATAACCTTCCTGCAGCAACTCCTAATTGAATGCAAACACTCCACTCATTCCTTTTCAAATCGAAAACATAGCAATCATTTTTAGGTATTCTATTGCTCTGTTCACAACCTCCCAAGCTTAATAAAAAACGTTGATCTATCAAACAAATAGTATTGCCATAAATTGGCTGAGGTACTGGGCATATCTTTGTTTCCTCAAATTTCACAACGGTCCAAGAATTTGTTTTGAAATGGAAGATGACCAAATCACATGTTAAAACAGGTACATCAATGTTCAGCTCACCAGCATAAATGACCATAGAATCGTTTGATGGATTGTAAACTGCTGTAGAAAATGATCTGGACTCTATTGGAATATTTGGAACAATTTTTTCTACCCACGTTTCAGTTTCACAATCAAAAACATATAAATCCTTACTGATCCACTCATCGGAATATCCTCCAAACAGAACAATGGTATTATTAAATGATCTATACACTGAAACATGTCCATAAATTCCAGGGGCTGGATTATTGACTGCCTCCTCTTCAAAAGGGAAATACTTCCACTCATTAGTATCCAAATTATATATAGTCAAGTCATTTTCTGGTGTTGAATCATCATTTCGTATACCTCCAATAATGTAGAATGAATTATTCACCGGATTATAATTCAGTGAATGATAATAGAGAGCATTTGGTGGGCTATCATCCGATTCCTTCATACCAATCGGTGGCAACCATTTCTTCTCCAGAATATCATATCTCTGAAATTCAATACCGTCATGATCTCTACCTCCCCATGAGTAAATAATTCTCGAGTGGTGATTATCAACAATCTCTGTCGTGTGTGCATAAATACTTAGTGGTTTGATGCAATCATCAGCTTGATCACTCTTCTGATCACGATGTTTTTCATCTTCGGAGCCTTCATGTACTGAATGTTTACTCTCTGATGTTGATGATTCCTCATCTTGATGATGATGATTATGATCTTCCTCTTCAACAATTTCCAACGTAACTTGTAGAGCCACATCATCATCATCATGATCTTTATCTTCATAATTCCTCTTTGAAAAATTCTGTCTATAAATCAGTGGATAATAGATGGGACACAAGGCTGTATGTCGATAGGTAATAAATTCAATATCAACATGTTCATCTTCTTGTTTATCATCATCGGGGATGGCAATGATTTCTTCTGAAGATGTTTTTGATTGTGAATCAGTACTCAAATTATCCATTTTGCTATTTATTTTCACTTGATATCAATTAGTATTAATTAGTATATTTGGTTCGGATCAAAAATATCAATAAACAATTTAATACTTTTGGATGACGAGTTTTTTTTTGTAAAGATTTTTAAATTTCCAGCCCGCCAATTTCAAAATTAAAAATAGAACAAATCACATCAAAAAAAATAACAAAACTCGTCATTGCAATTCTTTTGATTAAATTTTTTTCATCTTTTTTTTTGCGATAACAACAATCATCATGATGAGTTCGGCTGAACAACAACAACAACACCTGTCGGTGGTGGAGGATAGTGATCAAAGAATGGTGGAACATAATGAGGTTCCGATTATGGCCAAACCAGGAGAAGCAAATGCATACTTTCCAAGTTATACGACAAATCATCCAGTTGAGAGGGATTCTGATGAGGACGAGACTGAGGAAGTTGATGATGATGAAAATGGAGGACGTTTCTTTGATCCTCTCTTTGAATTCAAGGAACAAGACAGATTGTTGCCATATGCAAACATTGAGAGAATTATGAAAAAAACTGTGGAAATGTTTAATAAGAGTGCTAAAATTTCAAAGGAAGCAAAGGAGTGTATGCAAGAATGTGTCACAGAATTTATTTGTTTTGTGACAGGTGAAGCATCCGATCTTTGTGTAGAAGAAAAGAGAAAAACTGTGGCAGGAGAAGATGTTTTGAATGCCTTGGAAAAACTTGGTTTTGAAAATTATTGTAAGTTTTTATATTGAGATGAGTATTGTGTTAATTGTGAAAAGGTGGAGCCTTAAAAGAATGTCTGACGAAACATAGAGAATCCATCAAAAATGACAAGAAAGGATCTGGATCTAACAAGAACAAAAAAAAGTCATCAAAGGGCGGAAAGAATAACAACAATAAGGATACTAATTGTTGAAGACGGATTAAGTTGGAAGTTTATTACTTCAATATTATTATTCGATGATTTTCCTTGTCTGCTATATAGAGCTCGCCAGTGATATGATTGATACACAATCCATTTGGATTTCCCTCACTGAACTGGATTGATTTTAGGTAATTTCCCTCTGGTGAAAATATTAAAACTCTTCTATTAGTGATTCCATCACAAACAAGAATTTGTTTTGTGATCTTGTCTACTGTTACAGATGTTGGAAATTCAAACTCACCAACTCCATTACCTCTGCTACCAAATTTGAAAAATAATACCTTGCCTCTTGTATCTGTAACATACACTCTATTATTATGTCTATCAGATATGATACATTGATTTTCATGATTGACTGTAATACCAAAAGGTGACTCCATTTTGAGCTTTCTTTCACATCTCTTTCCAAAAGCATATAAAAAGTCACCATCCTTTGAAAGCACTTTAATTCTATGATTGGACGAATCTGATATGAATATATCACCATAATTTCCACCATTTTCAAAAGTATTCACATGTATTCCACAAATTCCATTGAATTGATAGGGTCCATTGCCAGGTTTCAATCTTAGACCTCTCCTCCAAAGTTGTTCATGCTTTATCAAATCGTAACAATAAATACATTCATCATCACCTGCAACTAATAAATTCCCATAAATATCTATTTCCATAAAAAGTGGTTTGAAAACCAAATCAATTTTATATTGAAATTCTCGTGTTGTTAAATCAAAGGCTTGAATCCTCCTATTGCCATGATCAGCAACTAGCAATATGTGATTTTCATGTGATATTTTTACATCGTATGGAAGTGAAAATTTGCCACATTCCGAATCCTCCCAAGAAGAAGCAATAATACCCAAACTATCTTCATCATAGGATGGCATTACCAATAATTTCGGAATGCAACCAACAATCTTTAGAGAATCACTCAATCCACATTCCAAAAAATCTTTTGATTTTCTCATCCCTTTCCTCATATTTTCCGTTAATTTTCTCAAGAGCCAATCTAAATGACTAAATTCCTCTTCCTCTTGATCAGTCTGCACATGATTAAAATCGTGTAGAATCAACACAAAGGTCACAGCTGATTCTCTTTTCATTTTTTTTTAAAATTCAAAAACAAAAGGTTTTCCAATTAGTTTGTCTTCCTTATTGCCAATAACAGAAATTGCATTAATATACATTCTGTCACTCTCCTTCTCATAGGCAAATCCTCTTGCTTTTGGACAGTGATTATGACCAAAACAGTGTACCTTTAAATTTGTGAAATGATTCGAGTCCAACAATGTGGTCAACTCTTCAGATCCTCTCGATGATCCATTTGATGTTCTATCCATATTGAATTTACAACATGGAAAGTGTGTCATTAGAATGTCAATATCATTCGGAATATTAAACGATGTCTTTTTACAAAACAAAGGTGGTGCCCAATTTCCTCTATATCTCACTCCATGAATCTTGATAGAATGATTATTATCGTCCACAATCGTCACACTTTCGTCCAACAGTAAATAATATTGTGATTTGAGAGTGGATTTGGATTTTTCCTCTCGGAAATACTTTTGAAATCGTGGATAGACAATAATATCAGGTGACCATTCATGATTTCCTATATATTTAATAATTAATTATTAAATCATATAATATATGTAATAATATATTGATGATGATGATATATTTGTCATGTTCATAACCTACCCACAATCATGATAATATATTTAAATACTCCATCACATTGTTTAATTAAATATTCAAAAAACGTGTCAACTTCTGTGAATAATCCAGTATTGGTAAAGTCACCACAATGCAGTAGAACATCACCTGCAGGCAGATCAACCATTTCATGCATACAATGTGTATCGGAAATGAGTACAAACTTCATGGGTTGAATTGGAAGATTTGAATGATGTTTTATGGATCGTTGTGGAACTTGTAGTGTTGTAATTTCCTCTTCGATTGGAGATGTTGATTCTCCTCCTCCTACTACTTCCACTGATGATGTGTGATGATTCTTTTGATAGTAAAAACTGCTTTCGTTTTCATTCATTTTTTCAATTTGTTTTATTCAAATTTGTGTCATCTAAACTTGGAATTTGTAATCAACTAGACAATTTTAAAAGTATTTCAAAAAGTTCAAGAAATTTATGAATTTGGAGTTTCAAAAATTCTCCATTAGCTTCAACTTTTTTGAACTAAGTTGCAAATATGAAATTTTCAACAATAAGCTGGTTCAATAATTACAATGAACTCTCTCTATCTTACATCTGAAATTACCTCTGCAAAGATTTCATCCCAAGGAGTTAGTGCCTCTTCAGTTACTTCATTTAGTGAGGAGCTAGGAGTCATTTCTTCCTCTTGAGTGAGTTGTTTCAGAATACTCATTAGTACTTCATCATTTTGCAGTGGAATGTCATCGTTTGGTGTACCAGAGGAACTGATGATTGATAAATTATCTTTCAGTAAACTGAGTGGAGAAATATTTCTATTGAGAACTTGTGTCATTTCATCAATGAGATCCTTGTGCATATTTTGAACTCGTCTATATCGTTTACTCATCAAGCTGATTGCTCTAAAGTCCTTCTCCAGAATTGAGAAACTGTCAAATGTGATGGTTTGTCCTGAGGAAGTAAGAATGCTGGCCTTTCTAGGTTTCAATCCTTTTTCTACCATTTTACAAACATTCAAGTGAAATGCACAAGCTTCCACAACAGGTGAAAGAACTGCAAATAAGCAATATCTAATTAATTTTCAAAATGGTTATCAATTTGATGATTTTGGATACTTACGGAAACAATTCATTTTCAGTCAATAAGGTTATTCTGAGTGCACTTTCTTCCATCATTGAATAGCTCACTTCTTGAATCTGTTTCAAGAATAAAAATGCATACCCTTCTGATAAAATTGTTGTAAACAATCTCTGATGTTTAAAGTATCCATCGCTGTGGCAGTCAGTTAGAGCTTTCATAGCTTCTGATTTGTGTTTCATGAGGGCCTTGAATATAAAGTGAGAAACTTGTTTGAAGAGTACATAGTTTTGAGGAGTAATTTTGGTATTTCTCATGTAGTCCCAAGTACCTGGCAGTAAGAATTCATCGAGTTTTCTATTTACAGAGTAGAAAAACAGTTGGTACATGTTATCCAACAGATTTTCCATATTATTCAATTCTTTCATAAATCTGGCCGAAACTAGAGTCTTGTGATGGACTAAACTAGCATAAAATCTATTTCTCAAGGTTTTTTCGTTATCCAAATAAAAATTAATAAGGGTATGATAATAGCTTGCTTTGATTTGATTTCCTTCTGCGACACAAGTCATAAACATCAAGTGACAAGAGGCACCCCAATAAAACTGTGTGATATGATCCACAGAAAGTGCTGCAATTTCACATTCTGCCCTTCTCAAAATATAATCCACATAGTCCAATTCACCCAACAGTTGTGAACTCAATGTCAAAATACCCAAATAGAAAGCATAAATACATCTCAATTCCCCCTTTGATTTTATCCATCCATCATTATGAAGCAATTCAACATCTTCCCCTCTCTCAAAACAATGCAAGTAATTATTCACAAAATGTACAAGTTTAGCCCTCTCAATCAGAGGATGAATACCACAAATGAAAGTAAAGTACAACTCAATCACCCTCATAGGTGTAATTGGAGAGGGTTTAGTTGTAAATATTCCAGCACTACCATTTGCATTATTGGTCATTGTGATATCGGTACTACTCTGATCATCGGAAGTCTTTTTCTTAATAGTATCATCGGATGATGATGACGATTTGGGTTTATCCTTTGATTTTAATGAATATAATTCAGAACCCTTTCCTCTCTTTTGTGGTGTATTGTACTATAAGAAGTTTTCCGTTCAAATATTCATATGGAGAGTGCAATTATTATTGTAATTAAATATATCGAAATATTGAGTGATAATATTTTGATGATGGGGGTATAAGGAATATTAATAATTGAAACATACAACACATTCCGATCCGACTGCTAAACACTTTGAGCATCCACTTAATTTCTTATCACACTATTTTCATATCATTGTGATGATGAAGTTTTTCAATGAAAGTTTTAAAAGATGAAAACAAACCTTTTTATGCAATTTTCTACACCGAATACATGCAATGGGATGGCAATCTCCACTAAACGTCAATTGATTCATTTGCTGATGTTCCTGTTGTTTGTCATTACCTTCACTATTATCGGGAGGAGATGATGATGAAGGATCCACTTGATGAAACATTTTTTTCGTAGTTTAAAGTAACTAGTCGATCGGTTCTGCATGCCAAAACCAGAGAATGCATTGGCCAAGTTTGAATGTGGTTGGAAATGTTGGTAAAGTGCTTCGGCGGGGTGGAGTTTTTAATATGTACGCCTTTAACAATGTTGTAAAAAATATTTAAATATTTAAAAAAAAAATATCCACAGTAATTCTACTAACCAATGTTATTACAGCAAAATCATCCTCCTTAGAATTTGTATCTTTAAAACGGAACAAACCTAACTAGAGAGAACAAAGAGGATCACTACAAGTTAAACAATAACAATTATCGTACTTAAACCAGAAAGAAAAAAATGATTGGTGCTGGTGGTATGCCAGGTGCCGGTGCCGATGCTGCTGGTTCTTCCGATGATGCTCCTCCATCTGGTGCTCAACCAAAACTCTCTCGACTCTTACAAATTGAACAAGATTTTGCTGCAAAAGATGACCTTGGTATTATTTCCGAAATACATGATAGTAACCAAAAGATTCTGTTGATATCATGCCACACCTTGAATGCGGATCATTCTCTCAACACGGATCATGTAATAGTCAAGATTGATACCATCATTAGATCATACAAGATCCGAAATCCCAATACCACAATCAAGGCACCTCTCATGATTAAAACATCCAACTCGGAGGCATTCCTACAAAGATTGAACAAATTGGGGGTATGCAGAGAAGTGAAGGAAAATATAGTGTTCTATGATGAAATTTCAAAATTTAGCAAATTTGCAAGTTTGTTTTGTGATTGTTGCTTTCAAAACATGTTGGAACGAAAGCAAATTGGTTTCAATTTTAAAACCTTGTACATGTTGAAAATGCAACTCAGGAGGCCTTATCCTTCATGTCTGGATCGATTTAAAAGTGATATTATCATTGGTGCTTATATTGCCTTTCCAGAGTTTGTGTTTGGTGTGACGAATGTTTGGATTAATGAGAATGAAAGTTTTGGAGTTTACAAGATGAAAAACAGCGACCAGCTACTAATTCACAGTCAAAGTCAAGTTGTATTGGAGAATCTTTTTTACCTAGGATATATTGAGAGTATGGAAAGTTTGGTTTCAATCCAAGGAAGCTCACTATTGGGTTCTAGAGTTTCATTTAGAGGATCAAAATCTGACAAGTTGTACATTCTTCCGTGCATATCTTTAATGAATAACCTAATAATGGCATCTGTTCCATCTCAAGTGGAATTGGATTATAAATCATGGTTGAATATTGGAACAAGAGAGGATTGGAAATCATATGTAGATCAGTGTGCCCCAACACCATTTCTCAATAACTCAAATCCAACAATTGGTTATTTCCCTGCCCTATATAAGGGTCCAAAGCATCTTTTCAATCGATCAGATGCTTCGTTTGTAAATATTGAGGAGGTTTGGGATATTTTACATAACAACAAATTACCAGAAAAGAGACCAAAAGACAGAAACACTTCACCTGGAGAAGTGACAGTATTATTAGATGAAACGTTTGATAGTAATGTTCTAAGGAGATTTCTCCAGTTGAAATTGAGATTTCCATTGAACCAAAATGTATTATCTTTAAGAGGGAAGATTGTGGATTGGTTGTTTAACCATAATCTAGTACTTCCAGTGACTGAAGACCGAACAACTACTCAACTAGTAATACGTAATGAATCTATTACTGATTCATCAGAAACTGCTATATTCTATCCTGTAATTAATGACGAGCAGATATCTAATTTATTCCTCAAACAAGAGTATTTGACAAAACTAAAAAATAGCCTGTCAGCATTCTTAATTCTCCTTTTCAACTATCTGGAGAAAAATGGGATAGATTATGAGAGAGATCATCCTTTTAGAGATTACTTGGATGCAAATCAAACCATTTGGAAAGATTATGACAAGAATTTAATTCACTATCAGCTAGTTGGTAGTACCAAAATCCTCTCAGAATTGAGCTATCAATCTATGTTTCCTAAACTAAAGCCAAGTATGATTATTTCTAATCAGTATATGTTACTAGATGGAATGAGAATGGAGATTCAAAATATGGATGATTTGAAACGACAACTGATAGATTTATATTCAGCAACAGCCTACAGAATGACAATCGTTCATGGAATGTTTGATGATCCTTCTTTTGATAGAACAGTTGCTAACAGTTACATTCTTTCACTGAATAATTATCTGGAAATATTAGAGAGCCATAGTAAAACAGAAGTTATTGAAGAGGAGGAGCTAGATGAGCTCGATTACCTATTTATAGCTCTTTCCTCGAAACATTTATTGAAATCATACTCTTACTATGCTGAGTTTAACATTAGATATGCATTTAATGACGGCTGGTATACTGCACAAATGGTTTTTAAAGAATATGTCCAAAGAAAGAATTTTATTAAGAGGAAACCTAACACTCTACTAATCAATAATTTCCTAAAAAATCAATTAAGAATACTGCATCCAATTATACCAGCATTCGCATCTTACTGTTGGACTGACATACTTGGTATCAAAGATTCAATACTCTGTTATGAAAATATTCCATTACCTGATCCTAAATATTTACTGTCTAATCATTTAATAAGAGCAGTACTTCCAAAATCCAAGTTGAGGAAAAGAAAATATTCAACAGCTAGGATAACTGTTTGTGACAAGAAGGAGGAATGGCATGTGAAAGCCTTAGCAGCTCTCAAAGCACATGAAGAGTATATTAATTCACAAGATTGCTTGAACAAACTTTTCTTGTACGTAAAGGATTATTTGAAAGAAAAAGATATCAAAACGATAATGCGATATATGAGTGCTCTGTGTGAGTTGTACAAAGAACTGGGATCTGATATTTTCATGAATGGAATGAATATGAATTGCTCAAGCCACATTTTGAATGGATTAGTGAACAATTCCAATTAGATGGATATCCAATTGATTGTTACTTGGAAAGGTCATCTGAGAACTCAACCATAGCCAATCCTTTCTTTCCTATTGTAAAATTAATTGATTAATGAGCTTTATTTACATATTCCATACACCTTGGATAATTCCATTCATCAATATTTACAGATGATACACTCTTTCCTTCAGCCATCTGTGTCAATAAATCTGTCACCTCAATCAATTCTGTATCTTGAGGATTTCCATAAAAAGCTCTCATCAAGAGCATGTTACGTAAATTATCTGGCAAGTATGAAATTTCATTATCCAAAAAGATGGTCTTTTCCATATCTCTTCCCAAACTATTCACTCTCTTGGTTTGGAAAATATGATGTCTATACAATCTATGTGTGAAAACATCAGGCATGTGTTTCAGAATATTATCAGCATGAAATTTCACACCAGCAGTCAACAAGACAATTTCAAATCGTTTCTCCATCTCTACCAAAAACTCTTCCAATCCAGGTCTCAACATGACATGACATTCTGGATAACAAGGAAACGAATTATGGAATGGTCTCTCCGAACTAGCAATTAAACATTCATCCAAGTCCAAAACCAAAGTCATTTCTCTATCGGATTTGATAGCAGGAAGAGAACACAATCCATCCCGAGAGGCATACTTGTAATTGATGGAATTATGACGAATTGTTGATGCAGATGATGATGAATTTTTGAATATTCTTCCATTCTTGTTGTTGCTGGTAACAAGGAAGGAAATTGATGATGAAAACTTGCAAGATTTTTGTGCTGTGAGAACTTTGAGCATTTTTTTCTAATTTTTAATAAAATTCATTTTCCTTTCACAAATTAATGAAATAAGGTACATATCATCAACAATTCTTAATTTACATTTACATGAGGAGAGGTTTATTTTTCTTTACGATACATGACATCTGTTCTCATGACATATTTAAATTCATTTGGATCACTCAACACACTTCCTTCATGATAATTCGAATGAACAAACATCAAGACTTGACCTGCTTGTGGTTTCACACTATGAGTTATTTCACATCTCGAATTGAGAAAGTTAGTTTCACCTCCACTCTCCACATCATTCAAATATAAGAGAACTGTAATGAAAGATCTTTCCACAACTTTCATTTTCTTTCCATTAATTTCCACATTAAGAGTTGGTCTCTGAAAACAACCATCATAATGAGGAGCAAAATATTCTCCAGCTGCATACTTGTAGAAACGAATTCTTTCATTGAGACCACACAATTTAAAACCATCTTGTGGACCTACTTTGAGTGATGACACATTCTGTGGCAGGTATTTCTCTAATTTTTTGTAAAGCATGTCAGAATATTGCTTTTTATCAATCATGGCACGAGAGTTATTTCTAACATCTTTCATCATGGTAGATGAAGTAGGACCTGTTGAAATTGGGGCTTCTCCATAACCAATTTCTTCACTTTCTTTCAAAAGTTTCGAACATTCTTCTGTGGAGAATAAATTCTTGATGAGCCAAATGTTGTTTGGATCAATGGTTTCAAGATGTGGTTGCTTAGAGATGGTGGATGAAGAGATCATTGCTATTGTTTCTTTTGTTTTTTTGAAAATAAATGATACAAACAGTCTGAAAAGTTTAAATTAAACGATGAACATTGAGTTCACAGTTCGAAGCTCGGTAATATGAAAACACGTTATTAAGGGTAATCAAGGTTAACAAATGCAGCCCGTCTAGCTCAGTCGGTAGAGCGCAAGGCTCTTAACCTTGTGGTGGGCGATTCCTTTTACGATTCTGTCTGTTTATTTTGAAATAGTTAATTTTACAATAATAAATAATTTATCTATAATATTTCAAAACAATAACAATACTATCTATTTATTAATTTTTATTTAAAAAAAATGAAGAAGCGAATGAGAGAAGAATTTGATCGTAATTCAATCATGATGGAAGGAAAGGAGTACGATAACTTATTCCCCGATGATATTTGTGAAGAAATTATGCAATGGCTAGCTTGGAAAGAAGTTTTATTGAATTGTTGCCTAATTTCCAAGCAATGGTTTACAATTGCAAAATCAAGATATAGAGCAAGTATTCAACTCACATATGGTCAAGAAAAATTATGGCTATGTTTTATTAAAGAGCAGCAGGAAGGAATTTCTCGTATATTTAATATTGGTGTTGATTCTTTCAGAGTGGTGGGAAGTTACTTTATAGATAGCATTAATGCAGAGATTATTAGCAAATCGTTTCCTAATTTGAAGCGATTGGAAATTGGTGATAACCAACAATTTGGAGATTGTGGAGCAGAGTCGATAAGTAAGATTAAGACTTTGACGAGCTTGAATGTTTTAGATTGTGGAATAACTTCAAAAGGAGCAGAATTTATTGGATTGTTAAACGGGCTGACCTATCTTAATATTGGAAATAACAAGATTATGGATAGTGGAATGAAATTTATTGGAAAATTGAGTTCACTGAATGTTTTGCAGATTGGTAGTACTGAGATAACTAGTGAGAGTTTTAAATTGGTGGGCTGTATGAAGGGATTAACATCTCTTTCTATTTATTCAAATCCAGTCACAATAGAAGATGCAAAATCCATAAGCTCAATACACGGCCTTAAATCTCTAAATATCAGCAATACAGGAATTTCTGTGGAAGGATTGAAATATTTAAGTGCACTGACTTTACTAACGAACTTGTCTTTGGCCAAGAATAACATTACAAATGAAGGGCTTTTATCAATATCCCAAATGAAGCAAATAACTAAACTCTTTCTTCAACATAATGTAATAGACTGTGATGGAGCTCAATTATTAAGTACAATGACCAATTTGAGATTATTAAATATTAGTCAAACCAAAATCACCACTGAAGGAATCAAGCACATTACCTCCTTGAAGAACATTACATCTTTGAATATTTCGATTAATCAGTTAAATGATGAAGCTTTAAAATTAGTTAGTTCAATGAATCAATTGACCAATCTCAGTACACACAATAACAAGCTAACCAGCGAAGGCGCAAAACATATAAGCCAATTGAATAATCTAACAGAACTCAACATTTCCTCAAATCCTGTAAGAATCGAAGGTGCCAACTATTTAAATCAAATGACAACACTCAAAATAATTAATGTTTCAAACTGTAGAACTGGAATCTTCCAATGGAACAATAATATTGATCTACAATTTGATGACTAGCAGCACATGAACCATAAAGTTAAATAGTAAACAACTCTTGTTACCCATAAAGCAACCATCAAATTCACCAATCAAAAAAAATGCCAAACATCAACATTCGACTTCGACAAGCCAAAAACTTGGCAGCAAAAGACCTTTCCAAAACGTCGGACCCATTGGTAATTTGCACAGTTAACAACAAGAAATCATTCAAGACAGAACCAATCATGATGGACTGCAATCCAAACTGGGAAACGCACAAGAAACCAATTAAACATGAATTTACGGTGAATTTTGACAAATTAACAGACGTGATACAATTACAAGTGGAAGACTATAACATCTTCTCTAAAAACAAACCAATAGGAAGTTGTCAAATACCTCTTCAATTTTTAGAAAAATCAAAACCAATGGAATTTACATTTGATTTACGTGATACGAAACAAGCAATTGCTGGACAATTGGTAGTTTTATTGGAAGCAATGGATTTTGGAATTGTTCCTTCAACAACAACAGTGCCTATGTATCCTCTTCCGACACAGCAACCATATTCTCCTCCTATTTCTGTTGTGCAGACACAGCAACCACAACAACCACAGCCACAGATACAGCCACAACAGCCACAACAGCAACTAGTTGGAAATTTACAAAGGAATGACAGTAGTCCAACACTTGCTGCACTCAGACATGGATCTTTCCTGACCAATAATAATACAGGTGTTGGTGGTCAATCACCTATTCAACAGCATCCATTGCAAACTTCTCAGAGTTTTATCATGCAAAAAACGACAATGGATCAACAACAATCATCAATGATGATGGGCACAGGAAGTAATAGTGTATATGGAATGCCACTACCACAACAATATGTCAATAATGGAATGCAACAACAGCAACAACAGCCATTGACACATTCCAATTCGTTCATTAATTATTCACAACAACCACAACAACAACAACCACCATCAATGTATAATAATTCTCAGCAAGGAGTTAATATAATTTCACCAAGTGCTAATAATAATAATAATATTGGAACTCAATATACTCCTCCACAACAGTATAATCAACAGTATAATCAGGGAATTGTTAATAGTCCAGGAAGTATTTCATCTCCTTCGAATTTACAACCAATGAATAATTCATCATCTTATAATTTAATGAATAATTGTCAACTACAAGGAAATGTACAAGCTCAACAAATTCAACAAAATGATAATAGTGTATCTACTCCAAGAAAGGCATTGCCTACATTACCAGTTAAACAAGGAAGTACAAGTCCTCAAACAATTGGTCAACCAACAATTGATTCACAAATTCCAAAACCAAATGAGCTACCTCAATCGAATCAATGGACTGGTGTTGTCACTGATCAATACATTGATTATGTAGTTTCCCAACTTCCAATTCCACTCTCCATACCAGAATATTACCAACGTTTTGTAAAGCCATTTAAAATATAAATCCAAATCTGGACATTTGAATGATTTGAAACTTTTTAAAAAAATGATAAAACGAACAATTGAAACTCTTGTTGATGAAGCAAATGTTGGATCTGAAACAAAAAAGACGAAACTCACTCATGAAGTTTTCAATGATGATATTCTGGGTGAAATTTTATCCTTCCATGATGATTTTAAATTCATTGTATTGAATTGTGCATTAGTTTCGAAACAGTGGTTGAATGTCATATTGGAAAGATCAAGACTTTGTTTTCGATGTTATAGTAACAATTTGAAAGGTCGATTTTTACAAAATATTGCAACTTTGGTGGTGAGATTTGGAACTGTCGAATTTGATTATCAAATACTTGGTCTGATGAAACGTTTATCACATCTTCGAGCTTGTTTTAATGATATTGGTGTTGAAGGGGCTAAACACATCAGTCAATTGAAACAATTAACTTTTCTTGGAGTGAGTGGTAATTTTGTTGGAGTGGAAGGAGCCAAATACATTAGTCAATTGAAACAATTGACAAACCTAGATATTTGTTTTAATAATATTGGAGATGAGGGAGCAAAACACATTAGTGAATTGAAACAATTGAAAAATCTCAAAATTGGAAACAATTACATTGGTGTTGAAGGTGCCAAATATATTAGTCAACTGAAACATGTAACCAAGCTTTCTATTAGTTATAACAATGTCAGAGTTGAGGGGGTTAAATACATTAGTGAAATGAAACAATTAACTGATCTTAACATTGGTGAGAATGTAATTGGTGATGAAGGAGCTAAACATATTAAGAAATTGAATCAATTGACTAGATTAAGTATTTCAGGTGTTGAAATAAGTGAAGCAGGAGCTAAATACATTTGTGAAATGAAACAATTAACACAGCTCAATATTAAGAATAATAACATTGGCAAAATAGGCAAGGAATATATCTGTACTGAACTGAAATATTTAATTGATCTTGAAGTGTACTGAAGTATAAAAAGAAAAAATTCATTTTCTTTCGTGCATTTGATTTGTACAAATACCATCCATGAAAGGTAATCTTCTTGTCTATACTTAAAATTATTTATTCCAATAACTTAATAATTCTTCCATTTTACCATACGAGTTGATGCTAACCTTCCTTAATTTGGCAAAAGTTGGATTTGTTTGCAAAGCTTTCACACATGCTTTTGATGCAGAAACGGAATGTGCATCAATTTTTCTCAAATTTACCAAATTGGTACACTTGGAAACAAGGTTTTCATACAAATTGATGCCATCCATATTGCAACATTGACAAATTAATTCCTTCAAATTGGAAAAGACTGGTGAATCGAAAATGATTTCGAATAAAGATTCTAAACAAGCCAAATCAGAAATATCCAAATATTCCAAGTTAGATAAGGTAGGAGCACTCAAAAAGGTTTCATAGGAACTCTTCAATAAGTTCTTGTTTTCACAATATCTAGCACTTGAATGAGAGATAGTGAGCCTCTTTAGATTTGGGCAATGATAAGAGAGTGAAGGAAAGGTTGAAATGTAGGTACTTTTCAAATTCAAATCAGTGAGTGAGCTTTGAGAGTTTGGTGGACATTGTACAACCTCTGAATTTTCTTGTCTGTAGTGTGCAGTAGGACCTCCAAAAATGTTTGCATTTCCCCAATTAAAGTTTTCAGCTTTGAGTGTTGTGAGTTTTGGTAAACTTGGAGAAACAATCAAATTTACAAATTCACTATTTGGCATGGAACAATAGGAAAGATCAAGTCTAGTAATATTGGTTAAACTTGTCCAAAAGTTTGGGTAAAGAGTCAATCTATGATTTCTAATACCCAAATATTCGAGATTGACCTTATCTTTCAACAATTCGGTTAGTCCATAGTCTTCATTTCCAGATTGAGAATGTTGTGCTAATTCTAAATGAGTGAGTTGATTCAAATATTTGGATTCTGAAATGATTTGCAAAAATGATTTTGGAAAGTCGTGGCTTGTCAAGTCTAATTTTTTAACACTGGACATGAAACTGCTATTGAGTAATTCCTTTGCCTCCTTTTCTGTAAACTTTTTCACATTGGCCAAGTTTAATTTTGTCAAATTCTTCATTGAACATTTCTTTAAATTCTTCACACTTTGAATTCCCATATTATTGGATGCTAAATTCAATTTTGTCAAATTCTCCAACTTTTTACAATTAGAAAGTACTTGAAATGTATCAACACCAGCAGAAAACAATGATAATGAAGTGACATTCTTGATAAATGGTCCATCTAACAAACTGGTAATCTCTTCCTTTCCAACTTTGACTGACTTTCGTCTACTATAACTTGCAGTACCTAATCTCACTTTAAAACTAAGTCTTTTCAAGGTTTCTCTCCACATCTTGGATACCAATTGACAGGAATTCATCAGAACTGGTATATCCAAGAATTGATAAATGTGAAATAAATTATCCGAATTTAATTGATCGGACGAAACTCTTCTTCTATGCACATCCAACTCCTTCAAGAATTCGTTAATATTACCAACAAATTCATCAATCATACAATTATTATTTACAAAATAATGATGACCAACTAATTTCACCTTTTTAGAAAGTGACAGTAATTGATCATTGACATTGGTCATTTCATTAAATAAAGTACCATCAATATTTTCATCAACATGTTCATCAACATTTGCAAGTTGTTGATCTGATGTTTCTTCGTGTTTTCTCTTCTTGCTTTGTTTTGGCATTTTTTTTTCTAGAAGAAAGTGGTTGAAACGAAACTTTACAATTATTTCAACCTGTCAATTTAACAGATTTTCCAGAAAATGGAGTGAATTCACAAATTCCACTATTTATTGGCTAATAATAACTGTTCAATAATAATTATTCAATTCTGGATTACCATTTATGGTGCTTTCTATAAAAAGTTTAAAATTCACAATTTCAATAAATATTTTCAAATAACAACTTTGATTAAAACTAGATCATTTGAAAAAGATCTAAAAATTAAATTCCCTTTCACTCAATCAAAAAAAAAGATCAAATTTATTTTTAAATATTAAAAAAAAATGAAGAAAACTTCTTCCTCGCTAGTGAGGAGTTTTTCTTCCGTGTCTGTTGTGATGAAAAATAAGACAATGCAATCATCAAATTTATCAGCATTGATCAATAATTGTCAAGTACTATCATCCACGAGGAAAAATGCTAGATTTTATAGTGTAAAGCAAACTCTTGGAGGAAATGAAGCCTCCACTCTTAGACAACAAGTTGCTTCTACAACATCGTCATCATCTTATGCTCAACAACATCAAGCACCACCAGTGATTGAGCAAGTTGTTGCCGAAGAATCAACAACAACAACAACATCCGAACCAATTATTGAAGAAAAACCACTCTTCTCCAAGAAGGAAATTATGATTCTTGAAAGCGAAAAAACAGCACTTGGACACTTGTTGAAAATTATCGAAAACGTTGAAGGAAGTGAAGAGGATATTGATCTTTTAAGAAAAAGTATTAATCAATTGGAGGAACATTTCTTGATGGTTATTGTTGGTGAATTTAATGCAGGTAAATCATCATTCATTAATGCCATGCTCGGAGATCGTTATTTGAGAGAAGGTATTACTCCAACAACAGCTCATCTTCATGTTATTCGTCATGGAGGTGATTCTAATCAAAAGTTTGACGAGAGAAATCAACTTGTAAATATGGAACTTCCACTCAAGTGGCTTAAAGGTATTAGTGTTGTTGATACACCAGGTACTAATGCCATTATCAAGGAACATCAAACAATTACAGAAACTTTTGTACCAAGAGCTGATTTAATCATCTTTTTGACCAGTGCAGAAAGACCATTCTCTGAGAGTGAACACACCTTCCTTGAAATGATTAGAAAGTGGGGTAAGAAGGTTGTTGTCTGTATTAACAAGTATGATTTACTTCAAAATGAAAAGGAACAGGACGAAGTGGAAGTATTTGTTCGTGATGGTATTATTCGTTTATTGGGCTTTGAACCTAAAATCTTTTGTGTCAGTGCTAGGAGTGCAATGGATTTCAAACAATCATCAAGAATTTCTTCATTCTTGGCTCCTGAAGAAAGAGAACTTGCCGAAAAACAAAAAAAGACCAAGTTGGCTGAAAATTGGCTTGATTTGGAAAAGTATGTTTTGGACACTCTGAATTCTATTGAACGTGCCAAGTTGAAATTCCTTTCTCCACTTGGTGTTGCTCAAAATTTATCTGAAAAGTACTTGACAACCAATATTGAAGAAAGATTAAAGGTATTGAAAGAAGATAAGAAAACTATGGAAATTATTGAAGAACAACTTCAAGTATTTTATAATGATATGAAACAAGATTTTGAATTGCAACAAGCCAAATTGGAAAATATTTTCCATGAACTTTCTGAACGTGGTACAGGCTTTTACGATAACTTTGTCAATTTGTCTAATATTTCAAGTTTGATCAAGTCCAAGATTGTTGCTGAAGAATTCCAAACTCAAGTTATTGCCAATACTGCCACTCAAATTGAAAATCATGTCTCTGAAGTTATTGATTGGATAATTGACAGAAAATACAGACAATGGAAAGCTGTGACAGATTTTGCCAATAAGAGAGCTAGAATTTCACTCCATGAAGATAAATTAGTTGGAACTCTTTCAAGTGATTTCCAATTTAACAGAAAGGAACTTTTACTCAAAATTGGTACCACAGCTGAAAATGCTGTTAGAAGCTATGATAAGGAACATAATGATACTGAAAAGCTCTTCTCTGAAATTGCCTCTGGTCTCAAGGCTACAGCTGCTGTAGAAGTCAGCGCTATTACAATTGGTGTTTCTTCTGCACTCTTGATGCCAACTGCTGCTATGGCAGGTGCTGGTGTTGTTGGTGCCTTAATGGTTGGTGCTGGTGGTCTCTACGCACTCCCATACAAGAGAGCTACAATGAGAAAGAACTTTATTCGTGAAGTTAACAAGCTTAAGGAAGTTTTAAAGCAAAGAATGAGGGAAGAATTTGAACGAGAATTATTGTCAAGTATTGATAGTATTAAGAATTCAATTACTCCTTACTCTAGATTTGTTAAAGCTGAACATGAAAAATTCTCAACTCAAAAGGAAAGACTCATCGAACTTCAAAAGGTTATTAATCAAATCAGAAAGGAAATTGAAAGCTTACAAGAGGCTGATATTACTAAAAAGATGTAAATTTAAAAGTATATTAATCTAAAGCAACTATTTTGTGTTAATCACTTTATTCTTTATCACAAAATATATTGAATGTTTCAAATCAAAAACAAGTTGCATTAGCCGGGAGTCGAACCCGGGTCACCAGCTTGGAAGGCTGGTATGATACCGTTACACTACTAATGCTTCTCATTACATTTCTTAAAATATGATACTAAACGAGTCAATTATAGCATTTTAAGCATCACTCAAGAGCAAATCAAACACAATCAATTATGCTTAAAATGCTATAATTGACTCGTTTAGTGATATGATTCTTGTTTTGTGGGCCAACCAATGCTAAAAATGAGCGTAAACGTTCAGTGAGCCTGAATTGATTTACAATTCTGTTCCTAACCAAAACAACAAATATTTGGTTTATTAATTATATTCTCACATAGATGCTTGTTATTTGATCGAACGGTCTTTTATCTTTCTGTGTTGGAAGAAACAATCAATAAAGTTTTGTGTAATTTTTTAGCTAGTGGTTTGTAAACATTAAAAAAACGAGTTTATTTTGGACATTGCTCGATATCTACTTAATGAATCGTATCAGATTAAATATCACAATGTTATTTAACAAAATTATTATTGTATTGTTTTGTTGGTTTTATTAAAACTGTTGTTATTCTTAAAATGTTAGCAGATAGATAAGTTTCGGAAATCACTTACAATGGCAACATTTCTTCACTCCACACAATAAAATACTGTGATTACATGCGATCAAAGGTTGAATTTTGGAATATCATTAAGTAACTAAAAAGTTTGCTCCCAAAATAACATCCGAATAGTGAGCTAATTTACTTTGGGAAAAAATTACTGTTCAACCGATGGTCCAAGATCTATGAATTGAATTATTGAAACAAAGATTGTCCTCAGTTTTATGCACAGTGATGTCTACAACGAAAAAACGATGGTAGTATATTAATGTTTTGAAGGTATACAGACATTGAACAATACTGTTGGTCTGTATTTTATCATATTTTTTAGGGTTGGTTGGCCCACAATATACTAAGAATATATAAGTACTCCAAATTGTCCACTATCACATACATAAAGTAGACCACTTAATGGATCAATAATAATTCCAAAACTCTTATAATTTCCACTAACAGATTTAACTTTTGATAAATCCTCCCTTCTAACCACAACAAGTCTATAACCACCATTATCTGATACATAAATCAAATCAGAGGCCTTCTCATAGAATATAGAATAGGCAAAATTCATTCTAAAAGATGATTTTCGAATAGAATTCCATTTTCCTTGCTGTTTTTCAAATAATTCTAAACAAGAATTATGACTCATTAATATTTCATTCTCAGAAAAGCAATGAATACCAAAACCACCACCCTCAATTTTCCCAATATCATCATCTAAATATTGTAAATGATCTCCATGTTCACGATCTAATATCATAACTGATTTTTCATAATCCACAACATAGAGTTGGGATCCCATAACATCCAATCCCCAGATATTATAGTAAGTTTCTTTAGATTTCCAAACAAGAAGTGGATTCTTCCTCATTATATCAGAAACCTTAATCTTTACAACATATGGATCAGTAGATGCATAAATATATTCCTCATCCTTCTCCTTAATCAATTTCAAACAATTAAAACAAGTAATTTCCTCAAACTCAACTTCAAACAAGGCCTTCCTTCCAATTGACTTGTTTTCATACTCTTCAGCTGTCTCTGCTCTCGGAAAAACACTCAGTGCCGAACCATTCGTTACAATAAATCTATAATAATCATTGGAGAGAACAATATCAAAACAATTCGGACCAACATGCCATGCAGAATAATAACCACTAACATTCAGTGATGAAAATTCGAGAGAGTATCGTTTGGTGGGGATGATATTAATTTTATATTTTAGGAGGTTAATTAAATTATTATTATCGTGATGATCATCATCAGTGGAAGTAAATTGGGACGGAAGAAAATCTATCAGCTCAACCTTTACAGACATTTTTTTTTAAAATTATTTGTAAAGAATATTGTAAAGTTAGGGTGGTGAGGATTAACAGATTCATTTTGATAACATTATCAATGGCATTGTTGATTTTATTTCGAATAAAGTGGAGACAGATACAGTTGACATGTTCTCTGTTTGACATTGAAATGATGTATCAGCCATTATCAGAGTATATGGCCAATGGTTCTTGAATTGTATGACAAAATCCTCATCTCATCTGCATTGAGTTGTGTTCTATATTCAGTCTCTTCTTTAATTTGTCCATTTTTGTAGAAAGATTCATGAAGTTTGTTTATTCGAATAAAAAGAATTTAAAAATTTTTGGTGTTTTTGAATTCTATACAAGTCGAACAGGTATTCGTTAAAAAACTGTGGTTAACATCTCTGATGCGAAGTATTTATCAACTTTCTCTTCATGGATGCAATATACGAAACCATCTGAAAGGGAGGTTTAAAAACTGGATAATTGTATCACTTTAAATAGGGAGGATAAACTTCTTTCAACATCTTTCCTTAGTCTTTAGAGCATTAAAAGAAAAAAGAATGAAAACCAATTCAATGGATCGCTTATTTGATAATTTGATGAGATTATACTTGACATTGCTGGCAGAAACTCAAACTAATCTTGAACAAATACAAGTTGATAAAACAATAAGTGCCAGTAATCCACAAGTGTTGGAAGAAAACCAAAAAGTTTCCACTCAGACATCGTACGAAACATCTAATGTAGACAATGATTCGAATAATGTAATTTGTGATACAATCTCGCAAAGCGAACCACTTCCAAGTAATAGAAACGAAAGCTCATCTACCGATCATACAAACAATAGGACTGAATTGAATTTTGTAATAGTTAGTGCCTCGACCATTTCAGAGAAATGTTATTCGAAAGTTAAAAGAGGAAGAGGAAGACCAAGAAAAAATACACTAAACAATAATAACAATACCAACAAATAATCATTTCAATCCTTGATCGATTTCTCTTCCAATTCTCAAGTTCTTTGTTGATTCCAATAGTTTTGTGCTATTCGAAACTGCATACCATAAATTTCTCAATCACTATTGTTTTTGATTGAATGAAATTTACTAATAAAAAATAGCTCAACCGTATGAAACGTTTCTCTTGTGCACTTTCGAATACCTTTAAATTCGTCCAACCTAGACGAACGTTGCCGAATACTTTAAACAAGAATAATTTACGCAATTCCTTCCGATCCTTTCACACTAATTTTCCAATTTTTAATCAAAATGATCGAAATGCAAATGAGACTCAGAATCTTATAGACGAAATTTCCAAAGCAATTCGTGAACAACAATATTCGAAAGCGAAACAAACTCTCCGAGGATTAACCAAGAATTGGTTGGGATTTTACAAATTCGATGATAATCAATTAGCTCTTTATTTACAGAGTTTAGTCTTGTTGGATTGTTCGAATAATGATGAACGAAAGATGAATCTAACACCCTTGCTATTAGCTTCGAATAATGGCTATAAGAAAGCTCACTTAATGCTTGCAACTATGGCTTATTTGAAGGATTCCAATTTGGAGAATGAAAATTATAGAGTTTATTTGAAGGAATTTGACGAAAGTGTGGATTGGAATGACGAAACATTGGTTCAATTGACCATTGAATCACATTTAAAAGAATTAATCCAACAATTTGATTCGAGATTTGCACATTTTGCTCTTGGAAAATTTTACATGAAAAATCAAAAATATCAAAAGGCGTGTGAAGCATTCACTCAGTCAACCGAGAAGAAATTTACAAAATCTCAATTTGAATTAGGTCTCTTAATGAGAAATGGATCTCCTGATGGAATGGTTTCGAAAAATCCTGAACGTGCTCTCGAATTATTCAAAAAATCGAGATGGGAACCACAAGCTCATAAGGAATTAGTTGAAATGTATCTGAATGGTGAAGGTACAGATCCAAGTTATTTGAAAGCAGCTTTTCAGACATGTATTTATTACATTGTCAAGTTTGTAAATAGCAGATTCTTCCTCGTATTGCTATTCTTGATGGAATTATTACTTGCTCTTATGGATGCAGTTTTGTCTATCGTTTTGGGAATTGTTGGAATCTTTGGTGTCCTTGTTTGAGTATTTCATGGATATTAATAAAAATTATCGTCGTCTTACTTCAGTTCTGTAATTTTTTCACCATTTTTACTCGAAATCAGTTTTGTGAAGGAAATAACTTGTTGTAAGCACTTCAATATGAACATTTTCATAATGTCATGGAAAGGATAATTTCTCCAATAGGTAATTATTAGATCTTCCAAGCAAATGAGAATCCCAAGTGATTGAACAACAGTTGCCGACTATCACCGACTGTTTCCGACTATTTCCGACTATTTCCGCTTTAAATTCTTCAAACTGAATCCTCAACATTGAAAAAACAATGTCAAAAAAAACAAACTCAAAATGATTGGTCCAATACTTTTAGCATTGAGTTTAGCTCTCATTGGCGTGATTGCACTTAAAATCTACAAGAATATTCAAAAAGCAAAGGGAATTCCTGGTGTTTGGCAAGTTTTGGATAATTCTCCTTGTTACATTCCAATTCTCTCTCCATATTTTTATATGGGATCTGAAAATCATCTCATTGAGGTGGCAACGAAGAGAGGTGATCCAGAAACTGGTACTTTACGTATCACAACAATGAATCTTAATAGAATATTCGTTTCGGATAGAGAAATGTTGAAAGACATTCACTCTAGAAAGTTGGGTTTCTTCCCAAAATCAAAAACATTCCTTGAACCAACTGAAGTATTTGGTGGACACATAGTTTCGGCTCCAGATACCGATTCTTGGAAGAAACATCACAATACCATTTCTCCAGCTTTTAGCTCTAATAATTTAGAATACATGTCACATGTTTCCAGTGAAACTGTTGATACTATGGCTCAATGCCTTTGGAATCCTGACATTGAAAGCAAAGGAGAACATGTAATTGATAGAGTTGACAAGTTATTTACCAATTTGACATTGGACATTTTGGCAAAATGTAAGTGTCTTCTATTTTACATTGGAAATTCAATTATTCTCATCACAATAATCACAACTAGCTGCATTTGGAGCAAGTTTCTCAATCTTTGTTCCAAAAGAAATGGAAAACACAAATGAAGTCATCATGGGAAGAAAATTGAAAGATTCAGTTGACAATATTTTCAATATTGGTTTCGTTATTAGAATTGGTTTTCCTAAATTCATGCATGCCACATTATTTAAATGGTTTGGTTTGGATAAAGATATTGACAGATTTGTTGAAAGAGTTCAAAACTTGATTGACCAAAAGAAAGAGGAAATTGAACGTGATGGAGAAGTTTCTACAAGAGATGTTGTATCATTGATGATTCAAGAGAATTTGAATAACAAAGAATTGACCAAAGAAGAAATCCTATCCAATGCTTTTATATTTTTCATTGCTGGTAAGTTTTCAGTTGACCAAAAACTAATTATTGACTCTAAACTCTTCAAATAATAGGAATGGACACTAGCTCAAATACATTGCAATGGTTCCTCTATGAAATTGCCAAAAATCCATCTCTCCAAAAACGTTTACAAGAAGAAGTTGACAACATTCTTCCAAACAAGAGAAAACCAACTTTTGACGATTACAATCAATTGAATTTGATCACCGCTTGCATTCATGAAACATTGAGAGTACATCCTCCAGTGACCAGTGTTGCAAAGGATTGTGCCAAACCTGTCCAATTAGGTCCATTTCACATTCCAAAAGGATCTGTCATTTATTCATTCTTGACAGCTGCCAACAAGAATCCAAAAGTTTGGCCAAACGCTCTTGCTTTCAATCCAGATAGATTCTACGATCCCGATGTAAAATCCAAGTCTGCCAATGACTATACCTTATTAAGCTTCTCAATGGGTTTAAGAAAATGCTTGGGAATGAAATTTGCCTTGATTGAAATGACTTGTGTTTTGGCCAGAATGTTGCAATATTATGAGTTTGAATTGTTGAATGATGAATCTGTTGATCCAGTGATGAATTTTAGTAAGCTAACTGTAAAGCCAAGCAATTTGAGAATTCGTGTGATTAAGAGAACTAATTAAATTCTATATTCATCAAGTAGTGGAAATACTTGTTCTGTATTGATCTAAAGAAAACCAGGTCCAACTCTACAAAGTTGTAAAACTCACAACCATTTAAGAAACAATTAAAAATAGAATGGAATGACAGTTAGGAATTCTCACGTTGTGAACCAACAATTTTAAACCCATCACGTGCTCTCACCAACCAAAAACAACTCTTTAAAAAAAACAAATCGAAAACAATGCAATACCATAGCACAAGACTTGGAACTGCATCTATCAATCTCCTAACTGAAGCCATTGATGAAACAATCAAAACAGGAGTCGAGGTTATGATATTCTCCTCTTCATATGAGAGTCCAGTTTCATGTCGTTGCACTTTACGTTGTGGCACTACTTTGTACTTGAATAATATTAGAGTTTACAATGATTTTGCTGTTAGTATTCAACTTGAAGCTTGCATTGATATTGGTACAATTTCCAAGATTGGAGTTTGGATTGGACATAAGGACTCTGCAACAATTAGTAATGGGTCGTATGTTGAATTGATATCAGATTGGGTTACTTTGAATGGTGAAAGTGAAAAGAAAGCTTATAATTACCCTGGCTTGTTTCTGGGTTTGTACTCCAACTCAAACAAATTCCATAGAAAATTACAAGCTGTTCGCAGTGATCATTGTAATCTTCCATTGACACACACCAGATATTATGCTAACATGGTTACTGGACATGCCAAGGAGAAATGTCCTGTTTTTGGTAGATTCACTGTGGATCTTTCAAAACCATTTTCTTTGAGAAGTTTGGCGTTTATTTATTATAGAGATACCAATTTGATTCCATCTTTACAAAACTTTGAATCCAATGCACCTGTTGTCTCAGTCAACACTGTTGATGGATTTACCTATCATGGTAAATTTCAACCACTGGGAGAAGAAGGTGGTTGTTTATCTGATTTTGGAATTAATTCTAGTCTTATGTGGAAACATCATCCATTTGGTCTTAAGAATTCCAGATCCAAGAATGAAGTCACTAATCAATTTATTGATATTAAGGGTGAATGCTTTCTATCCCTTGGTGTTTCTGTATCTTTGAGCACATTACCAAACACAAATACCAATCCAAGTAATATTTTACAAAATACATATAACAAAAATCAATGTAGTCAACCAACATTTTTTCAAATAACAGGTGATCAAAACGTAGAGCTCCATCAAAAGACAGACAAGGACTTTGAGACCTTCTTTACAAAATTTAAAGATCTGGTTTGTGATTGTGCTAATGATTTGGTTGATAAATATACTGGTGAATTTTCTGAATGTGTCAGAAATTATGGTAAACTGTATCAACATTACGCTGGTGTCAACATTCAGCTTTTAGTTGAATCAGTTATCAACAATATTCAAAGTGGTTTGAATATGAATGATGCAGGTGCACACATTGAATTAGTGAAACAACTTGTTGCAGACTTTTTAGGACATATGTATAATCACTATTGTGCTTTCATTACAAATATAAACAATAATCAAAATGCATTGCCTCCAAAGGTTAACCAATTAAGGATGAATTATTATGCTAAAACTCAAAAAATAGCCGACAGTATTGCATCATTCCATCAAGACTTGGATAAGATTTCTAGACGTATCGATGCTTATAAAGAATGGAGACAAACAATGATGGAATAATAACCAATCGAACAGGGCAACTATATTAACTCATGTGTAAATAACAAAATAAACAATATTCAACAAATAATCTCCCAATTATTTTTCAATTTTCAATAATTTTAATTGACGATCTTATATTTGTTATTATTTAATTAATTACAATCATTGATTTAAACATTGTTGTAAAACTGATATCATTGTTCTCCTACTTTCTGGAATTAAGCAATGAACCACTGGATAGCAATGAAATTGATAATCTTCAGTAATGACCACTAATTTATCCTTGTTTACATTGCTTACTTTGGAATTTAACAATTTTACGAAATATTCCATTCCAGGAGCCATTTCTTCATGTTTACTATAATTGATAATCCACTTGGATTTGAAGAATTTCGAATACATTTCAGAATCTTGAGATTCCAATTGTTGCATATTGGATAATATTGAGAAATTGTCTCTATCTGATTCAGATATACATCTATCTATTAATTCCATCATGTCTCTTGTCAAAACAATTACATTTTCCTCTTTCCACTCTTCCTTAGTTACAATTTTTGCTGAAGTATCACATGGAGGAGAAAATAGAGCAATAGAATGAACTGGCCATACCTTCAAATCTCCATAATTCATTAATTGAAAAGCCATCATTGTCAAGTGACAGGCTCCAGCTGAAAAACCTGTCAAAATAATATCCTGAGCTGGAATTCCCTTTTCTTCGATTAAATATTTGAAACATTCTTTACAATCTTCCAATTGATCTGTTAGCGAATGTGTCAACATTCTTCTATCCATATTTTCGTGATGAGCTGGATCTTCAACTAATCTATACTCAATTGACAATATGTGTGAGCATTTGACTTTTGACGTTTTGTTCACTTGTTCGATACCATACATAATTGATTGAGCATCCAAACCTAAAGGATTACCTGAGATGAAACCTCCACCATGAGCAAATAACATAACTTTTCCTCTTTTTTCACAATTTTTCATTGTAATCCAATACGAATCTCTCAATTTCTCAATCTTTTCAACCTTCTCTGCACACCCAAACCAAGAATCGTCCAATTTGGGATAGAAACGATTCTTTTGAATTCTTGTTTCCATTCGATAATCAACAACTGAATTACGTTTCAGATTTCTTCTTCGCAATAGCAAATTCCACAAACGGGATTCATTCGATAATTGAGCAGCACTAGTATCCTCCACCTCGTCGTATAAAGTTCCATATCTATCACAACTTGAACATAACTGTTTCAACCACTGATAAACAACGTAAAAAAAGACTGCCAATGGAAAAATAGCTCTGGCTAGGAGGTACTCGAATGACGGCATTTTTTTAACTGAATCAGCTCTATTAATGGTCTTGGATCTAGACACCGATGAGGAGTATATTATTTGAGGAATAGGAGAAAGGAGTTTGCGGTAACGAATCCATCCATTACAATCAGATTCCTGAAAGATCATGACTAAATTATTCCACTATGTAAGTTATCAATGCTATTCAAAATGTTTTTATTGAAAGAGTCAAAATTTACTTCTTGTATTGTGTTTGAAGCATGTTGAGATAATCGTGAGCAGAATCTTCTGTAGTTGTTTGTTTTTGTACTCTGTTTTGTCTGTGCTTGGCTCTTGATTGCTTGAACAATTCTGATGGATTGTAATCTTCGGAGGATGTTGAAGCAGTAGATGAAGATGAGGATGCCTCTTGTGTCTTGGTTTCTTGTTGTACTTGTTGGGAGGAACCTTCTTGTTGAACTTGTTGAGATTCATTTTGTTGTAATCTTCTCTTTTCATGTTTTGGCTTTCCATTCTTACCGAAATTAAATGGGTGTTCATTGGCATTGTTTGCTTCATTAGAATTCAAAATCTTGAAGGAACTTCCATTGTTAGTATTCTTATTATTGTTATTTGGTTGGAATTGTCTTTGCTTGTATGGTTGTTGTGGTCTTTGATTGTTTGGTTGTTGAGTTTGAGGAGAGGCTGGTTGTTTTTGATTATTTTGAACCTTTGGCATATCATAATTGTAGCTTGAAGTGGTAAAGTAATGTTCCTTAGTATAGTCAACATTTTGCTTATAGCTATACTTCTTTTGTTCATTATCATAAACTCTAATGTACTTCTTCTTGTCCAAATTAACCAAAGATCTCAAACTGACAATAGCACCTCTAGCAGTGGACAATCTGGAACCAAATGTTGAACCTCCAACAAATTCTTCATCAAAAATAACTTGCCCATTATCACCATCAATACCAACCAAAGTACCAACAAGACCGAATCTAGCAGAACCAGATCCACTCATTTGCATGACACGATGTCCAAGAGCAAAATCAGCAATATAGAAAAGATTTGGACATGGATCTTCTGGTTTGTGCACAAATACAGGATCAATAACAATAGATTGCAAGGCAGGTGTTTGAGCAGGTTGTTTGCTGAATTCAATAGCTGCTTCTTCAATAGCCTTCAAAGCAGAAACTGGTAAAACATCTTGTTCAATATCAACAAATGGCAAGCTACGGAAACCTTGTTCATCAATCCACTTGGTAATTTCAGCAACCTTTGTTTGATAGTACTTGTCCTTTTCATGATTATCCTTCAAGGTATTAGGGAAGAAGAGTTCACATCTGAATGGAATATCTTGCTCAAGTTTGGCAACAAAATCTGGGAATGCTTGACAAAAGTTGCCAATAAGTGTCATTGCCTTATCGGAAAGTTCCCAATCACCAAAAGTACCTCCAACAGAGAACTTATTAGAAAGAGGTTTGGTGAACAAACTACCACCATCAAAGTTGAGGAAGTATGAGTCATCGAGATTTTGCTCATTAAAGTCACACTTGCAATATCCAACAATTCTCTTTGATGACTTCTTTGATCTTAATCCTAAACCGACATTTGGAGTGAGTTTGGTATTTGACAATTCCAATCTAATACTACCAATCAAGAGACCCAAAGCCTTCTTTGTCAAACCAAGTCTCTTAGAAGCAATATGGAGAGGCACGTACTTTTCAGCAGCAAACTCGGTAACAGCTTCCTTAGGGAACTTTGGTCTAGGAGTTTGATCAGAGTAAGGAGTGGTGAGTGAAACCTTGAGGAATTTCTTATCATAACCAGCAACCTTACCCAAGGAGGCATATGATTGATCTCCCAAAACAAGAACAGTACTATTGACTGGATATTCCTTTTCAACAGCTTGTGGACCTGTTTCAGCAAACTTGCTATCTGGAGTTGGTTCATAATCATCTGGAAGGACAATCAATGAATGTGGATAAGCAAATTCATCTCTGTGGAATGATTTCTTGATACCAAACTTGTCACGTTTCATTCCCTTGAATAACTTGACAAATAACAACACTTTAACATTACCAATATCAAGACCATATCTTCTCAAAAGTACATTCTTATGATAAGAATATTCCTTTCTAAACATTTCAGCATCCCTTTCATTGTGATATTCTGGTTCACTATTTTCAAAATAGCTTGCTCTTTCATCAGCAATGCTGGACAAGATACCCAATCTTGGGTATGGATATCCAATGTAAACCTTCTTACCAATGTACTTACTCAAACCTTGAGCGGCCTTGACAGATTCTTCAATTACAAATTCATCATCCATCATTTGATCCCTTGAGTATTGAGGGTTCATGTTGATAACCAAACTTGGCTTTTTACTTGGATGTCCAAAAAGTGCAATACCAACATCCTTCTCTTCAACTTGAGTAGTCTTACAATCTAAAACTGGGAATCCCTCCAAGTTATGCTTTCCAATCTTGACACCATCACATAGCTTTGGCAAGAATTTTTCATATTTTGGAAGTTCAATAACTTGTTCCTTAACGTGAGAGTTAATAATTTCAGGAAGAGAATTATCTTCAAGGGAAGAAGCAACATTGACTGAGACAGAAGTGTCATAGGTAAAGAGGAAATTGTCTCCAAATCTATTTCTCTTCTTTTCAGCTTCACTCAAAAGAGAATCATCAACACTTTTGATAGCTTCCAATAAACGATTTTCATCAATGAAAGGCAACAAGGAAACTCCTTCATAATCATACTTGGTTCCTTCACGATCAATGAAGAATTCCTTTGGATAAAAATCATGGATTGGTGATGATTCCAAATAGAGTTTACGGAAAGGTTCTGGGAGAATCTTGCAACTTCCTTCTGGTAGGACACCCAAAAGTTGTTCAAAAGGTCTGAATGGTGTACCAGCATCAAATACGATATCAGCAGCATATTGGCCAATGTTGACAAGGTCTGTAGCAATTGGTGCATAGTGGAATGGATAGAACCATCTCCAAGAAATCAATTGATTGTAATAATATTTAAATACCCATACAAGACCTTCAGCATATGAACGAACAACCTTGGCAACTTCTTCCTTATTATCGTAATCAATGTTGAGTTTAGTTTCATAGTAAGCCTTATGCCAAACGTTAAAATCGAAACCATTGTCACCAATAGACTTTAACAAGAGGTCATTGACTTCTTCAACTTCTACACCTTCTTCATCTTCAAGATCCTCATCAGCATCAACTCCGTAATTTACAGTTGCTGGAGCATTGAAATCCATAACACTGGACATGCCGACAACTAGTCCCATGTCCTTTTCAGTGTGATCACCATCATTGACAAACAATTCCTCTTGTTGGAGTAAATGTTTCTTCAAGCTTCCTGGTGAAAGTTCATTAGCAAATGAATCGAGAACACTGGAGGCATTTTCTACAGTGGCCTCGGTTTGTGGATGGTTAACAGAATTTCCGACTGATTTGAATCCTTCGGAATCAACCACTTGCTTAGCACCTCTTCTTCTTCTAGTCTTTCTATTTTCTCTCAACCTAGCAGTATATCTTTGTTCCATCATTGATGATTCTTGGGAAGCAAGAGCTCTAACGAAATCTTGCACACGTTCCAAGTGAACATCTCCTAGCTCAGTTAAATAACCTGATTTTGGTAAAATTTGCTTGTAAATATCAATCATTGTGTTAATACTTCCTTCTTTGATATCCAATGTTGGCATGTGAGGAAGGAAATCGTTACCAGTAAAGAATATGAAAAATACAAAGTCATCAATAATTCTTTCCAAATCATATTCGAATGAAAGTTTTTGTTCCAAAAGAGCTTGTCTAAACTCGAAATCTAAATATTGTCTTAATGCACATAAATGTAACAAGTGGAACTTTTCAGCGAATGGCTTATTACTAGACTTTTCTTTAGAATCATTATTTCTATATTGTTCAAAGACATCTTCACGAAGAAGCATAAAGTGAGGTTCGTGAGTAACTAATCCTAGACAAATCAAGTCAGCATCAAGACCATACAAACAATGTCTTTCGTTTGGTTGATAACCAGCTTCCATCTTTCTACCACGAATAAAGTTCATAATCTTGTGTTCACCTTCACCTGGCACTTCGTGTCCTGACAAGATAACTTTACATTGTTGCCATTTGATATCTGTTTGCATCTTGCTATGAATGAAATACTTCAAATGCATACTCAATTTGGCCATAAATTCTGTTCCTGGAGTGATACAGTTAGAATCGAACAAGTTGTCCCTTTCAGGCACTTTTTCTCCTTTTTGTTCGAGCTTTTTACGTAATTGTTGTTCATCAAAAACTTTTCTAAAACGTCTCGATCGTTGTTGGTTCATCTTGGCTCTTGGTGCAACACCATCCAAAGCTAAGAAGAAGTGTTTGGAAGGCTTAATCAATTGGAAAAGTTGATCAATGTAACGGAAAATCTTCAAAATCATTTCCTTCTCGGTTAATTGAGCCTTTAATTCATCATCCTTGTGTGTACAGTTGTGAATAATACCGTTCATATCAAGGTATAAATTGTCTGTCATTATGTTGATGATGTAATTTGATATAATTCAAATAAATTTAATATTATTATTATTTGGTGATGAAGTTTGTAACAATTATATGGTATTATATTAGATGTATTATTAGTATATTGTTGTATGAGGTTGTTAGTGATGGATTGAAAAATGTCAAGTTAAAATCTTGTTGTATTCTAACAATTAAACTTACCCACAGTTGGTATAGTTGCCTCAGTAAGTGAGGAAGCAATACATGGATATCTTTCAGAGAGCCATTTGAAAAGTCTTGGTACACCCATATCTATTCTATTTTTCTACTACTACTATTAATCTAGTTTTGTTCTTATATATACAATAATTACAAATTATATTATTCAATAATTTGTCTATTATCCAAATTCGCTCTCAAGAAGATGCTACTCTCTCTTGTCTTTAAAAAAACACACAATGCACGTTGCTGTTGTGATTTGTTGTTGTTGTCGTCTCGAGATGATGAATCAACACACACGATAATAAATATTATCTTTCGATATTTTTTATAACTTATTTTTGGATCACAACATCCTTCAATAAGCTTTTGTTAAGTGGCTACGAGCAACAAGTCAGAGAATGAATATTCAATCTCAACAATCACAATTCCCAACCTAACAAAAGCATGATTGATCAATTTTAAGAATGCACAAGCTTTCCCTTTCAAAGTTCCATCACAAAGAATTAAAATTTTAAAAAAATTAATAAAATATTAATAATATTAAAAAATGTCGAATAGGAATTTGATGAATCTTGCCCAGGTGTTGGGAATGTTGGCGAATAGGGATCGTGATGATGATGTAATTATGGGAAATTCATTATCCTCTTCATCTTCAGCCTCTGTTGATTCTACTTTGGAATCTTTCCTCTCCAATAATAACAATAACAATGAAAGTAAATATTTCGTTATGGATAGAGGAGGCTCCTCCAATTTATTTGATCAAACTCCTTCACTCTTTTCTACAATGGGAAGTGGTGGATTTCGTGCCATGGCAAAGCCTTTCGATGAAGATCTTCGTCAATATATTCAAGATCCCTATATTCGTGATCGTGAAGTGGAAATGCGATTGAAAGCAATGAAGGACGATTTCAAGATTCCAAAGAATTAATTGGAATTAATTTGATTATTATTCAAACACTCAACTACAAATGTATTGAAACAATGAATAATTATATGTACAATGAATAATGTAAATTACTAGTCACTCATCTCAGCATGAACCAAATGAAACTCTAATGTTAGCATTATTTCTGTTAACAGAAGAATAAATATACAGAAATATTAACATCATAAAAGATCAAATATCGACAATTTACATTTACAATTGCTTACAAAATTTCCAAGTACGAAAAAAATGTCTCTCCATCATCCGAGTCCTTCCGTAGATAACAATGCTTCCCGTATGCAAAGGAGATTGAATACCTTGTATTCTCATCTTGTGATGGCCTCTAATTTCTCCCCGATCAATGATTTGGGAATGATGAAAAATTATCATGACGAAATTATAGTGGAAAATAATAAGACAAATGCAGCAGGTGGAAAGGAAAAGACTACAAGTATTCTCATGAATAAATTTCCAAAGGGAATGATTGAAGAGAGTGATTTCAAGATTGTACAAGTTGACTTTGAACAACCATTGGCAAGTGAAGGTGATTGGATTGTCATTAAATTGTTACAGTTGAGTAAGTGAAAAATGAAATGAGATAATTAAATGTTTCAAAGGTGTTGATCCATATATGAGAGCAAGAATGGCTCCAAAAACTCCAAAAGGATATTTTCCAGCATTCAAATTGAATGAACCATTGCATGGTGGATGCATTGCTAAAGTTCTTTCATCATCAACAAGTGTTCAACATAGGTACAAACAAGGAGATTTATTATTTGGATATTTCAATTGGCAACTTGTACAAAAGGTAACTGTTGGTGCAAAGTTTGAAACAATTTATCAAATTGTAAAAATTGATCCCAAGTTGAAAGTTCCTTCATCAAATTACTTGGGTATCTTGGGAATGCCAGGAGTTACTGGTAAGTATTATCTGTGAAGATTAGTGGAATAATTTTGAATAGCATATCATGGATTTTTGGATATTTGTCAACCAAAGAAGGGGGAAGTTGTTGTTGTGAGCGCAGCATCTGGTGCAGTAAGTTTCTTTTGATTTCTTTTTCTCATTTTCAAATAGGTTGGAAGTATTGTAAGTTAATTTTAATGAATAATTATTAAAATTTCACCAAGGTTGGACAAATTGCCAAATTGAAAGGATGTTTTGTTATTGGAATAAGTGGCGGTTCTGAAGAAGCCATGAAAGAATTGAAATCTGCTGGATTCGACTCACTGATCAACTATAAAGACTACCCATCAACATCCACACTGAAAACAGCTATTGAAAAGGCATCTCCTTCTAAGGAGGTTGATTGTTATTTTGACAATGTTGGAGGATACATTCTCGATGCTGTAACTTTGTGTATGGCCAAATATGGAAGAATGTCACTTTGTGGAGCTATCAGCCAGTACAATGATACAGGTGCTGAGATGGGACCTAGAATGAATTCTCTCTATGTTGTTAGAGAGTTGAAAGTTCAAGGATTTTTAATTTCTTCCTATCAGAAGCGATACCAAGAAGCTGTTCAACAATTAGCTCAATGGACTTTGGAAGGAAAATTGAAGGCCCTTGAAACCAAAGTTAAGGGATTTGAAAATACTCCTAAAGCTATCATTAGACTCTTCTCAGGAGAGCAAAAGCTCGGCAAAATGATTGTAGATTGTGTTGAATAAAAGGTTAACTCCCTCTGATTTGAGAAGCTAAGCGTTGTCTAGCCACATCAGTACTGAGGTTGAAGACAACTTGGGAACCTGTGGTGCAGTGATAATTCTCATTAGTAAAAGTCACTATTGAATAATTTTATGACCTTGAAAGAAAAAAAGGTTATCTCCCCCTGGTGGGCTCGAACCACCGACCTGCAGATTAACAGTCTGACGCTCTACCGACTGAGCTAAGGGGGATCACATTAAGGATATTTTGCAGCCTTATTCTGAAAATATCCACTTATACCTTTCTTTAAATATTTGCGTTGGGAAATATCTCAATAACTTCTTTTGAGTTTCTAAATTAGCATCTTCGCGTGCTGCTATTTTCTTGCCATTAGGACTTGGGTATATGTACCTGAAATAGGCTGATTGGAATTTGAGTTTTTGGTAATGTAAGGTGTTGAGGTTATTTCTTCTTTTGCTGTTTGGCACCAATGTTTAAATAAATGGCAACACTCTTGTCATAGGTCATCTGTTTCAAAATCGCCAATACAAATTGTTTTGGAGTTCCTGTTGAGGTTTTCTACAGATTTAACCTTTTATCCATCCACAAGGAAGTTAAAGTAGCTACTTTTGATTCATCTTTGAATGAGGAATACTTTGGATATTGAACATTTTTGGTTGAGTGCAAATTCTTATTTACAGATCCTCCATGGAGTGGGAAAGTTGCGTTTTCCAATTTTTTGGCAACTAACATCCACAACATTTTCAATTTTAATACATCTCACTCTGAAGGATGTTTCTGGATTCTTTGTTATTGGTTCAAGCCAAATAGAATCCAGCAATAATAATATTTATCAACATGAAGAGAACTGGCTTTAATATTATCGACAATCATTTTCCGATAACATGATCACACAGTATTTAAAAATTCCACTAGACTCATTTTTTTTTAAAGTGAAAAAATCAAACCAATCGGGCGGGAAACTTACGCGCACAAATTTTCCCTCCAAATCAAAACTAATCTTTTCGTTGTATTAATCATAAATGAACTCAAGTAACATAAAAACTTATTATTCCAATAACACCTACTCAATACTTTCTAAAACAATCTCTCACTATCCATCAAACGAAACGTTTTGTTGATTCAATTCTCTTATTAATCACTCGATTACCTCAAGCATGGTTTCGAATAAAAATTGATGGGTAAAGATAAATCACTTACCAAAATGGAAAGCCTAACTTTCATTCAGGTTTTGGAAACTCGGTCATGAACAAGGTAAGATTGAAAAAAAACGTTAGAAACGAATTCCTTTTGGCGTTTCGAATATTGTTTCGTCATCACTACTCTGTCTAGATTGTATTCTATTCATCATCGTTCATCATCACAACAACATATTGTAAATATAACAAAAATTCTCTTCCTTTCGAATAACAATTAGTTCGGAATCGTCGTCATCATTTCTAATAGTAATATTTTAATAATACGAAAAATGGGCGTTCAACAAAGCTCATCGTCATCAGGAGGTGGTGTTGGTGTTGGTCTAGATCATTTACTTCATTCCATAACCATCAATTCTGGTCAATATCTAGCAGGTGATGATGATGAAAAAATTGTCGGACAAATTCAAACCACTAGACAAACACGTTCTCTTTTCAATACACGAATTAATCGAGTAAATTCATCATCTAAACCTGTTGGTAGTAATGGTAAAATAGACAAGTCAAATGCCACAACTCCACCCATTGGAATGTTAAATTCTGAAGCGATGGAAAGAGTTAGAGATAAATTAGTGAATGCATCTTCAATGTGGTTGAGTATTGATGATTCGAATCGTGAACAATCAAGTTTACAAAAACGAATTTTGAATGGTTCAGGAACAACTTCGATATTACATTTTAGAAGAAGAGCTGCTTCGTCACCTGAGGAACGAGAGAAATTGATAATGACATTGGCAATGTATTTGAGTCATAAGGAAGAAATGTTGACTTCGTATATGGCATCTGACTGGATGTCATCTGTTAGAATTATTGAGAAAATGTTAATTCCGAGTGAATATTCACAGTTTATAGAGTTGGCTGTTCAAGTTATTGATGAGAATTTTGAATTGCCAAGTGAAGATTCAGAATCTCTAAAGAAGAAAAAGAATCATAATAGAAATAGGTCAGGAGGAATTTTGTCATCTGTTTCACATCATCAACATAGACGTCAAGCTGTGCCTAAAAATCAAAATTTGACGCCTCAACCATCTACTGTAGAAACACAATATGTAAATATCAAACTAATGATTGTTCCTCAGCAACTAAAATACTCGACGCTTGTAGAGGCATGTTTTCCAGTTTTGGAAAGCTTTTTAATTGATCCAATGGATGGAATTGCAGATAGTTTTGCAGTTTCACTTGTTGTAGATAATTGGTTCCTCTATTTTGAACCTGACACTAACTTGATTATACCAAAGAAATTATACTGTACAGCCAAATCATTTGTGGATGAGCAAATTCCCACATTTGTACGAGTTCAACACAAATCCAATCAGATTCAATCCCTACTTGCATCATGTGTGAGTAAGTGGAACAATTCAATGTATTTTAAAGCATCCAAGACAGATGATATGCACACCATGTCCATGGAAGAACATGTAGAACCTTCTCTTGAAGATTCATTCAGTGATAGATCGACTGCCAGCAGTTTGAATCAAAAATATTATGGAAATTCGTTTGATTTTATTGAAGACTTTTTTGTAAACTATCTCAAATTTGATTTTATCAACACACCAACTGCCAAATATTTACAATCATTTTTACAAAATGTACAAAAATTCGGATTTAGTGAATTAATGTTTAATGCAAGTGATGACCTCTCATCCAAATATGGAGAGGAATTGAGATTGGCCAAGGATGGAAAGCTCAGCTTTTTAGACTCTGGTGAGTTGGATTTTTTTATGGATAAGCTTTCCTTGGCTATTCAAGAGAATGAACCAATTTTCGAAACAATACCGAGCGATTGTTTGGAGAATAATCCATTCGTTGCACTGAATATCTTGAATGGAGCATTCAACATACAATATATAGACGAGGATGAGTATGAATTATAACGGAACAAATAAAGTTTATTCTGATTTAATGGACCATTTCAACTTTTTACAGCTTTCCAATAACTTGTAACCAAGTGATGTAATGAGTTGATTATCTTGTAAAGTAATATCCCTTAAGGAAACAAGGGTACTGGTCGAGCATGTTAAAGCTTCGATATCGTCATCTGAAAAATAATAAGTAATCAAAACAACATTCTTAAATGTCTCATTTTGAGACATTATTGGAATAAAGTTGATTGTTTTTAAATCTTCATAACTTTCTAATGGCTTTGCATTCCTTATACTTAAAGTTTTCAATTTGTTAAATACTGTTGATTTTGCAAGGAACAATAAATCACTAACTATTAAGGGCAAGCTTAAAGTTAATGTTGTAATGTTTGAAAAAATTTCACAAGTACTAAACATTTGATATCCTTTCAAATTGCTCTCTTTCCTATCAATACTCAATTGTTTAAGGGTAGACAGTGAAGAATAATTGCAAAGTTGTATTAAAATATCAGTTTCTGATTCCTTCTCCTGCTGCGTACGGAAAATAACTGTTGAAAGGGTTTTGAGATGGGGAGATTTAAACATATTAAAAAAATCGGTATTCTTTGGATCAATAATTTGAATTGTTTCCAAATTACAAAGTGTAGTATTTTCTGACAAAGAGGAAACACCTATTTCACTAATACTTTCTAGAGATAGAGACTTCAATTTTGGAAATTTGAATCCACAAATAATATCATCCAAACAATTCCACGTTCTAAACTCAAGAATTTGTAGGTTTGGGCATTCCATATCTGAAATTCCACTATTGTGCAATTTGTGCACATTTTTATCATTTATCCACAGTGTTATCAAGGATTTACATTTAAATATATCAATTATAGAGTAATTATTATTAATAAATACTAATGCCTTGAAATCTTCAAGAAGTGATAATTTGGATATTTTAATTAGATCAGTATCTTGCACAATATTTAAATGCAAAATTTTAAGACTATTTGTAAAGTTATTTACAACGTGTGAAATTGAAAATGAACTCTTAAGGTTTGTCAAGTATAATTCTGTCAAATTATAATAAAAGTATTTTTCAAAAGAAATACCGCTAAAGGTTCCTTCAAGAGCTAAACTTTTAACTGTAGTGAGGTCTCTGTTTGTCAATTGTGAAAAATCAGACGTACAATTTGCAGAAAATAACTTGATAGTGTTCAACTTTTTGCTTCTATGAAGAACTTCAATACCGTGTAAATCAAGTGGTCTGGAATCAAAACTTTCTAAATTCTCAAAAAATTGAGAATTCATGAAGCTTAAAACTGTATCTGTTTTTTGCAAATTAATTATTTTGAATCTCTTCAATAAAGAAGCAGCTCTCAAGAATTGACGAGAAACCAACAACAATTTGAAACCTTCCAAATCAGGAAGAAATTCCAACAAGTAAACAATTACATCATCACACATAATTTCCGTTTTCTTTGAGAGTTTCACTTTTTTTCTTTCCTTATTCCCTTCTTCAATAGTTGGCTGTATCTTATTGAATATTAGATGATTATTTTCCAATACATTATCGTCATCATTAGAAAGAACGTTGCTCTTTCTCTTTTCTCTTTCCATTTGCAATTCAATTTGTTTTGTTCGCTCCCTAGCCATCATATATTGAAAAGCCTGATCCGATGTCCAACCACTTTTCTCAAGTAATTGCAAAACATCACCAAGGCTTTCGTTACTTGTTTGTGTAATGGGTTCCATGCTTAATCAAGTGGCGCCACTTTTTTTTTGTGTGCTGTAAACAATTATTGCTGTTCACACTACAGTTAGAGTGTGAGCTCTTAAATTTCCTGAATAGGACATTAAGTTGAAATTAAGCTTAATAAATTGAAGAGCATCCTGATGAGTTTAATATATTGTGTATTGAACATGATTCTCCTATTACAAAACCAAAGAGTAGTGAATTTTATTGATGGTGTGATGACCATTAAGTTATTTCCCTTCAATGATCGGAAGTGAACTTGCTGATGATATTGATGATAAAAGATGTGCCAATTCACAACTCGGATGAATAATACTAAGTGGAAAACTCCAAATATCCAAAAACTATTATTCGCAGTTGTTGAATTAACATTCGAAGAAAGTTGTTCATAAAATAGTTCTAAAAAATTGTGCAACGTTATGCTAAACGATCATCACACCATTCATCATCAATATTAACAACAACAACAACAACATTTTAGTGGATAAATTTATCTTTTGAATCTCCCATATGATACCAATAGTAATAATAATATTATTTTGTGGGAATGTTCAGAACATTCTTCACCTGAAGTGAGTGCAATCTCCCGATAAATTGATTCATCATCAATAATAACAACAATCATGATGCATTGTAGATGATGATGATGTGGCGAGCCTGATGTTGTGTGTTGGAACTCACATTCCAGAGTAACCAATTGTTCATCAAAAAATGTCACAACTCCATATGATAGAAGATTTGAACGATGATGTATTTCACATTATTTTATCTTTTCTTCCATTCACAGATTTAAATCGACTACCATTGATTAGTAAGAACAATTTCCGAATGTCTCAACTTGCTCTCTCTGACACGTATCATGAAACCAACTACCGTACAAAGATTGCCTATTTTAATGGAACTACTTATTCGTATTATTATCACCCATATGCTATGGAATTTTACAAAGAATATTTAAATATTACATGCAATTTTAGAAGAAATTTAATTAATTTTCAATTGAAAGTTAATGAATTGATTGCGGAAAATTATTCGAAACAAGAAGAAGCTCTGAAAACTAAATTTGATACTGTAGAGCTGTATCGACCATTTCAGGAAATTAAAAATTCAATTAACGTGGAACAAATTGAGAAACAAAAGTCTCGATTGAAGATTATCATATGTGGAGAAGGAGCTGTTGGAAAAACAAGCCTTATTCATAAATTATATTATGGCAAAATACCTGAATACTTTCCAGGAAATTGTGAGTTGGAAATTGGATATGGATATTTGAATAATGTAACAATGAACAAATTTGTAACATTGACATTGTGGGATACTGCTGGTCAAAAGTAAGTTCAATTTCTGTAATTTAGAGTTAATTAAAAAATTCATATTTCAGAGATTATGATAAGTTGAGACCACTTTCATATCCATATACAGATGTATTTTGCATTTGTTTCACTAGGATTAGTTCAAAATCTTTCAAAAAGATTCCATCTCGTTGGGTTCCTGAAATTAATCACCATGCACCAAACTCTGCTCTGGTTTTAATTGGATGTAAATTTGATCTTTTATCAGATACTGATGTGATTACAAAGCTAAGATACAGACATTTTGATTCAGCTGTCAAATATGAAAATTCAGTTCAAATGGCAAAGAATATTGGAGCATTAACATATATTGAAACATCTGCACTGACTGGTGAGGGAAACGTTTCAGATTTTGCTGAGATTATTACTAAATGTCATGCCATGTTTAGAGAAATATATCCTATCAAATCAGAAAAGAAGTGTATCATTTGCTAGGCAATAAAAAGGTCATGAATTCAGCTCTTTGTTGGATCACGAACATTTGGAGAATCAATACTTGAAGATCTTCATGCTTTCTTGTGGAGGAGCAAATGCACTAATATCTTCATTTTGATTAATATCCCTAGCAAAGAAGAAAAAGTCTGGATCGCATCTAATTGGTACCAAACCAATTCTATGAGCAAGGACTTCGTCTTGAATAATAGATGTATTTGTTACGATAAACAACTTTTTCAATACAGAGGAATTGGTATGTATATAGCGCGATGAAATGGTATATATATCGTTTTAACTTATACCAACTCAACATTGTCTGTGGCTTGATGATTTCGTCTAGCGGAAATTAATATAATATAATTAAATAATAAAGATGAGTAATGTAGTGCTTGCAATCGCATTTGGTTTATTATTAATAATAAGAGTATTAGTGATTATTTTGTTGAATATTATATTGAATCCATCACAGCAACGATCAGATTATAGAATCATAAATGAAAACCACTTTAGTATTTATTACGATATATACCTGAACGGTATGCCATGATGTATTTTTCTAATTGATCAAACATATTTTCGAGTTTAGTTTTTGCTTGTGAAGTAGTTAATGTTGCGATAAGATGATATCTATGATCTCTGAAGTCAACGAACTCACGGCAGAGCCTACGAGGAGATTTTTGCTTCATTGAATTATACATAAAATCCAATTCACAGCAAGCAATTATGATGTCCAGTGCCCAAAGAGGAAGAAGGAGAAAGTTGTCAAGAAGGAAAAGGAGAAGGTTGTCACTCATCTGATAAAATTTTGTCGAGTCGTTCTAGATTTTTTTTATGGCAGAAAGGCTTTTATTTACAATTAGAACTGCGATGATGAAGAAACTTGTATCGTTTGGCCAGCAATTAACTCCATACAACTCAATGGTTTTTTCGATGATGCAACACTGAACAAATGATCATCATCGCTGACATGTGAAACCGCCAAACCTCCAAAGAACGCATTCTTCATCTTTTGTCTCACTGTAAGCTTTTTAAGATTGGTGAAAAAGCTTCCTACTTGTTTCTTTCGTTGTTTCTCTTGGATTCTTGCCTCTCGTAATTCCTTTTCTCTTCGTTCTTGGACGATGACGTGCGTTTTGGTCATGTTTTGAATGAAGTGAGCGACGATGCTTATCAGGGTCCTCTTTTCAATTTCCATATTTTGGTGCGGTTTCAGAGATTCTGATAATGTTTCGTCTGAAATAGTTGATGGTATACCATTTGGATTCTCGTCTTTCATGATATCTTTCTCACCAAAGAGTTCTTGAGTGGATTTGAGTGAGTGTTCTGCTTTGGTTAGTAATTGGTCAATTTTGACAATTTGAGTTTCTGCCATTTCAATAATTGGTCCAATAATTTCAATAAATCGATCAGTTTCGTCCAAAAGATTCTTCTCTTTCATAGATTCCATTAATTTAAATGTCTTTCTCACTGAATCGACTTCATCTTTGAATTGTTGGATTTCTTCTCTGATGAGGAAGAAATTCATTGGTGCACATTTTGGAATATTAGAAAGCTCACTATCCAATTTTAAAATTTCAGGGAATTTTTCTTGACATAATTGACACAACACATGAATCATGGTCTTTTTCTGATCAGTTGATTTGACTTGTTCCAATACACTTAATGACGAAACCTTGAATCCATAAAGATTTTGCATTTTAGAATTCCCAGTATTCAAATAATTACTAATTGTCAAGACAAGTGACAGCAAATTAAGCCAACTTGGTGAGTTCTGCAATTGATCGCAAGCACCAATAATTATTTCCAGCTTGTTTCGAATATTCATTGCTGTAGAAGCCAAATTGAATTTAAACATCCAGGCAGCAATTCTATTCAGTGAGAATGGAATATCACGAATTTCATAAATAAACTTCTCGACCAATCCTAGAACCTTAACATTCATTGGATTTTGAGGAAGATTTTCCAATTCTTCAGCTGTTTTTGTAACACTTTCAACTTCTTCACTTGTTGGCATGCACTTAGATAGACAGGAAACAAGCTCTGTATCGTATGATTCGTCCATTTGTAGAATACCCCTTCTCAATCTTGCAAATTTCATTTCATCAGTTTCGTCCTTATTGAGCTTCTTGATGGATTTCAATTGGATTGAAATCATGTAAGATTTGTTTTGATCCAAAACTTTCACTTCCTCAATCTTTGGTTTGTTGTTTGCTGGTTTCTCCTTTTCGGCTGGTTTCTTACTGATTTCCACTTTCTGGAAGGTCTTTCCCAACGATTCCAAATCAATCTTCTTGATTAGTTCATTGGTATTTTCGGCAAGTTTCTTCTCCACAAAAATTGTCTTTTTCACTTCGGTGTTCAGTATCCTTTCGAGGAAGATTGGTTTCGTGGCAGTACTTGGTTTTGCTTTTGGTAATTGAGGAAGATCTGAAAGAGCTCCCACATTTCCAACAGGTGGTGTTGGACAAGAATTACTTCCAGAAGGTGGAAGAGGAATTCCAGAATTCATTCCAGGAGGGAGTGGAACTCCTGTTGTAACAGGAGGTTGTGGAATGACTGGAACTTCTGGTGGAGTAGCACTAGTTGAAATGTTCTCTACAGGTTGCAATTGTGAAATTTCAACTGGTTTGGCAGATTGTTCTTGTAGTTGACTGACAACTGTTTCTACTACATGTTGATTGACTTGTTCAGGTTTCTCTTCATCCAATGAAGTAGCATTATTGATAATATTCTTATTGAAATCATCTTGTTCTTGTTTCTTTACCTTTTTTTCAAGGTTTGTTTTTTGGGTTTCTAATTTTGCATTTTCATTTTCCAATTTAAGAATATATTGCCTCATTTGTTCAATATCCTTCCGTTGTTCAATTTCTGTTTCTGTGGTGAAAGTGACCTTATCTTCATTGATTGCAATTTTCAAAATTCTATCAATTGTCTTCCATGAATTGTAAATTTCTCCCACACTTTGATTCTTAATAACTCCAAATTTGGTCAATCTCAACATGGTATTTAAACTATTCACAAAAATATTGTTAATTTGATTCGATTCATTGCTCAAACTTGTCAAGTAACTGGAAATTGATTTGGAAATCTCAATAGGATTAGTCGTATCCACATCTTCCAAAATTCCCAAACAAGTATCATGATAATATTTGGAGAAATGTTTCTCAAATGCACCAACTTGCAATAAAACATTCGAATAAATTGGTTCCTTTCCCAAATCAATATCCAAATCATCAATAATCTCCTCAATTCTCAAATGAATTTGTTTTGCAGAAGTGTGCATTCCCAAACCTTTCAATTCCTTAACAATCATTGATTTAATTCCCTCATTTGGAGATTTTGAAATCAATCCATTGAAAAACACCATCAATGCCATAATATATTGCTTACTATTTCCCTTACATAAAATCTCCTCAGCATGATTTTCTAAATTTGCCAAATCATTGAAACTTTTCCCTAAAAAGTGAAATCTTTTTGGTTCACTTTTAATTTTCTTAAAAAGGTAAAAATTTTCCAAAATCAAAGCATGAGTATCGACATTCTCAATATGAATATTCAAAATAGCTGTCAGGAGAAGTAAGGCCTCAGCTCTCAATTCTAAAGATTCGCAATCAAGAATTAAAACTAAAGCTCTCAAAGCATCTCGATCTTTCAAGAAGAATTCTCTTGAAAATTCTGAAGCATCTAAAAGTTTTTGGGTGCATTTGAGGAAGTGAACTTCGAGAGGGATTCTATCCTTATTGATTTTATCTGAAACAAGTTCTGAATGATCGAGTGAAGTAGTCATCATGGTCAACCCGCCACCTGTCAAGAAATCTGAAATCCATTTTGAGTATTTTGAATCCTTTGCCATATCATTTGAATTTTCTGAATCTTCTTCATCGATTCTATCTACACACACCTCCAAAACTTCACTAATTGTCTTCAAAATATTCGAATCATAATTCGAATCTTTAAATTGTTGTAAAATTTCTTCACAACCATTTTCGATAATTGAAATCAATTTCTGAGAAAGATTAAAATTATTCTCTGGTACAAAAATTGTAGAAGTATCCAATACTTCAGACATGTCATTTGCCAGAAAGAAACCTGTCATGTTTGTTGTTGGACGATCAATCAGAGTTTCGAATATATGTTCAGTGAAAGAAGAAAACTTGGCAGAAGATGTTGGTTGTTCCGTAGCAGTGGTAATATGTTGTGTAGAGGAGAAAATATCCGAATTATTGCTAACAGTAACTTTGGACCTTTCTGTTTCGTTTAAATTAGTTTCATTATTCGATGATGATGATGGAAACACATCTTGTAATGTTGGTTGTTCATGAATTGAAGATCCTTCATCATTGGAAGTGTGACTGTCAGCATCCTCCATTGTTCTACTTATTTTTTTTAATGAAAGTTGACTGGAGTAATGAAACGTCCAACATCAATCACAATTTTCATTGTCAAAATTTGGTAACAAGCAATACAAGCTTTCAAGTGAAAACCATTTTATGAAGAGGTCAGTAAAATTCCTTAGTATTAAGAGTTTCGAATATAAGAACAAGGAACACATTCCTTTGATCATCAAGGAACATAAAAAAAACAAAAAATCAAAAATTGTAAAAAATCAAAAAAATGATAAAATTTCTTTCTTCGTTTTTTCAAAGTCAAACAAGCACGACAATTAATTCAACTGAAATCGATCAAGTTTATAAAAATCCCGATTCGAATATTCTTGAAAAGGTACCTGCGGAAATTATTGTAAAAATTATGAGTTATCTACTCGTAAATGATGTGAATTATTTTGGTCAATCGTGTCGAGTTTATTTTACTTTATTATTTGGACAAGATTTATCGAGATTGAAATCAATTCAACAAATTAAAAAGAGTTTCGTCTGGAGAAATATGGAAGAAATATTAAAATGCAATGAATTGAAGAAGGAATATGAAAAAGATGAGCTGGCAGTAATGATTCAAACCCAAATATGGAAACCTTTAGTTTCGTATTATTTTCCTCAATTTGTTTCAACATTGAACATCAAAAATTGGATGCATGTACTAAGGAGAAGGATAACTCATTTAATAGTTCATCATTCATCGAGTCTTCCTGTCAAAAAACACTTTCCATCTGAACCATTTAAGGAAATCAAAACTTTGGATGATTTTATGACCTATCCACGAGATACAGTATTGCCATTAGTTTCTTTCATTGAAAACTGTTCAGACTGGGAATACGAATGTCCCTTAAAGAATGCCAAAATGTCATTTGTCTCTCAACAAGTCAATTTCTGTCATGTCTGTAAAGAAAATGTTTATGAAGTGAGAAGTGAGGATCAATTTATCGAACACGTTGAGAAGGGTCATTGTGTGGCTTATGGAATGACTGGTGTTTCTATTAAGGGAAAGAGAAAATTCAAGTAAAGAAGAAAATGGTTAATTCTCAATCCATAACTTAGAAACCTTTTGTGAAAATGAATAGTTTTAATATCATATCTTGATATTATAAAGTAATAAAATTTGGAACCAAATGGTATTGGATTAAATCTTCAAGGAAATTTTATTCCGAACAAATTCCGAAAAAAATGGTTAGCGTCATTCCGAGGTTTTTGAGCCAAAAATAATTCGGAAGCTTTTTGATGGTGATGAAGTTTATTTTCGGGATGTGTGTTTTGGAGAGTAGTATTTAAGTGATGACACCAATCTCAAATTGAAAATAACAATCAAGAAAAAAGAAGCAATTCAACAATTGAAAGCGAAACAAGCTAACTTGTAAATAATAATAGTAAATAGTAATAATAACAACAAGATGTCATCTGCTGAAGTATTTGATGGAGCTATTGGTATTGATTTGGGAACAACTTATTCATGTGTTGGTGTTTATATGGGAGATAATGTAGAAATCATTCCGAATGATCAAGGTAATAGAACAACACCTTCCTATGTTGCATTCACTGATGAAGAACGTTTAATTGGTGATGCTGCCAAGAATCAAGTTGCAATGAATCCACACAATACAGTATTTGATGCTAAACGTTTAATTGGTAGAAAGTTTTCCGACTCAACAGTTCAAGATGATATGAAACATTGGCCATTCAAGGTCATTACAAAGAGTGATGAGAAACCATACATTCAAGTTGAATACAAAGGAGAATCACATGTTTTCACACCAGAACAAATCTCATCCATGGTCTTGACTAAAATGAAGGATATTTCAGAACAATATTTGGGTAAACAAGTCAAGAAGGCAGTCATTACAGTTCCTGCCTATTTCAACGATTCACAAAGACAAGCAACCAAGGATGCTGGTGCAATTGCTGGTTTGGAAGTTTTGAGAATTATCAATGAACCAACAGCTGCTGCCATTGCTTATGGTTTGAATAAGAAGGGTGAGAGAAATGTTTTGATTTTCGATTTGGGTGGTGGTACTTTTGATGTTTCAATTTTGAATATTGAGGATGGTGTTTTTGAAGTGAAAGCCACTGCTGGTGATACCCACTTGGGAGGAGAAGATTTTGATAACTTGATGGTTCAATTCTGCTGTCAAGAATTTAAGAGAAAGTACAAGAAGGATATTCAAGAAAATCCAAGAGCATTAAGAAGATTGAGAACTGCTTGTGAAAGAGCCAAGAGAAATTTATCATCAGCTGCTAACGCTTCAATTAATGTTGATTCAATTATGGACGGAATTGATTTGGATATTTCAATGACTCGTGCTAAATTTGAACAATTGAATATGGACTTGTTTAAGAAGTGTTTCGAACCAGTCAAGAAGGTTTTACAAGATTCAGGATTGGACAAGGCACAAATTGATGATGTTGTTTTGGTTGGTGGTTCAACACGTATTCCAAAAGTTCAAGAAATGCTCAGAGAATTCTTCAACGGTAAAGAATTGTGCAGATCAATTAATCCAGATGAAGCTGTAGCTTATGGTGCTGCAGTTCAAGGTGGTGTTTTAACTGGTAAGGAAACCAAAGTCTTACTGATCGATGTTACTCCACTTTCATTGGGTATTGAAACAGCTGGTGGTGTCATGACCAAATTGATTGAAAGAAATTCAACCATTCCATGTAAGAAATCTGAAATCTTCTCAACCTATGCTGATAATCAAACAGCAGTCACTATTCAAGTCTTTGAAGGAGAAAGAACCTTGACAAAGGATAATCACTTGTTGGGAAGATTTAACTTGGAAGGTATTCCACCAGCACCAAGAGGTGTTCCAAAGATTGAAGTCACATTTGAAATTGATTCTAATGGTATTATGAAAGTTTCTGCCAAGGATACTTCATCTGGTAAGACACAAAACATTACCATCAAGAATGAACAAGGACGTTTGAGTAAGGAAGAAATTGAAGAAATGGTCAAGAAGGCCAAGGAAATGGAACAATTTGATAAGGAATTGAAAGAAAAGATTGATGCCAAGAATCAATTAGAGGCCTACGCCTATCAAATGAAATCCACTGCTGATGATCCAAACTTGTCTGGTAAATTATCAGATGCTGATAAGAATACCATCAAGAAGACATGTGAGGAAGTTATTAATTGGTTAGATAATAATTCTACCTATTCAAAGGATGATATTGAAAAGAAAAGAAAAGAATTGGAAGGTAAATGTGCACCAATTGTTAGCAAGCTGTATCAACAAGGAGCTGGTCAACCAGAATTCACACCAAATGGAGCAAACTTTACCTCATCAGGTAATACTTCCAGTGGTTCTGAATCAAAGCCAAAGTTTGAAGATGTTGATGTTGATTAAATAAACAAACCATTTCTCATCTCTACCAACACTCGAGTTGATGCAACATTCTTAATTGAAGCGAAAAGGCAAAAGATTTCAAAGAGATACTACTCGCAAGATTTAAAATCGAAATAGATAAGGACTTTAATGGAATTGTTTTCTGTAAAAAAGTTAACCCCGAAGAGATCAATATCCATTCTAATAAATTATCAGTTGATAATTTAATAGAGAAGTTGGGTTTGTTCAAAAGAAAAGAATGGGAACAATGGATCGTTTATTTGATAATTTTATGAGATTGTACATTATATTGCTTACTGCGCAAACTAATCTAGAACAAATGCAAGTTGACAATACTATCATTAGCAGAAATCAAGAACAGGAACTAAACCAAACTAGAAGTGAAGAATTTTCCACACACACAACAAACGGACTAGATGTTTACACTGATTCGAATAGTGTCCTTTCTGATAATTTCTTGCAAAGTAAACCACTTGCAAGCACAAGACTTGTTGAAAGCTCACCGAAGACAGAATTGAATTTTGTACTGGTTAGTGCCTCAACCATTGCAGAGACATGTTATTTGAAAGTTAAAAGAGGTAGAGGAAGACCAAGAAAAAATAGCCTTAACAAATAGTTTTTCTCCAAATTCGAAACTAAAGTTTCTAAAAAAGTCAACAACATTATTATAAATTTAGATTATTTATTTGAGTGAATCCATTAGATTTTTAGTTTCAGTTCTAGATTTCAACAATTGACCATTAGTAAGTCCCTTTGCAAGTAAGCCCATAAGATTATTTGGTTTCTTCTTAGTTTCTTCTTCCTTCTTAGCAAGATTCATTAATCCAGCAAAGAAATTGTTTGCATTCTTCTTTCTTTCTTCTTGCTGTTTTCCAAGCACTGACAAGAGTTTGTTTTCCTCATCACCAGTTGGAGTTTTGGCAGATGTTGGAGTGAGTGATGACAAGAGCGAGGTCTTTGATTTCAAACTTGACAGATCAAATGATGGGGATTGAGGAGTGGCATTGATAGATGGTTTAGTAAGCAAAGAAGTTGCAGTAGTTGATGAAGCTGCCTTCTTTCTTTGCATTAATAATTCCTTCTTCTTATCAAATCCAAGTTGTTTCTCATTCTTCTTTTTGGTTTCTTCTTGAAGTTTCTTTTGTTTTTCCTTTTCTTCCTTTTCTCTCTTGGCTTTCAAATCTTCACAGGCCTTATTCAAACTCTCGACAAAGTTGTGAATTTGAGTAAAGAATGTATCAGGTTTGTCAAGTAAATCTTGTGGCTTTTCGTCGAAGAGAGCTGCAATGAGTTTGAGATTTTCCTCAACAGTTGTTCTTGATTTTTCAATAATTTCCAATTGGTTTTGAGCTGTGCCGATGGTTTCTTCCATAACTTCGAGGAATCTATCTTTAGGATGGATATTCTTTTCCTTCTTCATCTTTTCAAAGAAGTTCTTGGTCTTTTTGGTATCTTCTTGGAGTTTCTTGATATCTTGGTCAATTGGAGCAAGTTGCAAACGAGTACATGTTTGTACAGATGACAAATCATTTGAAACTGTCAACAATTCAGGGAAATTATCTTGACACACTTGAGCCAAGTATTGAAGCATACTCTGCTTTGGATCTCTAGCTTTCATAGTTTGCATCTTTTCGAGAGAACTAATCTTGAAACCATAAATGTTTTGCAACTTTTTGTTTGGAGCATGTTGATTGATATAGTTACCAATTGTCAAAATGAGAGCCAAAATATCATGCAATTTGGTGGATGCTTGCAATTCCTTACAACCATTGAGCATTGAATCAAGTTTTGGTCTAATGGCAGAAATTCTGGAACCCAATTTGAGTTTAAAGTCCCACGATTGAACTCTTGTCAATGGAGATGGAATATCCAATAAGAAGGTGAAGAATGTTTCAGCCATTGGAATAACCTTCTTTGGTGCATCTGGATCCTCAGAAACTTCCTCTTCCTTGGTATCATCAAGATATTTCTGAATAACTGGAATTTCCTCATCGAGTGGCATGCAACCACTCAAAACTTCAATGTTATTATCATCGACTGTCTTTTCGTCCATTTCAATGATGGCATTTCTGTAACGAGCACATTTCATTTGATCAGTTTCTGAATTATCCAACTTTTTAAGAGCAGAGAATTGAATGGAAATGTTATTCGAACGTTTACCATCAATTAAAATGATTTCTTCGACCTTTTTCTTTGCTGGTTGATCGGTGGCAATTGCCTTTTCCTCAACTTTTTCAAAAGCTTCCTCAATAGTTCCCAAATCAATCTTCTTAATCCATTCATTTGTCTTTTCAGCAATTCCATTCTTGATAAAGATTGTTTGTTGAATGTTGGTTTGTGGAATTGTGTCAAAGAAGAAAACCTTGGTCTTTCTTCTTGGTTTAGCATTTGGTAATGTTGGAAGAACTGGTTTCTTGACACCAGGAAGCATTCCCATTCCAGGTGGAGGAGGCATTCCAGGTAAACCACCCATTCCAGGTGGAGGTGGCATTCCCATACCTGGAGGCATTGGAACACCTGAACCTGGAGGCATTGGAATTCCAGGTAAACCACCAGGTGGAGGAGGAACACCCATTCCTGGTGGCATTGGAATACCTGAACCAGGTGGAGGAGGAATTCCCATACCAGGAGGCATTGGAATGCCTGAACCAGGAGGTGGTGGAACGCCCATTCCTGGTGGCATTGGAATACCAGATCCAGGTGGAGGAGGAACACCAGATCCACTTGGCAAACCACCAGGTGGAGGAGGAACAAATCCAGTTGAACCAGGTGGAGGAGGAACACCACCAGTAGCACCTGTCTCACTTGGTAATTTCAAATTATTGACCTTCATGAATTCTTCCAATTGCATAGCTCTCTGGTTGATGACACGAATTTCCTTGATTTGAACTTCAAGTTTTTCCTTTTCAGCTTCAGCTTCCTTCAACTTATCGGTCAAGGTCAAATTTTCTTCCTTAGATTTGGTCAATTCAAGTTTGAGAGTTTCTTCTTTGGAAAGATTAGTCACAGCATTCATGAATGATGAAAGAGTTTGTTTACGTTTCTTTGAACGTTCCTCAGCATCTCTCTTCTCGAGCTCTTGCTTTTGTTGGAAGAGCTCCTTCTTCATGTTCATAATTTCATTTTCCAAGTCCAAAATTGTACGTTGTTGAGTCTTGACCAAACCATCGAGTTCAATTTCCTTTTCTGTTGTGAATTTGACCTTATCTTCTTTGATGGCTACTTTCAAAAGGTTTTCAACAGTTGCCCATGATTTGTTAATTTCTTCAATTTCTATACCTTTAGACTTGCTGATAATTCCAAATTTGGTCAATTTCAACATGGAATTCAAAATATTTACAAAGCTGTTGTGAGCAGAGCTTGAAGAGCTAGCTTCATCATCCTTATTCAAGGTAATCAAGTAATTTGAAATTGATCTGGCAATATCAATAGGGCTACTAAGATCAATTTCATCCAAATCCTTGATGGAGGAAGATTCCTCATCGTGTTCTTCAGCAAATGAATTGAAAACACTTTCGAATGCCTTGATTTGTAAGAAAATATTCGAGAGTGGAGATTCCTCATCGTCCTTATCAATATTTTGCTCCTCAGCCAATACCTCATACTTCAAGTAAATGTACTTTACAGCCATGTGAAGTCCCAAATTCTTCCATTCACGCATCAATGAGATTCTAACACCTTCATTTGGAGAAACAGAGATCAATGAATTGAAAAAGATCATGGTTGTCAAGACATAGGAAGCAATTGCTCCATTAAACATGTCATCAACTTCCAAATTTTCACCAGCCAAAAAGTTTAAACTATCAATCAAGAAATGGAAACGTTTTGGTTCTCTCTTGATCAATTTAAAGCTTGTCAATGCGTCAAGAATCAATTCGAAACCATCCATATTCTCAACATTCAAATTCATAATCACAGAAAGCAAAAGCAAAATTTGTGATCTCAATTCCAATGAATTGGAATCCAAAGTAAGAACCAAAGTTCTCAAAATATCCTTGTTCTTAAAGAAACAACCTCTAGCATAATCGGAAGTATTCAAAATTGTTTCAATACACTTTAAACAGTAAACTTCCTTTGTTTCCTTCTCTTCATCTGCAGAAGTTGACAATGCAGTCGATGCCAAACAATCTGCCAATGAAGTGAGACCTCCCTCATTCAAGAAACCTCTCAACCACACTGAGTACTTGACCTCTTCAGAAGTTGTTGAAATTTCCAGTAAACTTTGATCTTCTTCAGCTGAAAGAGTTGAACAAATTGTCAACACTTCAGAAATTGTCTTTAACTGCAACAAATCAAAATTTCTCTCTGTAAACTTTTTGATAATCAAAGAGGGACTTGCATTGATAGCTTTCAATGTCAATTGTTCTTGTTTGTTCAAGTGATTTTCTTTGATTAAATTGTCTTCCTCTTCTTCTTTACTAATTTGCTTTGGAGGAGTGGCATCTTTCTTTCCGAACATACCACCCATCAATTTTTGAATTCCTGACATTCTCTTTGAACTAACAGAAACTCTAGGTGAAAGCATATCAAGAAAATTATTCGAATCCAACGTTGGAGAAGTAACTTTTGGAGTTGTCTTCTCCTCATGAACCTCCTCACCAAACACCATATCACCAGTAAATGCACTAAAATTACCAGATCTTCTCTTATTAGCAGCAAAATTCAATGAAGATGGAGTAATTGACTCAACATTGAGTGTATCAAAACATGAAGATGATGATGACAATGATTTGGAATTGGGTGGTGTTGATTGATTGGTTGTTGGAGGAGAGGTTTTCCTTCCAGAACCATTACCATTAGCAGAACCAGAACCAGCAAACATTTGTGCAAAGATGTTTGATGATGAGTTATTGTTGGAATTTGGAGATTTTGATGTTGTTGGATGTTGATGGGTTGTATTGGAGGAGGAGGAAGAATGGAGGGGAATGAAATCTTGATTCCTTTTTGGAGATTCGTCTTCATTTGCTGGTGGAGAAGCTAATTTTACTTGGAAAGCTTCCTCTTCTTGTTTTTGATTGTTTGTTCTTGGAGTGATGATGGTTTCGGTGGTGATTTTGCCTAGGGAGCTGGATTGTCTTGTGATGATTGGTGGAATTTTACCAGTCTCATTGTTTAGTCCAGTTTCGTGTGGTGTTTCGGATGACATTTTACACAATCAAAAGGGAAATGTATATACAATACGTGTACAAAATGCAAGTTACAGATTGGACGAAACAATCACAAAGGTATATTGTTTAGTTTTTTTTCTTGATTTTTTATTAGAAAGGGAGATGCACAAAATGAAATGTGATTACAACTGTTGATGGTTGACTTCAGTGGACTGAAATGGGTGAAGTCATCTGTCAGCCATAAACTGTGTCGGTAATTCATTTTCAGACATATTCGAATAGAATGGAATTTACAAAACTTTGATATTAGTAAAGAATGTCCCATTCTAATTAACTTGTCTTTTTTCACTTTTATTTAGTCAATTGGTGCAAGATGTTTTCATCACACACCTTAATGTTTTGTAAGATTTGTACTAATTTATAAAAATGATTGATTTGGAAATTTAATAAAATTTAAATGGAGTTACAAATGCGCTGAAAATGCATAGACAATATTATTCGATTCTCGCACTGTGAAAATGCACAATATTAGAAACTTCCATTCTTCTAATTTCATTGCACTTGATATTTGTCAAAGATTTACCTTCCCAATAACAATTTGCATGGATAAATTGTGTTCAAGAATTGAGACAAGTTTTTGATAATTGTTTTTTGGAATTGACATTCCAAATAGATCTATAACTTGAAGTTTGGCGTGTAATGGACCGCTACTCACATAGATTTCATATCATCCACACTAACACGAACTTTCCCATTCTATCTCATTGCCTTTCAATATGTCATTCGGCTAAATGAATCAAAAGACAAAAAAATGGCTAAATGTCACATTTGTTTATTCACACTAATGTTAGTGCTTTTAATTTCATGTTCTACAGAGGCTGGAATTTCGTCTGGACTTTTGTCAAAGGTGAAGGATGGTGATTGTGTGGTTGGGGTGAGAACGTTTCTGATAATGTTTGTGTGGAAACATAAATTTTCAAACGAAACTTTGACGAAATTGATTACTGCTAAAGATAACGATTCCAGAAGAAAGTATTTGGTCGAATCGTTGCAGGAGAGAGGTTTAACTATTGGTACCATACGCGATTATACACCTTTTCTTTCGAGTTATTTCAAATATTCTAATCTTTCACTTTCTCATGGCCTTTCGAATAGCATACTATCATCTAGCTATTTTTCTATTTACCCACAAGTTGACATGTGTCAAAGAAGAGATTATTTTACGAGATATGATGCCATTTTGTTAGATCCCTATAACTTTGCTTATTACGTCAGGTTTTACAGAGATGTTGGGATGACATCTGGCATCTACATGAACAGTGATGACTTTGTGGCTGTACCACTCATTCCCTTCGAAGTCTACACTCAAACTACAAGAAATCAAGTTTCCTCCTTATTTGATTTGAATGTTGCAAGCTGTGATGCAAAACCTGACATTTCTGATGCGCAGTTTTTGAGAAGGTTGACAGGTTATGCTAATTTCTCACAACAAGATGTTGAAATAATTGGTAATGTTACTGGGAAATCACAAGTTTATGGAAATTGGACACTTGTGAATAACTTTCTAAATATGGAAATGGCAGAACTTACCATAAATGAAACATGGCAACAATTACTACCTTCCACATGCTATATGTGTTCAACTGATGGTTGTTATGGTGAAAATTTCTGGCCGGTTCTTGATCTTTTCATCATTCCACAGTTACTAATTATAGTAATTTACTTTTTATTACTTTTTGGGTTGAAAATTTACAAAAAACCTTCAATGAAACGAAGAATTGGAATTCCCTATACCCCAATTCATATCCTGGCTATCGTGATTACCTTTACTGGGCTCTCTAGAACTTGTGTTGGCTTTTGGTATAGTGCATGTTTGTTTAGTTTCTTTTGGTGGATATTGATCTATGTCAGTACAATTATTCGATTCTACTATTTGCGTAATTTGTATGCTCTCATAGTGATGTTTCCAAATAGAGAAAAGATGTTGAAAATGTTAGCTTCTCAGAAAGTTGGAATACTCATGACAGTTATGTTGACTTTTGTCATTTCACAAATATTGAATCTAGTCAGTGTTTACTTTTTTGTGAATGAAGATAAGGTTGGGGCTGATTTTTATAGACCCATTATTGGTATCATTCTTTTATTATCATTGTGGGTCTTTGGTGGTTGTTGCTTTTTATTAGATTTGTTTCTCCAGAGAAAAACTATTCGAAAGGGTGGCATTCGAAAGTTTTTCTTCTTTGATGATCCATTCTACTTGAGAATAGACTTGATTTCTTCCATATTACCTGTCATTATTGCAATAATTACTGGAATTGAGGTTTCCTCAAATGAAGGTATTGAAGCTCTTTCAATTTTCACAGGAATTTTCAATACCTTACTTTGTTTTAGTTTAGTTCAGATTAGTGGAGGAAATGTGCTAATGATTGAGATTTACAAAATGGTAAAAAGACGAAAGGAATCTTCACAATTGACCTGGGATCAAGAATTAACAAATTCAGATTTACTCCAAATTTTAAAGGAATATTCCGAAAAGGAGTTTAGTTCAGAGAATTACGAATTTTATATCAAGTTGAAATCACTTCAGAATAGAAAATTTATCAAGTTGAAGGAATTGCAAGAAATAGAAGCTGAATTTATTCGAAACTATTCAAAATACGAAGTGAATATTCCATCTTCATGCAAAAAGACTTTTTATGAACTTTTAAACAAATGCCAAGAAGAATCCCAATTAGAATTTCAATTAATTTGGGATTGTGTTGCTCCAGAATTATTACTCAACCTTCAAGATACCTTCAATCGATTACAAGATACCTCAATATATGCCAAATGGCTTTCAGTTCAATCTTTGAAAGAAAACAATAATGTTTAGAACATTCCAACTCTATTAATGGGTTATTGGCATAATAAATATGATAATATTTCAATGAACCAAATATCAGAAAGCATGGGAAACTGATGAATAGGTTACTTGTTTGCCCTTTTTGTAAAGTAATGAAATATGGTGATTTCAAAGATGGTCTCCTTTCATCTTTATTCAAAGATGTGAATGTCTAAAGCATTCTTTTGAACTCTTTTGTTGCATGGCCATTCTTGTTTCAAAGTTGGTTTAACTCCTTAATGCCAATGTATAATAGTATGGTACCAAGAAATTGTACAATACAAATAATGGATCTGTGGTTGGTATCTTTTTCAAAACTCTCATCGAGTACCAAAATCTCTTTTCATCAGTTCCAATTTGATGTCTCTCCACAATGGCTAACTTCTCTCCTGGATAAATGTTACCATGCTTTGGACTCTTGTAGACATATTGGATGTACTTGTGTGCATCAGAGTTGGTTGTTCTGGCCGCATAGATGTATCTGTCAATAACGAGTGCCAACACACTAGTTTCATTGGCAGAAAAGATTGCAAAATCAGAATTACTAGGGTCACTCGATGTTGAAATTGCAGTGTCCAATTGTTTGATAGATCCCAACTCTGCATCTCCACATCCAAATATTGTGAATTTTTCAGATTTTTCAAAAGCTAAATAAGGTGTTTGACTTCCAACTTCCATGACATAATCTAATTGAAATTAAATAGTATTTAACCAGAAATAATATTATTATTAAATAATTAATAATACTACATATTACATACGGTGCTTTGTTGATCCATGAACATTATACAATCTGTATTTGAATAATTCAGGACTATTCAATTCACAATACTGATCGTATTTAGGATAGGAATCACAAATTCCATTCTTTGCAAATGAAAAATAATTCAAATAGGTAACAGAGCTTGTTTCAACTCTTGTGTAGGTGTAATCTCCAGGATTACCAACAACCAGTGAAGAATTCCAAACCACATCATTATTAGCCTCATTCATATAATTTTCAATAGCACTATCCGTAAATGGTTGACAATTATAATTTGTTGGTTTAGGAACGACGGCTTTTGTCAGAATGACTTCTGTTACTATAAAGTAGAGAGAAAAACCAATTAAAAGTGCTGCAATAATCAATCCAAGACTAATATAAACTGCTCTATTCATATACTTGTTCCAATCAATGGTCGGTTTTTGTGGTTGTTCAAATTCTTCCAAGTCTTTTGCGTTGGCAACATCCTTAATATTATTATGGGTGTTTATCCTTGTTGGTACCTCCTCCAATTCCTCTTCCGATGAATTTCTATCCAGTGAAGATAATGGTGCCGACGACTGATGAATAGTAGGTTCCTCATCATCATGTTGTCCATACTTGGATACTTTTTTTAATGCTGATTTTTTAGGTGAATGTAGAGTAACAACATTTCCGTGATTGTATGAATGACCCACCGAGTAATGATGATGATGGTCGTGATTGGGCGAGTTTGCTGGTGAGTGATTGAATGATTCTTCGTTATTCATTTTTTTTTGATTTTTTTTAATTAATATTAATTTTTCGGGTGATGATTTTCAATTTGGGTAACGGATCTTTATTTGGAAAACATATTATTATTATTATTGTAATACAGTATTAAATAGTATTAAGATGATTTACCATTGCAATGGAATACCATCGAATTGAATAAAGATTCCGCGTATGCATAAATTTTTTTCTCAAATTTGTAAAGTTAAGGGAAATAAATGTTTGTTTTTATTGAACATTGTGGTATTACTTTCCAAATTTCATCTTAATGTTGGTAATTGAAATTTCTTGTTCAGATTCTTCATCATAGTCAAAATATTCCATATTTTCCAAGTTGACTTCAAATTTGTTTCCATCACTGAAAGCAACCAATCCTTCACTTCCTTCTGGTTCCCATTTGACAATATCAACACCACGACACTGTACACAACCAACTGTCAATTCACCCTAGCACATACAGAACTACTTACATCAAATTGAACGAGTGGGAAGAATTTTTCACTTTGAGTAATTTCCTTAAATGATCCACTAATCACATCAATGGTGGCATGTCTCTTGCAGACAGAGCATGAAAAGTTAACATTGGTAGCACTAGTTCCTGCCTTAACATTCTTATCTTCCTTTTCATTTTCACAAATAAAGATGTGCTTGGCGTGTTCAGTTTGGCTGTAAGATCGTTTGTTAATATTAAATTCATTGCTTCCGATAAATGTCTACTCACCAATTTGGACACTTGACTTTAACTCTCCAGGTAAAAGCAGCTGGATCTTCAATGGTGACCTTCTCCAATCCTTGGAGTGTCATGGCTACCATTCATCATTTATATTAATTATTATTAATTTTGTTAGCATTTAATCATGATGTTATTAATATATATAATATTTCATCAATATGTTCATCATCATCGTGTTTGATAATAACACCAATTTCATTATTCCGAACCAATCATCAAATCATCATCATATGTAATTAATTATAATAATTATTATTAATCCAACAAGAGTTGAAATACAAAAGGAAGAAAATTCATAATGATGAAAATGATAAAATCAGGTATTAATTGTGTTAGATTCCGATTGAAAAATTCCGAATAAAAGAAACGAACCAACTTCGAGGGTTTGTTTTGGCATTTTTTTTGTGTTTTTTTTAGGTGCAAATTTGGAATTTGGAATGTAAAATGATTAAAAAGGAAATTTTGTTTTTTTTTGAGAATTGTTGAGGGAATTGAAAATTTGATTTCTATTTATGTAATATTTTAATGAATTAAAAGAAAAATTAATGAAATTATTAGGAATATTGAAGGTTTGGAAAGAAAAATTGAATTGAAGAGTTTGATTTGGTTGTTCTAGATGAGAAAATTCCAAAAGGAGCTGGTGTTCCAAATGTTCTCACTTTAATTCCATAATTGACAAAATTGCAAAATTTCCAAATTAATTTTCATTTTTTATAATTTTAATAAAAAATTAAAAATAATTAAAAATAAAATAATTTTTCAAACCTACCAATACAGGAAGGACAATTAGTAACCTTCCACGACTGCAAAGCTTCCGAATCACTAATCACCACATGAACCTTATTATTCTTAATCAATTCAAATTGTTCATCAAAAGATGTAAAAATTTTCTTGGCAAGTGGCAGCGTTTGATTCGCCAATGTTTCATAATAAGTTCCAAAATATGCTGCAACGATAATATCAGGCGAATTCAACTGTGAAATATCTTTCAAATTTGCAAAAGTTGCATTATTTTCCTTATTTAGTAACGTTCGTAAAAATCCATTTGCAGTAGATCCATATCCACAATCAGAAAACTGAACCTTGGACCTTCTCTCTGTAGTATATGTCGAATCAGCAACTGAAACATCACATTCCTCAGTTTCCACTGCCTTCTTCATCGATTCAAAGAATCCATCAGTGGCATTTACATATACGAAACGAGTTGCTAGGGAAGTTCCATATTTTGAGTTGATTGCACTCACTAATTCCAATCCAACCCTTTTGTAAATATCTGCCCACATTGTGTCAGAAGTTACACCATCATAGCAGAGCTTTAATTCTTTAACTGAGCTTGGAATGGGAAATTTGGTTGGCCAACTGGGATTACTGGTGCACGCAGGAACACTGAATGCAACAGTATTGGCAATATAATTAATAAACGATTTGGAGGAAGACACTTGTTTCATGGCTGCATTAATCATTTGGTTGAATTCGATGGAAACTAGCTGGTTAGGGATTGTAGATGTTTGACAGTGAATTGCCTTCCAATAAAACATTAGAAAGAGGATAATGGGAAGAGCTCTCATTGATAACGACATTTTTTTCAATTTAGAGATAAGGAATCGATAGATTTTGTTGGATTATTATCTTTGACCGAAACTGATGCTCATTGGCAACACCGAGATTGATTGGGAAAAAAACCATCAATAGCTTTCTAATTTATTGTAGAAAATTTACAAGAAAATAAACATTGCTGCCACAAATACGACCAACAAATGAGATAGATATTGTCTACTTGGGTTTGAATGATTCAATCTTAATGATTGGCTAATGATTGGTGAGGTTTTGGATGGTTGGATTGGAGGTTTCTGTTGGGCTGCGCTAAAAACTTGAATAATATCGAATGCATTGTGAATTGAAGTACCACTCTCATCCAGATTAAGCTCTCTGTTTGAAGAGGTGCTTTTCATGATCGATTCTGTATGAATAAAACAAGTGTTGACCTGTACACTTTCTGATGAACCTATTGGAAACATGTTTGATTGGATGGTAAATTTGAAACCTAATTGGAAATTAATTAATGGAAACTTGATCAATTCAGTTCCATATTGTGAAGAAACGACTTGGTTATCAATTAAGTGAAGCCAATTTGACATGGTTGTAGAATTATATCTTTGACAACCGTAGGAATTCTGAGATGGATCATAGGTTGGCATTGAAACTCCTGATTTTGTGCAACAGAGATAGGCATTCTTAATAGATAACGAGATTGATGAAGGAAGAGATGAGGATTTTCCATTAGAATCTACAATATTAACCAAAACGTGTGGAGAATCTGAAATTGTGAATAAATTTTTAGGTTGACCAAAGTTGTTGGAATATAGATTAACTTGAGTTGAGTATTTGAGTTCGGTTGGAGGAGGGTTGATTGGCATAGTGTAAGATAAAGAAATACTTAACAAAACTTGAACAATTTTCTCACCGGTTCTAACTTGAATTGAAAAGGTAAAAATTCCAGAAATGTACGAAACTTTCTGCTTTGAGCTAATAATGAGATTATAACTATTTGGTTGATATTCACTCAAGATAATATCAAAATCAATATTTTGATAAGGTTGGGAGCCCAAATAACTCACAGAGACCACAGTCACATTATTAGTAAATAATTTGCCTGATAGGGAGAACAATCCATCCTGAATAGTAATAATTTCTTTTCTGTAATTTACATTAACATTGTCTCCAAAAGTCATGTTTCCATTCACGTCCATACCAATCATTTGGTGAGAGGATAAAACAAGCTTAACTTGATGATTCACTCCATAATTCACAATTTCACAATAATCTCCATTTTGAGAATCGAATTTGTTGGTGATTAGTCCAATATTAATTGGAACGTTTAGGGTGAGAACAGTTCCTGAGGAATCTAGCTGTTTAACAATACGAGAATCATTCATCAAAGTGGAGATGCTGGTTGTGAGTGAGTATTGGGCTTGACATTCGAATAATTGTTCTGGTTGGAAGGATGGTTGATTCTTGGAACAGGAATCAATGCTGGAATGAGAAATTACAGTTTGGTTTGTGGTAGAGAGAAGGCTCTTTGGTATTTTGATAGAGTAGGTCAATTGGTAGCCTCCACCTGAACTAGAAACGCTCACTATTGGGGTCTCTGATAATTGAGAGCATGGATTTTCTTGAGTATCTTGAATATCACATCTAATACCAAAACTTCCTAATGGACATGTTTCACATGAAGTTGCATTAGTGCAAGTGTTACATGTAATTAAGCATGTCTCAGTACAGTTTCGTCCAAAATATCCGAATTGACAAACTAAACAAGTAGAATTGGAAATATCGCAACTAATGCATCTTTCAGGACATTCAACGGATGGTATTCCATTATTATCATCCCCTGAATCAACTTGCAAACTATTCAATACAGGAATATCGTATGCAGTTGTAAATAAAGAACTAGCCGATTCGAATGTAAGTTTAAACTTTGAAGGAAGGATAGCACCTTGGATTGGAACCAATTCGAATGTCAATTGGCTATCAGTACACAAAGTGTTGATTCCACTGAAATAATTTCTCAAAACAATCACGTTATTGTTTTGATCGAAAGCTTTCAGATAGAGGAAGGCTTCTTGATCACTTTGTTGTAATGATTTTTGAAGGGATTCTCTCCAATAATGGTCCATTCCATTGATTTTCACATTTATAATGGTAGTATTGATATTGGAAAGTCTTTCAAGGTTTGTTAGACCTTTGTCGAAACTTAGAGAAATGTCAGTATTTGGCAAATTCTCAACAGAAAATGAAATAGATTGAGAAGTAATTAAATGAGTATAACCAAACAGGAAATTACCATAATTCGTCTTAAATGAAATTGGCAATCTTTCAATAACATTGCTCGATCCAATATAATCTGGAACTCTCGAACTAGCTGTCATGATTGATGAAGGATCTGAAAAAGAAGGTGGAATATTTTTAGTACTTGAGCTGAGATAAACTTTTCCAATTGGATAGGAGGCGAATTGTTGTTTGAGAACAATTCCAGATTTTCCAGAATTCTTTTCACGTGTCAAAATTTCAGAAAGGTCTTTGTAACCATAACCAAATGTGCTTGGATTCATAGAGATGGAAATTGGTTCATTATATTTGGGAACATGAACTAGGGAAAGTTCTAATTGGAATGTCTTGGTAGTTGTTGCAAGATTCTTGAGACGAATTTGGACGAAACGATCGAATACTACACAATTTCCCTTGATATTCGAAATTGAGTCAGTATCCAATACGAACATGTTATTATCTACTGTCTTGGTAAGAGTATTGTAGACATATCCATCACTTGTTACAATTCGAATGTCAAGCTCAAAATTATTGACAATCAAATTGCCAGTTGTAGAATCAATAACTCTCAAGTAAACTTTAGAATTGGTATTCAGAGCAACACTGTCATAGAAAGTTCTACAATCGAATGCAAAATAAGTTTGTTCTTGACTTGCTAAATTTTTGGCACTTGATGGAATTCCATTTACAAGTTTGTAATTTGGAAATACTGAAATAGTGACAGGTTTAGTAGTTGCAATACCAACTTCTGTTCCGTACTGATTATCCTTCAACATTGGGATATAGCTTCCTGTTTGAGTCAGAGTATAGGTCAATCCAACACCAGGTTTAGGTTTAGCATAGAAAGCTCTGTAAATTTCATAGTCAGTGTAAAGCTTGACGTTCAATTCATTGTTAACTGGACGAACGAATAGATAAGGATAGACAACGTCCTTATCACCGAACTTTAAACCAATCAATCGATTCAAATTATCTTGAACAACTGAAGCGTCAGAAGGAGAAAATTCGAAATAAGGATCGAATCTAATAGAATTCAACTCTAATGGAAAGTCTGGGTCATTAGGAATGAGCTGAATTACTACGTAATGATCTGCAGATTCATAATTGTTTTGCATGGTAATTGGATAAAAGTAATTTCCAAGAATAGACCAATAAGGATACGTTTCTTCATACTTTCGTCCATCAGTTTGTACGAATCTTCCGTTCTGGAGCCATGCCTCATAGACATAGGCATCAAAACAGCCATATGAATCCATTACTACACCAAATTTTGGAATCTTTCTATTGACTTTTTGGATAAATGTTACCATTGTAGAAGTGTCTCGAATAGCTTGTCTTGGATAACTTAAGGTTTCTGAACTTTCGATTGGTTGATAAGCAAAAACCTGTTCAAACTGGATAGTGAGGGAGTTGATAGGATTGATAATAAAATCTGTGTTGTTGAGGAATGCAGAATAAACATATTTCGAATTGGAACTGTCGTAAAATTCTGAAAAACCTGTCAATGGAGTTTGGAGTTGGGGTACAATGCTGGATTTTGTTGAAAATGAAATGAATGAGAAAGTATTGAGAATATTTCTCAAATGTTTAAAGATTGTCCTTTTTGAAATCAAAACTGAATTCTTTGGAGTGCTACTAAACTCGATAGTATTTGTTGTAGAGCCAGTAATGACAGTTTCGTTAATGTAATTAACTGGAATAGGATTGTTGGCCGAAACTGTGGAATTACTAGCAGTTGCTGAGAAGAATGTTGTTTGGAGAGAGTAGGTACCACTAATACTTGGAATATGAGTGTAAGTAATTACTTCAAAAGACTTGGAAAAAGTGTCCTTAACGTCAATTGAAAGTCCAAGTTTGTAAAAAGCATCAAACTTTACAAAAAGAGAAGCCGATGATCTGGAGACTGTGCCTTCAGTATGAATTTGACCTTTGATTGTTGGAATGATGGCAACTTCAGCAGAAGGCAACCATGAAGTTAATTCGAATTTGAATTTAGGATAAACTGCGAGCTCAGCAGTGGCATTACCTTCCATGAAAATTCCAGGAGATTTGGAGCTCCAAACAAGACCATCACCTTCATTGATATCAGAAAAACCAGTACCTGACTCATACTTGTAACCAACATATTTAGAATAAGAGACCAAAAAGTTTCGTCTATATTCAATCTTTCCAGAGGCCTCAATATTCAGCTTATACTCGAGAGAAGGTGTAATATCAAGTGAAAAGAGATAAAACAAGGAAATCTTAATAGGCGCAGGTAACTTGTACAAGGTTCCCTCTTTTGTTTTCGAATAGCTTGCTTGGTAACTGAACAATAATGTTGCATTAGCTAGAGTTTGACCGCCTACGAGAATTTTAGCAGAGCTAACTTTCCACCAACCCAATTCAATTTCTGCCTTGATTTCTAAATTAACAGTTGCAAAGCAATCAAGACAATCAATGGTGAAGGAAGTTGTTCCATTAACATATTTGTATAATCCAATAGAAGGATTTTTGACTTTTTGCTCAGCAATGTCATAATTGAAACCAGTATTGAATAGACGATAGGTTGTAGAGTATCTCTTGTTGGTTGGTTCACTAATTTGCAAAGTATTCGAATCTACCATGTTTCTAACAAGTGGAACTGAATAATAATCAACTTTCAAGTCATAGAACAAATCTTTTGGCATAATTTTCTTAACATGAAACTTGACTCTCACCATGTTATCCTCACCATATCTAATTTCTCTAGCCAAAACCAAAAAAGCTTGGATATTTTCATTACCATATTTGGTGTCTGTGTCTTGACCATAGCATTGCCATTGTTTACCAATAACAAGTCTAGAACCAGGAATTAATCTCTTTGAAGTGGAATGACCATTAGCAAAATCAATGTCTAGTTGATTGTCAGAACATTTGACATCCCAGACGTTTACGTCATGGTCAAGCATGGACACACCAGAAATTACTTTTCCATACAATGAGTAGATGTGATGAGAGCCATGGATGATAGCTTGTCCGCTTTGTGACACTGTCATGTAGTCTTCTTCCTTTAGAATTTCATGTGGGTTTCTTCTTCTTTTTAAAGATTCTTCTGAATGTTTATATTCGAAAAGTGAAAATCCATACGAATCTGTTTGTGAAGCATGTACGAATTCGTTGTTGTTCTTGAAAGGATGAATAGTTGGTGAAGTAAATCCAATATCCAATGCCTTTCCAATGAAAATACTTTCGTCTAGCAAATTTCTGGACCGAATCTTCTTGCCAAACATTCTTTGGGTGGGAAATGAAGGTTGTTGAGCACTAAATACCACGCAACCACTCAACAACAATAAAACTAATAACCATGTGCTAACTTTCATTTTTTTGTCTCGATAATTGCGTTTGAAAGCTAGACGAATTGTTCGAAACTGGTCGTTGAGAATACGAAACTTCTATATAAGGAAGAACCGAAAAAAATAATGGAATCTGCGTGCCAAAGCAAGGATGGGAATTCATTCTACAAACTACAACATGACACCTTTTTCATCTTAATATTTTACAATATTTCTTCAAGGATGTTATTGATTAAAAAACTGTTTCGAAAGAATTTTGACATCTTTTTCTGCAAAATCCAAGTCTGTGAATATTTCCAATCTTTCCTGAGGAGTGAATTTGACTAAATGGTTGCATAATTGTTTCACAAAAGCCAATTTGGAAGATTTTTTGAAAATTGGAAAGCAAGCTTTACAAAAAGCAACAATTTCTTCATCTGAAACAGTTAGAGAAATAATTCGTTCCTCAAGCATATTGATGGTATTTTCAGGAAATCCCAAACGATGTCCGTATGAGAACAATTCCAGTAAATTATTTTCATCCAGTTTTTCAAACTTTCCAGTGTAAATAAAATTGCACAACTCTTGAATAACTGAAAAGTTGCATCCTTGAATTTCAAGTGTTGGAATTTCATCATGGAGAGCGGATTCTTTCATTCTTTCTGTTTCATCGAAATTAGAGTTGAGTAAAATATTGAAAAACATGGATCGTTCCGATAAGAAGTCTTTGTGACATAGTATTGATTCTGTAGATTCAACAAAGAAAACCTCTTCTAGATAATTCTCAATTTTGATTTGGACATTACACAAACTTCGTTGCAATTTCTCAAACTTGGACCTACTTTCAAAGGAGCTGTGGAAAATACAACCTTTCAAGTCCTTCTTGAATAGTTCATCTGATTCCTTCATTGCAATGTTAATATCCTTTCTATGATCCCTGAATATATCTACAAAATTATACATTCCCAAGCTTTCCATCCAATCACAATAGTCTTGCTTTTGAGTGAATCTTTCCAAACTTTCTAATTTTGTGCATTTCTTTGGATTTTCCGTTCTCACGATACAACCCGTGTAAATCCATACCAGTAGATTATCGAATTGAATTTTGGTCAATGGAACTGGTCCCAAATCAATATGTCGCAACTCTTCTCTTTTAAAAAAATCTCTAATTTCAGAATCATCATCTGGTATTAAATTCTTCATTGCATCAAATTCGTCTGTTGGTCTTTTAAAATTTTTCTTTTGATTTACAACCAAGATTTGTTCCTTAATTTGCTCAATTTTTCTATCATAATCCTTTATCTTCAATGCTTTCTTGTTAATAGAATTGAAATATTTCTCAATCTCCAGTTTTGTTTTCAAATTAACTATGGCCAATTCATCACTTGTTAAGGTGTAGCTTGTTTTTTGTGGAATAGGTCTCTCCTTATTTACCAGAGCAAAATAGAGTAGCATTGGCCATCTCTTCAAAATAATCCACCAATGACAGTAGTAAATTGTATCCTCCTCATTCTTTCCGAATCTAATTCTAATAGTCAAATCACTCTCTTCTGGTTTAGTTCCATAAATAACCCTCCTTGCCATTTTCATCATGAATAGATCGAGTGGCTTGAACTGATCTTGTTCATACGTTTGTTCACCAATATCTTCACAATCCCCATTTTTCATTTTGAACATCTTTAGTCCTTCATATGAATTATAAACTCTCAACAATTCTCTAACTCGTAATGACAAGGCATTCATATAACACCTTGCATTTTTATCATCACGAGCTCCCAATTCCGATAAATATTTGACCAAATTCAAATGTCCACATAAACAAGCATAATAAAGTGGTGTATTTCCATACCGATCGGGTTTATGCAAGTCTGATATTTTAATTGTGGCTCGGACCCTATTCAAATCTCCAACTTTGCAAAATGAATAAATATCGCTCTTTGGAGAGAGTGGAGAGGTTAGCCCTACTCGTTGTTGATACATTTTTTTCTGATGAACTTGTTGCACACGAGGTTCTGATTTGTAAAGTTACACTCTCCTGACCAAACATACAATTTCTGAATTGTTTGCAATCTGTAAATCCTCTAAAGTTGACTTGCTTTCAAGTACCTTTCTATTTTCAAATATTTGATTATTAATTCTCAATCCAATCATTTCTTTAATTACTCCACTCTTCAATGCAAGCCATTCCACTACTTCACCCAGTAAAACACAACTTTTAAAACCTCCTTCAAAGCTCATTCCATTCATAAACTTGAATTTCAATATTACATCACCCTGATTAGTTTTGCTAGTCAATTCCTCAACCCTTTTACTGTCCTCCTCCAAGTCTTTAATTTCATCTTCCAAATCTTCCATTTCCGAATCTTCGTCCATTTCAAATTTTCCCTCTTCATACAAATTTGTTGGATTATGATCATCTTCCTTCTCAACCCGATGAATAATTTGTCCCTTTGACAAAATATCATCAATATCAATATTCAACTTCTCGGCAATCTTCATAGTACATTGCAATATGTGTAATGATAGTTCCTTCTCTTGTTCTGTCGTCAATACCATCTGAACACCTAAAGGAAAAGCAAAATTAGGAGTGTTAGAACCAGCACTATGACCACACCAAGGGCATTTGCCAGTACTAATATTAATACCAGTATATGTGGATGAACAATTTTGCAATGCTCCGATCAAGTAATTAAACTCAGTTCTGTCCATGTTATTGTGTGCGAATTTTTTTTTATATGAAAAATTTCCAGTTATTAGAGGTGGGAAAAAGTTGTTTACAAAACTGTAAATATTGAAGTAAATTCTTTGAAAACATTTGGACCAAGTCACAACAGCATATCGGCCAATCAATATTGCTAATTGCCCAAGTTTTTCTTCCTTGACCTATCCAAGCAAATATTCCAATTGCATGATATAGATTGGTCAATTTGAATTATTACAGATCTCTGAAAACCTTTTCATTGAAAAATAAGTTCCAAAAAGGAATCAATAATTGTAAGTTTATAGTTTTTTCGAAATTAAATAAAATTCTGTGAAAATTAGTGAAATTACTCCTCATCAATTAATTGTTCTCTTCCATCTTGATCCATTCCAGATTCATTGAGATGATCAATATCATCTGCACCCATATTTTCCTCAGTTAACATATCCAACCAACGAATATTTGCCAAGCAACCAATCACTGCAATCACCCAATAAACTTCACACAAACAAACAACCAGAAATGAAATTATAACCAGTGCACTTTCTCCAGTCATGTACCATAAGAATATGCACACAAAGATGGCACCCAAACCAAGAACTGCTTGGAAAACAGCTCCGAAAAGGGAACACATGGCCATCCATCTTGGTGGTTGCTGTTTAAAGTTTAGAACAATCCAGATAATGGAGGTGATTACACAGCCAAAGACAATGATGGGTGAAGCAATTAGAACGTATCGAAAGACGACAAATTTATCACTGGTCGGGTTGGACGAAACTTGTGTAAAATAATAAATGTCAATGATTACTGAAAAGATAAAGACGAAGAGAGTTGTTAATAACTGTAGGATTGCCATGCCTTTGTAGGCGAACTTTTTCTCACCCAGACTTCTGGCAAGGTTGGAGAAGTATGACATTTTTTTTGTTAGAAGTTGGACGAATTTCCCAAATTGGACTTCAACTTGTATCAATGCAGTGTCGGAACTCATTTTTTGATGCAATTTGGTTTGCCAAAGTGGCGGCTGCTAACGGCCGAAGTAAAAATGTCACATTGGGTGACCTAATAAAAAAATTATTTATTCAAAAACTATAAGTATTCACATTGCGATATTTTGAAATTAGGTAGTAAAACACCCATTGATGGATTTTATGAAAAATCATTTGTTGAAAGATTTATTTCGGGATTTTATAAAATAAATATTTAATATTAAAAATAAATCAAAATAGGACGTGATGATTTACTCACTTATTTCAGTGTTTGGTTCAGCACGGTTTCAATTTTATAAAAATTCACATGTTTTTAATTATTAATATAATTGATTTCCCGAGCCAAACGCCGAAATAAATGACTTGTAATTGTTGCAAAGTGGTATGTCAGAAAGTAGGTCGATAATTTTTTTCATTTTTTCAAGTGTTTTTTTTTTAGATCAGTGACAGTTCAATAATTCCACTAGTTAAGAGAAAACAAATGCCAATAAAACAAAGGAAGCATTCAAAGCAATGTTCTGT